TCGGGCTCATCCAACAAGAGATGCGGTGAGTTCAGCTCAGGCAGCGGCTGCCGCTCTGGGACGTCTGGTCCACGTGAGTCCAGGTGACCTTGCTGGTCAGGTGAGGAGCAGAGGACTCCACCGGTCACATAACTGCCAGAATTCGGGGTAGGAAGAACCAGGGCTTCGGAGGCAGGCACCCCTGAATTCTAATTCTGCTCTCCCTTTTACCGCCTCCTGCAGATACTCACAGAAGCCTGTGTCCCCATCTGTAACGTGGAGTTAGTGACAGAAGGGCCTACCTCCGGTCACTTTCATGAGGATTGAGTGAGGTCCGGGTATCCAGCCTGCCTGACACGCAGTCCACTCTTCAGAAGTGGTAGCCATGGTGACGGTTAATTGGGGGCAGGTGTCCACAGGGCTGAGTGAACTCTCCACAGGCCCCCAACCTAACAGAGCTCATCGCTACAGTCTCTAACTCATAACATTTTCTTCTTTCTCACAAAATGACTAAGTGGGAGGAAACTAAGTGAGATTTAATTGGTGGGCTATCCTATTTTTCAAATAAGTGAATTCCCAAAGCCGAGGGGAAGAGAATGTCTTTGCCAGGTGAAGTGACGCTGGCTCCGTGGAAATTTACAATCAATAAACAGAGGCCCCAACAAGAAGGAACTGCCTCAGAAAAGCCCACAGATTTCTCTATCCACGTTCCTGGCACATTTCGGCCAAAAGAGGGCAGATCACAAAAAAAGAGAACATTTACCAAGCAATGCTCTGACTTGGAATCAGATGGCTTCTGAACCTAATGCTACTACTAACAGCTGCAGGACCTTACATAAGTCACTTAATCTTTTGGCCTCAGTTTTCTTACCTGCAAAATGGGAATAATATCTCATGGGAAGACGAGCGAAGAAGAGTAAACATAATGTATGGAAAGTGCTATTTTGGTTTCTCTTGAACGCCACTCACAAGGGGCTCACCACTGGCCCTGTCAGGGGGCTGGCCAGCCTCTTACTAACAATACTTCAGAGTTCAACTTCCATAAAAACATCATTTGTTACTAGTTCCAACCACTCCCTTCATTCTTCTTAAGACCATTACTGTCACCGGGCTGGTGTGGCTCAGTGGTTGAGCATCCACCTATGAGCCAGGAGGTGATGGTTCAATTCCCAGTCAGGGCACGTGCCTGGGTTTCAGGCTGGATTCCCAGTGTGGGGGTGCAGGAAGCAGCCAAGCAAGGATTCTCTCTCATCATTGATGTTTCTATCTCTCTTTCCTTCTCTGAAGTCAACACAAATATATTTTTTGAAAGATCATTACTGTCAAGACAGTCTGCCCAGTGTACATATTTGTACAAGTTAATTCTATGGAAGAGGTGTCCTAAATGATTTGCATTGTCCAGTTCGTGTCAGAACCCTTCTTCTCCGTTCCAGTCCGACCTTGCTTGGCCTGTCCTGGTTTGGAAGCAGAGGTGAAGGGGCTGCGATCACGTGGCCCCAGGGGAGACTCTTGGGGAAGAGACTTCGACATCAGGCAGCATGACAGGCGACAGAGGTGGGGCGCTGTGGAGACGGGACGCCCTCAGCTCGTGACAAGCTTGTGGCTCCCGTGGGTCCTGTGGGACTGGCTTCGGAGGGATCGGCAGAAGGAAAAACCTGACGCGCCCACAGCTGTGAGTTCCCCGGTGTGGTCCTCCCCAGGCGGCCGCAGTCTTCCTCCAGCAGGTCCCCAAGCTCCATCGCCGTCCTCCATCTGATCGCTTTCCACCTGCCCCGGATGGGTAGACAGCTCCACGTACAGATGAGGGGAAAAGAGGTCTGGAGCAGTTAATAACCTGCCCAAGGTCACCCAGCAGTGAGAGGCAGGCCCACTGGGAACAACCTTGGAACCTAGGCATTTGCAGACCCATCCCGCCCTCGGGCATCTCAGATGCTGTCTGCACACGACGCCAACAGGACTCCGCGAGGGAAGGAAAGCGGAGTCCGTTCCTTGGCCCGTCTCCAAGCCAGTAGTGAGTTCCGGCCAGTCTGGTCAGGTGCAATGTGTGGGGCCCTCTCTGCCCTCTGCTGTCAGGGCTGCCCCTGGGACTGGGGGTAGGGGGAGTGGGGGAATGGGGGGAGCAGGAGTCAGATTGCGCAGTGGGTCAGACACAGCCCTGGGGCCACGATCTTGCTCTGCCTCTTGCCAGTCATGTGACCTTGGGCAAGTAGTTTTGCTCTCTAGGTCAACACGACATAAAAATAGCAGCCGAGAACTCGTATTGAGCGTTTACCCCGTGCCCGGGCGCTACTCAAAGCCCTGGCCTTGCATCCTTTCATTCCATGACCCCAGCCATTGTCTAAGGCAGAAGGTATCACTGTCCCCATTTCACAGATAAAACTTCAGAGAACCCTGAGGGGGTGGGGAAGACATATCCACACCAAGTTCAGCTCCGGGCTCCTCCGGGCCCCCGGCTAGGCCCCGGGGCCAGCAGACGCTTCCTGTAAAGAGCCAGGTGGTAAGTGTTTTAGGTTTCCGGGCCACGCAGCCTCAGCTCTTCAACTCTGCCGCCGCAGCCACTGTGTCAATGGCGGGCTGGGCTGTGTTCCATCGTGACGCTATAGACTCAGTGGCTGTGGCGGCGTGGGCCATGGTGCTGGCCCCTGACCTAGGGAATGGCTCCTCCTACTTCTTAGAGCCAATCCTGCCACATGTCCACCTGTCCCTGACGCTCTTCTTCTAAGTGCCCGAGCCCCACTCACGGGAGAGAATGACCTATGAGGATATGAGGTAACAGAGCAGAGAGGACCCAGGGGAACGGGGGGGGGGGGAGGTCACAGGCCAGGGAACCTGCTGGTCTCCATCAGCAGCGAGTGGCAGAGCCCCAGCAGGAACAGCGTTCGGTCAGGGCGGCAGGGAAATGGGTCACGGTCTTCAGAAGCAGGAGGGACACCTGCCTGGCGGAACCAAGACCCCTGGTTGTGATGGAGGTAAAGGAGCAGGTGTGGACAGCAGGAAGCATCAGACGGAGGCCACCAGGTCAAGAGGGCTGAGTTATGGCTCATCTCCAGCTCTTGGGGGTGAGAGTGGAGGGTGGGGGAGAGAAGCAAATACAGAGGGAAACTAAGGCAGAAGTCCATTCAAAGAGCAGGAGAGAAGATGGGGTCAGAGACGCTGCGGGTGACTGAGCCTTGCCTACTGGTAGGACAGGGCCAGGAAGATCCTGGCTGACTGTGGCAGGCGAGCCCGGATGGGGAAGAGCAGCCAAGGCCTCCACCTCCGCCTGCTTCCATCACCCCTCTCAGAATCCCTGCACGAAAAGGGAACGGCACATCGCAGCCCTGGCTGAGCCCGCTGGGTAGCTCAAGGAAGACCCGTTGCCTTAATCAAGTCCATTCAATTCAGCAGACATTCACTGACCACGTGCTCCATGCCGGCCCTGGGGACACAGACGGGATGCCCCCTGAGAGCTGCCATGGTTTACAAGGGTGGTAACAGGTGGGCAGCTTCCTACCGCACAGACGAAAAGGCTCACAGAGCGTGACCGGGCACCACTGCACAGAGGACTTTGCCTGGGGGAAGGCCCCTCAGGGGATTTGTTAGCAAATAAGAACGATCATTTCTATAATCAATATGCGAACCTATTGGTTCCCTGCACATTTCCACAAGAACAAAGATCTGCCCCATCTTTCTGGAACTCATGTGAAACCTTTCAACATCCGAGGACTTTTTCTCCCAGAGAAGCGTGAAGGTATCAAGCTTCCCGGAAAAAAAGGAAGAGCCTCGTACTAACCAACACGAAAAAGAGAGAGAGAGAGGAATTGTCTCAGGCCCTTCACGTCCTCCGGAGAGGATGGACGGAAGCAAATGTGCGTGCCCCTCACCCGGCAAGCGGAAAGCAAGCCCTGTCCTCTCAATAACGGTACGTCAGCCTCCAGGGGCGTTCCAAGTGTTCAAAGCTCAGAAGAAACTGTTATCAGGAACTAAACTCTAGCTCTGTACACTGGTTTTAAAAAACCCCAGGCTCACAACGGTAATAAAAAAAAATGCATTTAATAGCATGTCATGGTACAGCTTAAAGGTATATCAAGTCTTCTTTCCGTCAGTGCATTACAGGGAGAGAGAAGGGAGGCGTCGTCTGTGAACGCACAGTCAGGTGTAAGCACGGGCGTGGCCGGATCTCGGCGTGCCCACGCTATTAAAATCCCGAGTGGGGACACGCCACTCCGGGCCGGAGCCCCGTGCCAGAGCGGGGACGTCTGGTCCAGTATGCGATCTACAGTTTTCAATTGAGTTGTATACAAGTCTTAACAAAAGAATAGAATTTATTATTCACAAAAACGGAAGTGGTTATCATAAAGCGTACAAGAAAAGTGCAGCCTAGAACGAATGCATTGAAAAACTAGTTTTAAAAATCATAAAGACATACTGGACAGTTTCTGGAAAATGATAGTATCCTTATAAAACAAAGGGGACGATCGGCACAAGTTTGACCACCTAATTTCTAAGTGCACTTTGTAATGGTCCTCGCGAGCTGCCTCTTTTCCCAGGAGAAATGACAAAAAGCTTCGGCCGCGCGTCACTGGCTGAGGGTGACGGGGGGGTTTTGTATTTATTGCATCGCCAAGAGTGGGTTTCTTAAGAAAAAACACTACAAAGGTTTCAAAAACCCTATTTATTCTCTATCATCAAAAATAGCAACAGGGGGGACTTATACAACTTTTCTGTGAGTACCCACCAGTCTATTTTGTTTTTGTTTTTTTTTCTTAAAAAAAATAGAAGTTAGATAAAGAAAAATGATTTGGTTTCTTAAAAAATAATGTAAGGAAACACTTAATCAGATAGCCCAAGGAGTCATCGGAAATATGTGTTAGCAACAAAGCTTCGTGGGCGGCCCCCGCCGGCCTCTGCAGGCCTGGGACTAAGCTAGAGAGAGGGTGCGCAGTACCAGCAGGGGCCCCCGCCTGCCCGATCCGGTCCTGTCGTGTTGAAACCCGTTATTGCTAAACCAGAATGTTGTCTTGGAGAAGCCAGGGCGCCGCTCAGAGCGGGTAGAACTGGGAGGCCGCCTCGGAGGACTGGATCTCCACCTGGGCCATCTTGAAGCGGGTGCACTGCAGCCACTTGCGGAGGGCGGCCAGGCCGGTGCCGCTCGGGGCCGCGCCGCCGGGCAGCGTCCTCAGGCTGTGGTGGTTGACGTTGTTCTGGATGGCCTGGAGGCGCAGCTGGAGGCCCCCGGAGAGGTGCTGCGGAGAGAGGGCGGGACACCTCCTTCAGTCCTCTCCTCCTGACGTTCCCGGTGGGCCCAGTCGGGGGGGGGGGGGGAAGGGGTGTGGGCAGCCTGCACTTGGGTGGGCAGAAGGCCAGCTCTCGGATTTGGCAGCGCTCAGGGCGGGTACCATGTTTCTAGAGTCAACCTGGCCCACATCCATCCAGAGTGGGCCGTTCCTAGCTCAGCTCAGCCATCACCACGGAAACCGAGAGCAGCGTCAGTGCCCGGGCCAGCGCCATTGTGTGCCCCCCGGGAGCTGTGCACAATGGGAGCCTGCTGTGGCCATGGAGTGCCTGGGCTCCCTGGGTTCAAATCCTGGCTCCTCTCTGGGCAGCGCTGGACACACACTCTTTCAGGCTGTGCTTGGGTTTTCTCACCTCGAGGGTCTTTGTAAGGATACGTGCGTTAACGGAGGGTTCAGAGCAGGGCTCGGCACATGGTCAGTGCTTACTATGCTCTAGCCCTGAGTGTACTCTCTCTGCTCTTATGTCTCCTAGCTTTCCATCGAGTTCCGGGGGCCTCCTCTTGGCAGTCCATCCACATCAAATGGCCACGAGTTATCACCCCGTTGGTGAGGGGCAACCTGGAAGCCCAGGCACTTTTCCCTTCGGCACGAGGCCTGGGTGAGGTTCCATCCCCCAGCGGCACAGACCGGACCACCCCATGAGTCGGGACTCAGCCTGCAGCCGCGGAAGGCTGCGTTTCTCCCTTGGTGCCTGGGCACCTTGACGTCACCGCCTCCTCCTTCCAGCATCCCTCCCCGACTCTGAGAAGGCTGACTTCTGCCCTGGCCCCACCCCTGCTCCCAGTGCTGTCACGGGGCCCCGTCGTGGGTGGAGCGGGTGGGCGGCTTTGGCACCTCAGTGCCAAGCCCTGATAACTGTTCACTAGCCATGGAGGATCTCTGGCCCTTCGATAGCAATGCATCCCTCACGGCAGGGGCCGCGGCAGGAAGTACGCTCCCTCAGGGCTGCCCCTTCCTGGCTGCTGGGCCCTGTCCAAGCACCTCCTCCTCCTGGTCCTGGGTTTCCTCTTGTGTAAAATGAGGGGGCGGGACAGGTTCCTTCTAGCTCAGTTCTATCCTTCCTTCAACACTATTCCTTCTTAATAGAATTCTTCCCATCACAGAAGGACAATGTTAGTGACCAGGAAATGGCACTGGGCAGGCCTGGGACCGGACCCCACGGGGACCCTCTGAAGGCAGCTTTTCAGCCTGCATTCCCGTCAGGCACTGAGCCTCACCCAGACTCTGGGACCCACCCCACCCCCAGCCCCCCACCCTCAGAGGCTCCCGTGGCCACCTGGGCTGCAGGCTCCTCCCTGGCCCACAGGGGCTCCTGTACGGAGGGCCCCCGGGAGCGGGAGCACTCATCTTTCTCCACAGTAAGAGGAGCACGAAGGGGCCCTGGGAACGTGAGGGCTTTCTCCGGACGGAAGGAGCCTGTCCCGGGGGTGGTTTGCTTACCTTGATGTTTGACTGGATCATTGGCAGCCACATAGGTATCAGCTGGAGGAGAAACACAGAAGCCTCGTTAGGACTGTTCCCTTCTCCCACATCAGCTCCCCAAGCCGAGGGACAGCAGGGCACGCTGACTTCCTTGGACATCACAAGAGGATGTGGGTCCCTGCTGCGGAGCACCCGTTATCAAAAGAGTGTATTTCTGCCCGGCCGGCGTGGCTCCGTGGTTGAGCACTGACCCTTAAACCAGGAGGTCATGGTTCGATTCCCGGCCCGGGCTGTGGAGTTGATCCTCAGTGGGGGGCATGCAGCTGGCAGCTGATCGGTGATGTTTCTCTCTCATCAATGTTTCTACCTCTCTCTCCCTCTCCCTTCCTTTCTCTGAAATCAATAAAATAAATAAATAAATAAATAAATAAATAAATAAATAAATAAATAAAATCCATAATTTAAAAAATGCTAGCCATCCATTACTTATTTTTTAAAAAGCTAGCGTCTTTCTGTGGCCAAACCCTGCTGCGCTGGTGACATTTGGAGGTTGACAAGTGCCCCCTGAGCGCCTGAAACACACCCTTCAGAGCCAATGACTGACTGTCCCTTGAAAGCTATCAAGCACGGGAAATTAAATGTGTATTTATTTAATTAAATCCCCACTTTCCTGAAATAGGACTCCCTCCATGGAGCTTTGGAATTGAATCTGAGAAGCATGGCGACTCTCTGTCTGCGGTCATTAAGAAATCACCACCGGGAAGCGGCCGGGATGTCTCAGTGATAGAAAAAGACAAGGCTTGGCGTTGCCTGGTGTGACGGGGAAGGAGAGACCCAGGGAGGGAGTCGGGCCAGGGTTCGAGAGGGGTGGGTGAACAGGCAGGAGGGCGGAGAGGAGGCCCTGAGCGCATAGGCGGCCGGGGTGCCGGCCCCTCCGCTGCCTCGGGTTCGCCCTCCCCGGGAGGGCCAAGGTGCCCGGGCTGAGCGCCCTCAGCGGGGGCTTTGCTGTCCGCTCTGCGCGCTCGGCCACGTTTCCGCCCTTGGAACAGGAGTGAGCATCCGTGGGCCGGCGAGTCCGGATAGGATGCAGCTTTCCCGAACGTGTGCTCCGCAGAAATCAAGCTTGGGGGGATTTAAACCAGGAATGAGCCTATACGTTTGAGCACTCTGGTTTCTTTATTTGTTTTAACACGCTGATCAGCATCTTATCGTTTCCCCCAATGTGATTTCCCACGGATTGAACTGTGTCCCCTCAAACAGATGCTGTGATCCTTACCCACTCAGCCTCGTGTGGCCTTATCTAGACCTGGGGCCACTGCAGATGGATTAGTTAAGATGAGGTCATTCCAGAGTAGGGGGAGGGGGACCCCGCATCCAATATGACTCGTGTCCTTGTGCAAAGGGGGAGTTTGGTCACAGATTCGGGAGAATGCTGGGTGAGGCGAAGGCAGAGATCTACAGGCCACAAACCACCACAGACCCAGCGACCCACCAGCAGTGCAGGGAGAGGCCACCAGGTCCTCTGGCCCCAGAAGGAACCACCCTGCCGCCGCCTGATGGCCTGCTCCGTCCGGCCTCCGGAATGGCGAGACGCGCGTCTGTCATTCACGCCATCCCTCCATCATGCCCTGTAACAGCGGCCCTGGCAAAGTCACACAAGAGCCCCCCCTCCCCGGAAGTAAAGCCCGGGGTGGGAGTGTACAGAGAGGTGTGGGGGCAGCAGGGGCCCACGTGATGCTGAAGGTGTGGCTCTCCAGAGAGGGCCAGGAGCAACCAGCTTAGAAAAGCAGAGGGGCGGCCCCCATCATCGGCCACAGAGGACCTGGGAAGCCACGTGAGGAGACTGGATCTCATTCCGAATCCAATACCACGTCTGAAGAGGGGCCCACTCTCCACGAGCAGACGATGCTCCAGAAAGATGACTGTGGCACCATCTGCAGACGAGGGTGCGGGCGGGCAGGGAGATCGGCGGCGGGGCCAGTGTGGGGTGGACCTCCACGGTCCAGGTCAGACCAGGGATGGCTTCTGGGATGGAAGTGGATGCTGCCTGCAGAGATCAGTCTGCTCTTTGGAGTGAGGAGAAAGTCAAAGAAAAAGCTGAGGTTTCTAGCTGTGGCAAACGGGAGGACAGCGCAGCACTGAACAGAGTGAGAACCGGGAAGAGAGACGTGGGGGTGGGGGATAGTGTATACATGACCTTTCTCTTCACGTGTATAGCCATAGACTGCCGGTCTCATTTAATTCATCCAAACATTAAAAACATAATAATACCCTTGGTGAAGGGATCAAATCCAGTTCTCTCTGTACCTTTGTCCCCAGGGCCAACTCTGGCTGCTGTTGACTTCCAACACACTATTGATGTGCATAACTTGCTAATCTGACTTGCAGGGATATTGACTTCTAAACACAGGGCTGATGGTGCAGCAGCTAAGGTTCAGTTTCTAACATAAATATTGTGATTAGAAATGGGGTTGGTGTGTCCCCAAAGATGTCATTGGACGAACACGCAACATACTAGGAAGTCACACCCTCTCCTGTACTCCCCCTGCCACCGACACTCATCACAAACTGTAGGATCACATACGTTGGTGCCAGAGAAGGCCATGTGCTCAGACAGTCTTCACTGGAAAAAATAAACGAGTAAAACCGCTTCCTCCTGGCACCTGTACAGCAAGAACCAAATCCTGCGGTCCTCACGTCTACAGACTTTTATTGACTCTTGGCCTATCTGATGTGGCAGCAGGCCCATATGCCTCTTGATATTTGGGGAATCCTTGAACTGGCTCCTTGTTAAGAATCCTGAGGGACAGGGAGGGTAGGAGCCAGGGAATGCTGGGTACTCAGACCCCGGGGACACTTCTCCCCCTGCTGTCTCTGGATGAGGCCGTCAAGGGGAAGAGTGAGGTTGGTGTTAGTAGGGGTTTTTTATTATTTCCCCATTGAGGTAACATGCGGCCATAAGATTCTAAAATATACCTACAAGGGACCTTCGGGTTTGTGATTGGTGAGTCACGTGACTGAGGACTTCAGATTAAATCTCATTATGAGTGAGAGTGTTTATAACCCAGCAGTCATCCTATTTCAGAAATGCTAATTGGACATATTGAATAGCATTCATTTCAGGTCCTTTTTGCTAGGGGCTCCTACAAAGCTGTCAGTAAGAATTAGGTGTACTTTATTTCAGGCTCTGTAATGTTATAATAAAGTTGTTGGGTTTGTTTCCCCCCCCCCTTTTTTTTTCTTTTCCAGATGCATTCATTATCTGGAAAACTAAAGGACAGTTGAGAAAAGGTTGTTTTTCAGCTAAGTAATGAAAGTGATCCCTTTTCTCTTATCTTGGTTTACACTACAGGATAAATTAAAGATGCCCTGTTTGGTGGAATGCATTCATTTCACTCCATGCTTTTTCCAGTCCTCAAAATTAAAATTAGTTGTGATGGAATAAAAAAAGACCAGCCGAAACCGGTTTGGCTCAGTGGATAGAGATTCAGCCTGCAGACTGAAAGGTCCCAGGTTCGATTCCAATCAAGGGCATGTACCTTGGTTGCGGGCACATTCCCAGTAGGAGGTGTGCAGGAGGCAGCTGGTTGCTGTTTCTCTCTCATCGATGTTTCTAACTCTCTATCCCTCTCCCTTCCTCTCTGTAAAATCAATAAAATATATTAAAAAAAAAAAAAAAGAATAACAAGGACCAGATTCACCCTCCTGCCTGGAACAAGTGAGACGGCAGGTGGAGTGTGTGAAGCAATGGTTCTCACACACGGAGCATCAGCCGTGCTGGGTGGTGATGATGGAGGGAGGAGACACAAACACGGTGAGTCCTGCCACCAGCCTCGCCCACGGCCCCGACAGAGCCATCAGGCAGCGGCCCAGGGAGGAGAGCCGGCAGTCTTCCTAAACGGAGGACAGGGAGCCAGGGGTCCAGGGAGGCCTCACACACTCTGGCCACGGTGGAGAGGAGAGAGCTGCACAGAGAGAGGCAAGGAGCTCTGAGGACCTGTCAGATCTTCAGAGTCTTCAGCTGAACACTGACCATGAGACAACACTACTCAAGACTGGAGAAAAAAAACACCCCAAAATATGAGATGCAAAAATCCCTGCTGATCACATAAGGACCAGCAAACGAGTGTTTCCACTAATTAGAGTAGAAAAACCCTGTAAATCATACAACACCAAGTAGAGTACTCAGGATATCGCCTGAGTAGTGAAGAAATGTTAACCCTGGACAAAAATGCTGCTCTGATTCCACCTAACCAAGCTTAAAAGCAAGCCTCAAAGGGATAAAATTGTTTCTAAGTAATCCAACTATGTCATAGAATATAGCTCAAGAATAATGTTAAGAATGCAAAAATATCAAGCACCCAAGGAAGTCAAATTCAAAATGTCAAGAATTCAATAAAAAATTACCAGACATGCAAAGAAGCAGGAAAATGGGACTCATGATAAAAAGAAAAGTCAAGCAATTAGGAAAGACCCCAAAATGACACATAACAATTAGTAGACAAGGACATTAAAACAGTTATTATAACTATATTTTATACAGTAAAGAAGGTAAAGGAAATATGGAGTATGTCGAGTAGAGGCACAGAGAAAAAGAGATAAACATGCTGATACTTCGCCAAATATAATGAAAACTATACATTCATAGATCAAAGAAGCTCAGCAAACCCAAGCACAAGAAACATGAAAAAACGACACCAAAGTGTTTCATCATCAGATGGTTTAACAACAATGGGAAAGAGAAAAAATCTTAAAGGCAGCCAAAGAAAAAAAGAGATAAGATAGACAGAAGGAAAAAAGTTAAGAATTATACAGATTTCTTGTCAGAATCAATGTAAGAAAGAAGACAGGGGAGAAGCGACATCTTTGAAGTATGAGGAATTCAAACCAAGAATTCAAAGCCTAGCAACAATGTCTTTCAAAAGCTCAGGAATCAATCACCAGGAGACCTACGTAGGAATTAGTAAAGGAAGTCTTTTGGGCAGAAGGAAGATGAAAGTTTAGCTCTACACAAGGAATGAAGAACACTGAAAATTACAAATAGAAACATGGCAATAATAGCAAATATGTTTTTATTTACTTTTTGAAAGAGAGGAAGAGAGAGAAAAGAGAAACACTGAGCAGTTGCCTCCTGTAGGTGCCCAGATAGGGAACTGACTCCACAATCTATACCTGTGCCCTGGGAATCGAATCAGCAAAGTTTTGGTATACAGGACGACATTCCAACCAACTGAGCCAGGGCTATAAATAAATGTTAATCTCTTTAAGAGATGACTTTAAATTTAATAATAATGTATGGTTTGGTGTATAACACATGTAGAAGTTTGTGACAAAGCCAGGAGATAGGAAATGAAAGTATGATATTGCACATTCTTATGATACACATAGAGTAGAATAGTATTTGAATGTAGATTGTGATAAGTTAAAAATATATGTATAATAAATTCTACTAAACTATCTAACTAATAGAGTAACTAAAAAAAAACAAACACACTTCTAAATAACCCACGGATCAAAAAGGAAACCCTAAGGGAAATTAGAAAACAGTTTGGACTGATTGGAAATAAAAAGATATCAAAATCTGGAGGAATGCAGCTCAAGCAGTACTCAGAAAATTTAGAGCACTAAACACTGATGGTTGAGAGAAAAAAAAAAAAAAAGAGGCTCTCCAATTAATGATTTCAGCTTCCATCTTAAGAAACTAGGACAATAAAAGAAGAAATTATATCCAAATTTTAATAATTAAAAATTCAATTCCCCAGAAGAAATCAGAAAAAGACAGATTAAGGGACAAAAAACAAATTGGAAATAGAGAAAATAAATAGTAAATGATAGATTTAAGCCAGCAAGATCACAAAACACATACAATTATTTAAAAACCCCAATTAAAAAAGAGATTGTCAGATTAGATTTTTTTAAAAACCCCAACACCCAACTACACACTGCCTTTAAGAAGTACAATTTAAACATAAAGATTCAAAGATGTTAAAAGGAAAAGGATGGAAAAAGATATTCCATCTTATAAATATCAAGGTAGCTTTCAGATCAAGAATATTATTGAGGATGAAGAGAGCCATTTCATAATTTCAATTCATGAAGACATCATAATCAGAAACATTTATGCACCTAAAAATAGTATCATAATACATGAAACAAAAATTGGTAGACCCGAAAAGATAAGGAATTCCATAATTATTGCAATATTTCAACATTCCTTTCTCAGTGATTGACAGAAAAACTAAACCGAAGGAAGGACATGGAAGGCTTGAACAACACCATTGATAAGCTTGAACCAACTAAACTAGAAAATGACACCCAATAACACAGAAGACATTCTTTTCTAGTACACAGAGCATGTACCAAGAGAGACAATATTCTGGGTCATAAAAAAGTCTCAATAAATTTAAATTACTTTGAATTATAAAAGCATGCTGTCTAACCACAAAGAAACTAAATTTAAAATCCATAACAACAACAACAAAAATCTCTGGAAAATTCCCAAATATTTGGAAACTATATAATACACTTCTAAATAACCAATGGGTTTAGGGAAAGTTAGTATTTAGAACTGAATGAAAAGAAGAACACAACATGCAAAATTTGGGGATGCAGCTAAGCCAGTGTTAAGAGGGAAATTCATAGGACTAATCACATATTTTTTTAAAAAAAGGTCTCAAATCAAGTGAGCTCCACTTCCACCATAAGAAGCTAAAAGAAAAAGAGAAAATTAAATGTAAAGTAATCAGAAGAAAGAACACAATAAATCATTAAAACAGAAAAAGAAGAGAGAAAATCAATAAAAATAAAAGCTGATTATTCTGATGTGTTTTTTTTTTTAAATCAAAAGCTCACTAAAATTGATAAATCTCTTTTCAGACTGAACAATAATAATAACAAAAATAGAGAAGTCACTGATCACCAACATCAGGAATTTAAAAAGTGGCATAATTACTAATGATACAAGTATTAAAAGTATAATAAGGAAATATTATGAACAACTTCACACCAATAAAGCTGACTATTTTAAATAAATGGACAAAATCTTTGAAAGATAAATACTACCAAAAATCACTCAAGAATAAACAGTTGCCCAAACCGTTTTGGCTCAATGGATAGAGCGTTGGCCTGCGGACTCCAGGGTCCCAGGTTCAATTCCAGTCAAGGGCATGTACCTGAGTTGCGGGCACATCCCCAGTAGGGGGTGTGCAAGAGGCAGCTGATCGATGTTACTCTCTCATCGATGTTTCTGTCTTTCTATCCCTCTCCCTTCCTCTCTGTAAAAAATCAATAAAAAAAAAAAAGAATAAACAGTTAACTTAAATAGCCATATACACTGAGTGACCAGATTATGATCTCTGAATGCATAATCATCTGCTACTCAGTGTGTGTGTGTGTGTGTGTGTGTGTGTGTGTGTGTGTGTGTGTATTAGAGGCCTGTGCATGAATTTGTGCATGGGTGGGGTCTGGCGAGCCTGGCCAGGGGGAGGGGACATGGGCAGTTGGCCGGCCTGCCTGCTGGTCAATTTACTAATATGCAAATTGTCCCCTCAGAATTTGACTTACCAGGAGTTCAACTGCTCGATATGATGTGCACTGACCACTAGAGGTCGGTGCGGAACAAAGGAAGGCCCCAGCCAGCAGCCAGAAGGCCCTCACCAGCCCTGATCACCCTGATCACCGGCCAGGCCTAGGGACCCTACCGTGCACGGATTTTGTGCACCAGTCCTTCAGTATATTGATAAACTTGCTTAAATAGATCTGCTTTCTAATTTAGCTAAACTTTTTCCAGCCCAGTGAAGCATCCCAACTTCTCTTTCAGGTTATTGACAGCAACACAGTAAATATAAACACAAAGCAGGTTATTACTATAGATCACACAGGGAGAACAGAGAGTAAAATATTTAACTGCAGCAGTGTTTGACTCTATTCTGCACAGTGAGGAAACCTGAAGTCATTTTCAAGGCCCACCATTCCTTACTTCTTTTCAGTCAAGTTTCTAAACTTTCTAAATCTCTGTTTTATGGCTAATGAAAAGAAAATAGGATCCCACCAAGACTCCTATCTACCTACTCCAGGATTTCTGTGAGAATCAAATGAAATGAGGCATGGGAAAATGCTTCACAGACATTTGGTTAAAGTGTAAAATGTTTGAACCTGGCTATAAAACAAGTCGTGTTCCTGAGTTGAAGAAACTATAAGGAGGCTTGTCGCTAGGAAGAGGAAGCTAGGTGTTGCTATGTGACGTCATTACCTGGCGCCACAGCGACTGTTTCCTGGCTGGGCTGGGCTGTGGGCCACATTTTGCACCACGGGGTCTCGACAGCATTGGCTGCGATTTGGTGGGCTATCGCTCTGGGGTGGTGGTGGGGCCTGTGTCCCACTTGGGGAAGCCGAGGGTTGTTTTGCCAGCGGCAGGTCCGCAATGCCGTTTCTTTGGAAATGGCCAGTGCACATCATGGCAGCTCCTGCCTTGAGCGTCTGCCCCATGGTTGGAGGAACACTCAGCATATTAGCCTTTTCTATATGTAGATTCTAGGAAATGCACACTAACCTATACTGACAGAAAGCAGATCGGGAGTTACCTGGAGATGGCATACAGGGAATGGTGGAAGAGTAGAATTATAAACGGATATGAGAAAACTTTAGGGAGTGATAAAGATGTTTGTTACCTTGATGGTGGTAATGGTTTCACAGGTGTAATATATGTTAAGACTTATCAACTGTATACCTTAAAGATGTATAGTTTACTGTATGTAAATTATACTTCAATAAAGCTGTGACAAATAAAATCAGGTATGATCATCCATCCAAATGTCAGTCGTAGGTTCCCTATAGAGTTGGCTTCTGCTATTGACTATCATTCAAACCAGCTACATTACAGTGTTCTATTAAGTCAAGTTTCCCCCTGAGAATGGGCTGCTTTTCTTCAGCATTATAGGAGTTAACTTGACAAGTGTCCTTTATTAAAGAAGGGAGTCAACCAAGGAGCAAAACAGCAAGTTATAAGGTTCCAAACTGATGCCCTTGAGGCTGTGGGGGGCTGATGTGGAGATAACGGAATACTGAGGCTGGGAGTAAAGAAAGAAGTTCTACAGGAAGAGGAGAGACGAAGAGGTGGAATGATAGGAGGGAAAGGAAAAGCGGAAATAAAAAGATAAAGTGAGTGAGAAATCAAGTTCTCCTTCCCTCTTTTATGCCACTGGGATGTTTCTCATGTCATTGGATAGATGGTAAATGCTTAGATTACCTTCCTATACTGTCCAACGGTTTAGAATAGTAATATTGGAAACAAAATTAATTTATCTTAGAGAAAAATACCAGCTAACGAGTCAATCACAGACTATTTTCCTTCATTTTTCTGGGTATCTTGATAACAGGGGAGGTGAGGGTCGTTTTCAGATCAGCATTCCCAGTAACATTTTAATTGCTTGTGTTGCATGCAATCATGGACCGACATATTTAACCCAATTAAGAGCAGTTTACAGGGGTGGAATAAGAGGGGAAAAAATAACATGATAAGCATTTAGTGAAGCCTGAATCCTCCATCCCCAGCTCTGAGTATTTAAACTAAATCACTTTTTTCTTCTTCAGAAGATACATTCAAGTGAATCAACATGTGTATTTTTAGCAGCAAGAAACTATAGCAATCGTAAGGTTTTCCTACCTTGACAAAAATGGTTGAATTGCATTCTTGCAATGCCTCCATTAAACTGATCACGTGGAGACATACCATTTCTACCATCTGAAACAAGAAACACCAACATCAATTCCACTCCCAGTAACACAGAAACTGTGCAAACAGCGGCAGCCACAGAGCGCCCCGCCCTGTGTCCGGGGGGGTCTGTCTGCACAGTGACCTCAGGGACCACAGGGAGTGGCGCTTGTGCTCCTCCAAAGCTTCAACCAGAAACTGAATTTTAAAAAATCCAGAGGCCTCCAAGCCTTCCTTCCTCTCGGGGCTGCCATGGAATTCGGGTATTGATCTCGCTAATCTGCTCTGTGATTCACACCAGAGGATCAATGGCCTCTGCTTCCTTCATGTCCAACCACAGAACCCTAGGCTCCGGCCCTTCTCCCCACCTCCCACTCCGTCCTCTCTCCAGGGCCGGCATCCGAGGAACGGTTTCCTTTGCCGTTTCTCTGTCTTTGAACCTTTGTTCGCAATGGGAAAGGCAGTCATGCTTACGACAGTTCAAAAATACAGGAGAGACGCTATCCCTTGTGGAAAATGCTTAAGGCTGAGCTTTAAACGCTCCAGGGGGTTTTTACCAGACTGGCTTTTTTTGCTTGAAAGAAATTTCCAGAATAAAATTAATTCAAATTCATTCATAACATGGTTACAAAATTCACTGTGACATTTGGGTATCAAAAGAGCTTTGAAGGAGAGGTTAGTCAAGGCATCAAAAAACAAATGACAACAGAAGGAAACTTTGAATCTGTGGTTTAAGTCAGAGGTTTCCGTTTTTTCTTCTGTAAAATGACAGAACAGAGGGTCTCACCCCCGAGTTCTGCAGTCCCGGGCACTATGATCCAATGTAATTATCTCCACTGCGGTCAGAGCTGTCTGTGCACCTCAAACTCCACATCAACGTCCTTTCCACGGAACTAAAACATCTCTCCCCTGCTTTTTAATAACACCTGCTTTTCTAAAGAAAAGAACATGCTTTACTAAAGGAAACATATAATCTCCTTTCCAATTAGAACGAAAAGAAGATTTCTTAGACTAATTTTCATTCAAAAAGCCTTCTTGGGATGCCTGTTGTGGGCAGGGCGGTGTTGGGTTTCTGAGCCTGCTGGGTCCTTCCAGCCCTTGCCACTCACGGATATGAATGCCACCCAGACCCAAGACACGGGCAGCTTTCCCAGCCCAGAACCCTTTGCCAAAGCCATGAGCTGTGCCCCCTACAACCTGGACCCCATGAGGACTCATCCACGCATGTTCAGCGACATAGGCTCAAGCTAACCAGATCCCAGATGTTTTCCAGTAAGTTCGGAGCAGCCCCTCCCTTGGAGAACCATCTACCTTAAAGCGGAACAGGGTTTGAGGATTGGGGAGCTGAAATCCTTGGGGATAAGCTCTGAGTGGAATGAGCACATGTAGTGTCCTAATTTGCTACGGTTTTGTTTTGTTTTAAAATATGAATCCCTCTCCTAATCCTCTGAATGTACAGTACCAACACAAGTCTCAAAAGGAAAAGTTTCATCTACATTTCCTTTGGCACTAGGCAGAGAGGACAAAACTTGGTTGTACTCAACGGCCTTGTTAATTCTGTTTTGTTTTGTTTTTATCCCAATTCTTATGCGAGTCGGACACCCAGTTTACCATGTAAAGATTCATCAATCCATTTCTATAAAATAACGCTGAGATCTTGAAGGCAGGCGGAGTGAGAACTGGGAGTGGTTTACACATTGCACGATTCCGGCCAAACTGCTTTGTGAGCTCACCACTTTGTTGTGGGCCATCAGCTGGAGGATGCTGGGTGTTACCCTGCTCCAGAACTCCAGCGCTGTCAGGATCGCAGTGAAACTGAACTCATTCTGATTTTGGACATTTGTAGCCACAGCACTTTGTTCGCAGTACACGGTCCAGAGCTGAGCAAAGATGAACGCGTGGAAGAGGGAACACATGTGCAGCACGGAGGTCTGAGGAGGAAGGAGAGGAAGAGCGGTTACCTCCTCGTGTGGGCTGGGCTATCCCTCGGGGAACCCTCCCTCTGAGGCTTTGGCCTTCCAAGGAGCACAGCCAAAGCACAGCCCATCCAAGCGATCAGAGGCTGGAGGCTTAGCTCCAACTTACAAATTCATGATCCATGGCCTCAGAACAAGCTGTTCTTCACCCGCCAGAGGAGACACCTGAGTGTACAGAGTAAATCTACCCACCCCTTTGCCCTTTAACAAAACGGACATTTCCATCTTTAAACTATATGAGGAAGAATACTTGTTCTACCATTTCCTGAAATGTTTCCTCATTTGCAACATGGGGATGACTGTACCCTCCCCAAAGAGTTGTATGTAGCCGAAACCGGTTTGGCTCAGTGGATAGAGCATCGGCCTGCGGGCTGGAAGGTCCCAGGTTCGATTCCAGTCAAGGGCATATACCTTGGTTGCAGGCACATCCCTGGTAGGGGGTGTGCAGGAGGCAGCTGATCGATGATTCTAACTCTCTATCCCTCTCTCTTCCTCTCTGTAAAAAATTCAATAAAATATATATATTTTTTAAAAAAGAGTTGTGGTTAGGAGTGCATGAGTCGATATATCTGGACACACTGCCCAGCACTGACTAATTATAGTCCTACTATTAGTAGTAATAATCACAACAGCAGTATTCCTGCTGGCAGTAAGCACTGATGGAGCGGGAACCTACAGTGTCCCAGGCATGGTGCTAGACGCTTTTCATAAATCACCTCCCTAATTCTCAAACCACCCGCTCACCGGTTTCACAGAGGAAAAGCCAGAGCTCAGAGAGGTTCGGTAACTTTTTCAAGGTCACAAAATTACAAAGTACCTAAGAATCACACACAGATCTGGGTTGAAGTATCAGGAACTGGTTGCCTTGTTTCTCCTGACAACATCCTCCCGGTCATTTGAACGGGGGGCTCTGTGTTGTCACAGAGTCAGCTTGTCCTGGCCCAAACCCACCCTGACCTCCCAGAATCTGTTAAGCTTTATGAATGGGGCCTTGGCTCCTCGGAGCTAATTAGCACCAATGCATTTCCTTTGCTTGGACTGGCTCAGGGCTGATGCCTGCCCTGTGTTTATTCCCTGCAGCACGCCATTTGTCTCCACATTTACAAAGTTCCCCTGTGTAGGTGCTTCTGGTGTGTACTTTAGTGAGTCCCCAACTGCCTTCTTATTTTCACACTGCATCCCCCTATTTCCCCAGAGATTTGAGTTGAAAAGATCGTGCATGCAGAATTAGGTAGAGTATACATTTTCCTTCGCTTCATATCTGGTTTTAAAACCCGATGACAGAATTGTTATTGTATTTCTAGCCTCTCATTCCGCTTCATTATTTTTCAGACAGAGATGGCTAGGAAGCTGACTCTTGCTCGCCTCCATAATTTATCTTCATAAAAGTAAACCGAAAACAATTTAGGGGAAAGAAAAGAGTCTGGGAATTTAAACAACTTAAAATAAGGCATTAGCACAAAGTCACTTTCCTGATAGCCACAGGAGGGCCCGTGATAAGATGCATTTTCTTCTAAAAAAAAAAACCATAATTGGCCGATAAGGGTTTCCATTAGCAATTTCGATGCATATGGCCTTAATCTCGCAGGAGTCACTCACCTTTGATTGCTCTGGAAATCCGATCAGGATGACGATGAGGTGGTCGGCGATGTGGGAACCTGCATCCAGAGGAATGGGCAGGCAGGGGGAGGAGGCGCTCGGACACACGGCGTTGTGCGTGAGGGACCCCAGCAGCAGCCAGGACAGCAGCCGGATGTGGGAGACACACTCGATGAATTCTTTCGGACTGTTGGAGAGAAGGAAGAGTCCCAGGTGACTTTATGTTCTCTGTTCTGTTGAGTGCTCAACAAATGCTCATGGAGGGAAGGGATTCAAAGTGTGGTCTCATAGGCAAGTTACATAAAACAAAACGCCAAGGTGGCAGAGTGTCAACAAAATGGCGTATCCGTGGGTGGGGGTGGTGGGGTGGTGCTTGTTTCCCACTTGAATCCTGGGTCTAGGCTTCCTGAGCAAAGGGCAGCCTTTGGGGATACAGGGTTAAACACCATTCTTCCCCAAGCCACTGCCTTTCTGACTAGTAGTGTCTCTTTCTAGACTCTTTCCTTTCTTCTCACTAGAAAGCTTGACATCCCCACAGAGAGAAGGAAATAGAGAAGAGTGTAAAACACACAGCCCCTCATTTTCCCGCTCTCCAATTATTTTTTCCTGCCCTCCTCACCCCCCACTCCAAATCTTGCCTCCAGACGGGAAGTGAACCAGCGAAGTGGCAGGCTCAAGCCTGCCTGGGGTTCCCAAACAAACTACCCACGGGCACCTCTCTTCTTATCCTCCCTCAGAAGCAGGATCACAGTTCATACTCCCCTTGCACTCTTAGTTCATTTCTGCTGCAGACCTTGTTCTGGCTACGATCTAAGCTCATTGAACAAAGAAGCTGTGTAAGTGCTCAGTAAATACCTACGGACTTATTAATGAGCTGAAGAGTTAAAGGGATAAAGCGCCAAGTGTTCGGCCTCCCTCAGGGTGACTGAGATTTTTGTGTGAAGGCAGTTCCTTTTACTGGCACCATGTCAGGAGGTCCTCGAGCTCAAAGATGCTGCCAGGGTAGCCAGTAAGCACATGGGTGTGTGTGTGTGTGTGTGTGTCTCAATTCCCATCTTTCCAACCAAGCCTATTCCATCCCCATGAACCTTCGGTCCATCACTTGTTCTCACAAAGCCCAAGGAAAAAAGAAACTCAGGGTGCTTCCTGCCTTAGGTACCCTCATGGCTGGAATAATTGGGGTCTTACCCTTGTTGCATTGCGGAAGGGGGATGATAGAGCCATGGCAGATAGCGAATCACAGCTTTGTTGTCTCTGTGGTTGCCCCGGGAGATTTCCATGGCCGCGATCTGAGCCAGCCCCACTTTGAGATGTCCGCCGAAGGTATCTTCATGCAGAGGCTGGGAGCATGCCTTCATGTGGTTCTACAAAACCAAACACTGTTTCGTGACTTTGGCAGAGCGCCTGAGACGTTTCAGACCACTCTTTGAAACGATCTGGCTATCATTTCCACGCCTCCTATCACCACTCCCAAGCATACGACCCATTGGAGCGTCAATGGCTTCCCCCTGTCCTTAGGATGAAGAAAAATAAATTCCTCTGCAAAGCCTACAATGCCTGGGATGGCCTTGCTACTGCAGAGCTCTGCATCTTACCTCTTCCTCTTTGCGGTCCGGCTACAGTGGTTCCCTCCCATAACTGGCCTTCAGTCATGCTGTTCTTGCTGCCTAACATATTGTTCCAATCTCTCCTCACCTAATTAACTATTCATTGTTTGGTTTTTAGCCTACATGTCACTTCCTCCAGAAAGCCTTCCCTGACTTCCTCCCTGGCTAGACCATATCATCCTATTAGAAGCTCTTAGGCCACTGTCTACCCCTTCTTCATGCGATTGTGAAAGTCACAATTTTACTTTAGTGTGTATAAAATTTTCATTAAACTGGGTCTCCACTACCAGACTATAAATTAAATTAGGACAGCTAATGTATTTGTTTTGGTTCATTGTTGCATCCTAAATGCTTAGAATTGTGCAAGGTACAGTATAGATGCTTATTATATATTTGTTAAATTCATTCAGAAAAATATATCTTTGATCAGTGAGGCTTAGTGAGTGAAAAGAGGCCTGAACTGCAGTTGAGACCCAGGTTCTAGACCCATTCGTTCTGTCTTAGTCGCATGACCTTAGATAAGCCATTTACTATTTGACCTTTCTCATCTGTTTGCTCATACAAAGGCAAATCAGAGAGGTGGATTATGTCTGCAGTCTCCGACCTTTTGATCATCATGGATTATTCTTTTTCTCTGTATTTTTGAAAGTGGCTCTCTAAAATGAGCTAAAAATATTTAGGTAACAATTGTCCCCGCTTCTTCGTACATGGAAGCCATTTAAGGGTAGGCAACCCGATTCGGCCATCAGTAACCAGCGTCTGATCAAACGCTAGGGGAGCTTCCTTGGAAATAACTGGGCTTGGAGAGCCTGAGAAAGCACCGCTTTAAAGTCTGATCCTACTTTCCACTAGGATGTGCAGATCCATCGCTGTCCCGAGAAGCAGTCAGACCATCTGAGCAGAGTCTGGCCACTGCGCTGGGTGCTAAAGGGGCCATATTTTTAGCTGACGAGCTTCTGGCATGCCTAGATCCTGTTTATCAAAGAGGAATCATTTGGTGCCAGATTGCAATCTGGCTGCTCACTGGGCCATGGTTAGAGTCTCTTCTGCCCTCTGTCCGGGGCCTGCCTCAAATCGCCCGGACTATCAATCTTTCAGTGGGCTCGTGGCAGGGAAGTCGACTTGCATCAGCAATTCATTGCACCCTGCACAACCAGCGAGAAGCTCGACAAATTCACTGGGAACTTGTCCATCTGCTAATTACAGTTTGTCCTATCCCTTGTCTTTAATTATTCTCTGGAAGAAGATAGGTTCAATGCAGATAAAAAACCATAAACGGCTTACGTTTGCATAATGTGTTACAGTTCACAAGTCTCTTCACCTGCATTATTTCACATTAAACCTTAGCAAAGGTAGGTATCGTTAGGTTTGTTTTGCGAATGAGGAAACGGAGGCTCTAGGTAGTTACATGAGGTGCAATTCGAACGGTTTGGCCGTCACTACAGTCTTAGGTCAGCCCCGACTCTACTACCACATATTAGTAGTGCGACCTGGGCAAATTCCTGCCGCACTCCAGGCCTCGGTTTCTACATTTGTAAAATGGGGATCACACCTCCGTGGGGCACTGCGAGAACTGAATAAATGGCAAAAATAAAGCTATGTACATGGCCGACGACACGTAAGCATCCTGTCCTTTCTCCTTTCGCTCTCTGCAGAGGCGGGACTCCGTTCTTCAGCCTCCCGGGCATGGGAAGCATCCAGGTAACAGTGACTTCCCACCCGGGCTGCTTACGTCTCTCAAACCGGGTCATTAACCTAAGAGACGGACACACGGAAGCGCGCTTACCTTCAGCTTGGTGAGCGTGTGCATGTCTGCCATGAAGTCCAGCACCTCGCTGATGGACTGCCGCACGCACTCCATGGCCGCCGTGCCACACTGAAACACAAGGACACACACCGCTGGGCGTGCGCTCAGAGTCACGCCTTCCTTTCTGCCCTGGCTGCCCTGACTGTCTCCCTCTGGTTTCACGCTGTTTGCTAACGAGCTGTTTCATTTTCTAGGTTTCTGACTCACTCCAGTAACCTCAGCACAGTATGTGATTGTCTGCCCCGGAGTTGGGACCAACATTGATGAAAGGTTTGTGATGGTGAGCAAAGAAGCAGCCTACAGGAGACAGAGCGACATGCCTCTGTCCACGGGGAGATCTCGCTGGTTTTTGGTGGACCGTCTTTCAAGCAGCTGGTACATAGAGATTTAGCCTAGGTAAAGCCATTAGCATCAGTCTTCAGGACAGGAGTCACACTGAAACTACATTTTATCACTTTAGGGAGTCCTACCTACTCATAAAATGTGTGACACCAAATTCCATCAGCAGAATCTGTATATAAACAAAAGTATATAGCCCAGCCGGCGTGAGTAAGTGGTTGAGCACCAACATGTGAACTAGGAGGTCATAGCTTGATTGCTAGTCAGAGCACATGCTTGGGTTGTGGGCTCAGTCCCCAGTTGGGGGAGTACAGAAGGCAGCCGATCAATGATCCTTTCTCATCACTGATGTTTCTCTCTGCCCCTCGCCCTTCTTCTCTGAAATCAATACAAAAATTTTTTAAATGAATTAAAATTTTTTAAAAAACACAAAAGTATATAAACAAATATTGTTTGCCGGAAGAGCCAGACTGTTTATATTCAAGTCAAGTCATTTATAGCTCAATTCATACATGGCTGGTACACTATTGAGTAGATAAATGTATTACTGTTGTGTTCTTGCTAGGGATCTACACTAATAAAAGAGAAAGATGCAAATTGACCATACCTCTGCGGCACCCACCAGCCAATCAGGAAGGAATATGCAAATTAGAAGAACAAAGATGGTGGCGGCCCCGTAGCTGCCCAGCTGCTCCAGGTGCAGAGCAGTGGGGAAGGACACCTGCTATGAGAGGGAGGGCAGGGGGCAAAGGAATCTACAGGAGAGGCACTCCAGCCACAGCAAAGACGAAGACAGCAGACTCCAGCTGGAGTCAGCAGCAAAGATGAAGGTGGCAGACTCCGGCCAGAGTCTGCAGTGAAGATGAAGACAGAAGACTTCAGCTGGAGTCTGCAGTGAAGACTGAGACAGGAGACTCCTGCCAGAGTCTGCAGTGAAGACCGAGACAGGAGACTCCGGCCAGAGTCTGCAGTGAAGACCGAGACAGGAGACTCTGGCCAGAGTCTGCAGCAAAGGTGGAAGGCCTGGGTCCCGGGTGCCGGAGGAAAGCTGGTGCCGGAAGCCAGGGGAAGGAAGGCCTATTGCACGAATCTTCGTGCAACGGGCCTCTAGTAAATCAATAAACAAACAAAATGGCCATCTTCCCCAGATGCCAGCAGCACATTTGGGAGGTTTTAGGAAAAGAAAGCACACTTGTGCTTCAGGTTAGTAAATGGCATCAGCCTACTCTCTCGGGGCAAGGCAGTGAATTTGGGATTCTAAGCAGAGAAAAGGAAAATGAGCAGACAGGCTGCTACATCAAAGCTGCATGAGAGAACCCACAGGCTGGGCTTACTGCGGATCAAAAGCAGGCCGTCTTTGAAGCCATCTGAATGCTGTGCTCAGGCCTTTCTCGGCTTCCTTTAGGAAAATTGGGAACATTATACATTTAACTAGCTCACCCAGTCAGAAACCATTTTCCCATATTCATGTACATCTGCCCAGCCCTGAATTGTTTCACCTCTTCTCTCCTCTGGGATGTTACGCCTGCCAGTCCCGCTGACAGGATAATAAACAGGAGAAGAAGGTCACTGGCAGTTCCGCAGGAGAGTTCTCCAAGCGTTTCATATGCACTAAGGTTTTCTTCTTTTCATTTAAATCAAGTGGAGGAATTATAAAAGGTTATTGTGCCCCTGCTTTTGGAATATTAATCCTTTAATGCAAGAAGGGATTTCCCCCCAATTTATTCCATTTTCTCTGACCTTTCACATGTCATGCAAACAGGAGCACACACTTGGCGTGTCTTGAAAGGGATTTGTTTCTTTCATAGGCAATATTTTGTTCCTTCTCAAGTAAGCAAATGTCACAGAAAATAACTACTAGGAGCGGTATTTAATATTTGTCTTTTAAGTTTAAATTGAAAAAAAAATGAGAGCAAAGACTTTACTATTACTCAGTTATGTTTGCTCTAGAGACCAGCAACTACATCTAATAAAAGCCTTAAAATACACTTTATAGTCAGGATAACCTTAGTGAGCTATATACACTTACAAAACAAAGCATATTAATTTTCGCACACCCCTTTTTTTTAATCTGCAAAAAATCAGTATAACCTTAGGTGTGTTATTAAAAAAGAAAACCCACTAAGAGTCACATTCCACTTGCTTTAGAAGGCCTATGTTTATTTCAGTAGGAAAACTAATGATAAAGGTGTTGAATACATACTCTAACCCAGTGGTCGGCAAACTCATTAGTCCACAGAGCCAAATATCAACAGTACAATGATTCAAATTTCTTTTGAGAGCCACATTTTTTAAACTTAAACTTCTCCTAATGCTACTTCTTCAAAATAGACTTGCCCAGGCCGTGGTATTTTGTGAAGAGCCACACTTAAGGGGCCAAAAAACTGCATGTGGCTTACGAGCCGCAGTTTGCCAACCTTGGCTCTAACCCCAAAACAAGAATTGAATTATATCCAATTCATCCTTTAAACTTATGTCTGATTTTAAAGCTACTTTGCTTAAATTGTAAAAGTAACATGTGCAATGTAGAAAAGTTGAAAAATACAAATTAGTAAAAAGAAAAAAAAATCACTATAACCCTAATTCTTGTACTTTGCCTGTGAGACAGCCACTGTGACTGAGTCCTTCCAAGTTCTTTCCAATGCATATGGCATACACACATACATACAATATTTATAAGGCTGAAGTTGTTTTCTAACTTGCTTTTGCGTTAAATCTATCATTTTCCAGTTGATTAAATATCCTTTGAAAACTTGATTTGGTAGCCACATAATAGTGTATCTTGTAGATACACCTTATTTTATTTAAACAAAACCCTAATGTTGGACATCCTATATAATAAAAGGCTAATATGCAAATCAACCAAACAGCAGAACCACTGGTTGTTATGATACACACTGACCACCAGAGGGCAGACACTCATTGCAGGAGCTGTGTCCTGGTGGTCAGTGCACTCCCACAGGGGGAGCACCTCTCAGCCAGAAGCCAAACTCACAGCTGGCGAGCGCAGCAGCAGTGGTGGGAGCCTTTCCCACCTCCGCAGTAGTGCTAAGTATGCCCCGCTGCCGGGGAGCGGGCCTAAGCCAGCAGCCAGACATCCCCCAAGAGCTCCTGGACTGCGAGAGGGTGCAGGCCCCCCGCCCCCACCACCACCCTTAGTGCACAAGTTTCATACACAGGGCCTCTAGTGAATTATATTTCCATATATTTGCTGTATTAAATGCTGCTTTAATAAATACACTTGTATAAATTCTTATAAGCATTTTCTCAAACATATTTACAGAAGTAAGCAGTCAAACTGTTCTTCAGCAAGCCACCAGAATACTTGGTTGTACCATTTTTTATGACCACCAGGAGCTTATAAGAATGTTTGTTTCACTTCATCATCAATACCTTTATTCATTAAGAAAAACCTACTGATTTGCTAGCTGATTTTAATTTTTATATTTTTACTATCCTAATATTTTGTATTAATTTACAGTTCACTGATGGCTAGTGAGGTAAAAGGTACATTTTAAATTGACTTATTGGTCATTGGAAAGTGTTCTATATGTGGCTCCTACAACTATTTTTGGTTTTTTTTTGTTGTTGTTCTTATTGAAATAGTTTGTCTTTTACTTGTGGATTCCAATAACCCTATGATATATTAAGGATATTATTTTTAAGCTATCACATAGGTAGCAAATACTGAGTTTTAAAGAACTAAACACTATGCCAACCAGTGAGTGTGCAACAGAGACTGGCTAGCTACTCACAGAACTATTTCTCCTCTGGCCCATGAAAACTTTCTGTGTGCCATATTCTCTTCTCTTCTCCCAACCACCAGCTGATTGCAGAGGACTGCACAGAGTGGAAGGAACCTGACCCCTACGTGTTCACATGTAGTCCTCCTCCCTCTGCTAATCAAGATACCCGCTTTAACTTCACACAAGCAAACAATGAACTTTGTGTGCTGAGTCACTGAGCATTGGCATTTTATCTCATAGCATTACCCTAATTACTATGAAGAACTCTTGAAAAGAACATAGTCAAGTAATTATACTTCCAAAAATCTATTGTAAAAATATAGTCTAAAGTATGGACAACGATTTAAGCACAAAGGGGTTTATCACATATTAGCTACAATTGCAGAATTCTGAAAGTAACTAAAAAATCCAAAAATAATTAATGTTTGTTAATATTTGTTTTAATAGTTATTTTTTACTCAATACTTATTGCATGTTGACACTATGCTAATAGGCTTTGCATGCATCATTTTATTCAGTCCTCAACCTAGACATTGGGCTCTGAAATATCCCAATTTACAGATAATAGAAATCAAAGAATCACAGGCAAACTGACTTTCCTCATCACATAGCTAGTAAATGGCAGACCTCATCCTCTGCCGTGACTCTAGTCCCTACATCTTTATCATTTTTCTATGGCACATTCGCATGAGGTAATACTCTGCAGCCATTAAACTTTGGGGACAATACTTATGTCATATGAACCAAACTGCATTTAAACACATGCACAGAAAAAGAGAAAAAAAATTCATTGAAATATTAGCAGTAAAATTATCTCTGTTGAATGATTATTTTTTCTGCTCTCAAAATTTTTATACATTAACAAAAATATAAACAGTAGTTTAAAAAAATGATTAGTGTTATGGGTAAAACTGGAATACTTATACATGTAAATTAATAAAACTTTTTTGGAAAGCAATATGAGAATATATATCATTAATATATTCCTATGCTTTAATTAAAGAATGAGTCCCAAGAATATAATTCAAAATAAAGGTGAAAATTTTATATACATACATTTCCAACAATATGGGAATAAGCCAATTAGGATACTGAATAGATCAAAACATGGAAAAATATTATAAAACAACAGAGTTTCTCATTTTAAGGCAGAGGAATTATACGTGATCTTTTTCTTTATTAATTTTTTTTCTATTGAAAATTTAAATAATTGTTTTCAATAAACAATATCACTAAAGTTTTTTAGTTTGTTCTAGTAAACTTGCTCGCTTCTCATTGCAATGCTGTCCATGATATACTTAACATATTTTACCAAATCATGCACTAGCTAATAATAATGGAAATGTTTTAATTTCAAAGAAAATGTTATAAAGGAAAACAAGGTATTACAATGCTTATTTTTTTCTAGATGTATTTAAATCAAATTATTCAGTGGGAGCCAGTACAGGAAAATTGGTTCTGGAAAAATGAAAACTTTAATCAAATCTGTTCTTTTTTTTCTTTCTTTTTTAATCCTCACCTGAGGATATATCTTTATTGATCTTTTAGAGAGAAAGTAAGAGGGAGAGAGAGAGGAACATCGATATGAGAGAGAAGCATCAATTGGTTGCCTCCCATATGCAACCTGACTGGGGATCAAACCAAAAACCTAGGTATGTGCCCTGACCGAAAATCAAACCCGCAACATTCTTGGGACAGCACTCCAACCAACTGAGCCACACTGTCAATGCCAACCTATTCTTCATGTCTAGTAATTCCTTTTCTCTCCTTAACTAGCTGCTTCAATTTTACTCATGTTTCCTGGAATTAAATGTTCCCAAGGGCTGAAATTAATTTAAATTTTCACCAGTGCTCTTTTTAAAAAGACGCTAATATGTTTTCAATTTTACAGTGTTTCTTCTATCAAAGTGTACCAGGACACAGGCCAAAAACACCTCTTTGCTAAATGAGGAAAGAAGAAAACATAAAGCATAGACAATTAGTTCAATGGGGACTTACTCCAGGTACAGAGGCGATCATCTGCTTGCTCAGGATCGTCGACTCAGCTAGTTTGGTTCCAGCATCTGCACAAATAAACTAATAAGAAATTGAGAGGATAATTACTTTTAAGGGCATTTGGACAGTAATAAGTAGTTTATCATTTTATTAACTTGGCTTAAATTCATTAGTGTTTACTCCCGTGACAATCTGCCCTGGATTCATGGTACTTGCTAATCATGACAGCTGATTCCTACGAGAAATTCAGAATCATTGTACTGAGATGAACACACGGATTCTTACTTTACCCAGCCAGCTCAGTGGCACTGGAAACGTGCATTTGGTCAAGGAAGAAAGAAAAGCAGTCAGCATTATCAGGTCAATTCCAACATGACTCTATTTCTTCTTCAGCACTCTTGACAGTTACTGAACTTTCATAGGTTTTTCCAGACGTCTACCATTGTATTGTACATTGAGAATGAAAACAGAAAAACAATGAACCTCAGAGTGAGGATTCTAGCTGTTTCTTCCCCTCCAACTCCCCTGGGAATCTGGTCTTCCTTACCTCACTTCGTTCATGCCTCTCTGTGCTGACAAGGGCCCCCACGCCTGCTGTGTCCCACAGGACTTCCCACGTGCTTCCATTGTGGTAGTCATGACATGAGATTGCAATGACCTCTGGGTCTATTCTTCACCTGCCGGGAGCTCTGTGAGAGCACAGCCTCGATGTACCTCGTCCCAGTACTAGATTTGCGCCTCACTTCTCAGAAGGGCTCAGCAAAAGTTGGTGAAATGAAGTGATTCATCAATTATGGACAACTGAGATCATGATGAGGATGGATTTGCCAGATTATAATCTAATTTCCTTCTTTTACAGATGCTAGGTGTACCGGTTAATAATGGCAGATTTTGTAATCAAAGAAAACATGATAATTTCAAGAGAAACATCAAAAGTGCTTTATTAAAAGTAATGTCCATTGTTAGCTACACATCTCCCCCAATAAAAGGTAATTTGCGGATACTATCCCAATAGAACTATTCTTGTTTTGAGGCAAACCATTCAGAGTTCACATCTTCGTATGTTTTGAAGTGCTGCTCAGAAAGTGTGTGTGCCATTGATCAGAACAAGTGGTAATCTGAAGGAGCAGGGAATTGTGAATATGATGGGTGGGTTAATACTTCCCAGGCAAGATCTGTTAACCTGTCTTTAACTGGTTTTGAAGTGTGTGATGGTGCATTATAATGAAGCAAAATTACTTTACTGTGTCTTCTGGCACATTCCGGTCGTTTCATGATCACAGTGTGGTTCAAATTGATTATATGTTGTCAGTAGTGATCAGTATTAATGGTGTCACCTGATTTTAGAAGCTCATAGTACACCACACCTTCCTGATCCCACCAAACACAGAGCACTGTCTTCTTTCCGAAGCGATTTTTGCCTTGCAGTCCATGTTGACAGTTAACCTGGATCAACCCATCATTTTGTGGGTTTGGGATTCTCAAAATAAATCTTTTCATCGTCAGTCACAATTTGATGCAAAAAAGGCTTTCCTTTGTGCCATTGAAGCAACATTTTACTGATGACTTTTTGGTTTTCCATTTGTCTTTCATTCAGTTGTTGTGACACCCATTTTCCTTCCTTTAAAATCTTTCCCATTGCTTATACATGTTCAGAAATTGTTTGCTGAGCAATGTTTAATCTTCCTGCAAGTTGTTTTTGAATTTGACACACATCTTCATCCAATAATGCTTGTAATTGTTGGTCTTCAAACTTTTTCAGTTAACCTGGACATTCTTTGTCTTTCACATCGAAATTATCATTTTAAAAGTGTTTAAACCAGTATGCACAAGTATCTTGAGATGGAGCATGTTCACCATAAGCTTACTGAAGTATACAATAACTTTTTCTTCAAAATAAAGTAATGAATTAAATTTCCTGCAAATGCTCTTTTTTTGGCACAAAATTCGACATTTTTAAGAGTAAAAATATCTATGATGTTAACACCTTCAGCAAATTTGACAGATGAGGTTTTTAAGCTTGCTGTCAATACAACAAAACAGTATACATATCAAATTGCATATGTATCAACATATGTGTAATGCCATCTATTGAAAAATATCTGCATTATTAACTGGTACACCTAGTATCTACAGATATTTACCACTTAATGTAACACCCAATTATCTACACTAATTAAAGAGTAAGATGCAAATTGACCGTACCTTTGCAAAACCCACCAGTCAATCAGGACTGAGTATGCAAATTTACCCAACAAAGATGGCAGGTTAATTTGCATGCTCAGGTGCAGTGTTCTGCACTGCCCCAGCTGCTCCAGGCCTATGGGCAGTGTGGGAAGGCAGAAAGGCAACCCTGGGCTGGAGCAAAAAGATGGCTCCGGCCAGAGCGAAGGCAGTGCTGTCAGCCAGGGGAAGGAAGGCCCATTCTTGCACAATATTTGTGCGTCGGGTCTCTAGTTTATTAATGGTTTTAGGGGGAAGGTCAAACATGAAGCCCATTGAGTTTGCTATGAGCTTTTATTTCCTGGACAGTTTCTCTCTCCTGGTCTCTTCCCAGTGGCCCCAACCACTGTGGGACCCAAAGCTGCTGCTTTGCAGAGTCCAGAGGCTCGGACAGAAGCTCTGGCAATGACAGCACCTCCTAATTCATTACACTCTCACACTGAAAGAGCACAGAAGCAGTAGGTGGATCGAGGCAATGAGATAGCTCCACTGGGCAGGCTCAGACCTTGTCTAACTGGAGAGAGGTAATATGGGACAGGGTGGTAGAGAAAATCCCAAGGAGGCCGGATGAAGAACAGTAGCCAGCACATGCACATTAACCAGGGGCCGTGATCAAAGCATTATAACAGGCGGCAGGATTGGGCTAACAAGGAAAAGCTATAAATCAAAGGCCTTCTGAGGTCAGGAAGCCCATCGACTTCTTGGCCAAGGCCACCAGCTGGTCTTCATGTGCTCCTCCATGAAAGGTGCTTCCGTGCAGGTGACTGAGCAGGGAGGAGGAGACAGCAGGCAGAGCTGCCTCTGAAAGCCGCATGGCAGGTGTGGACACACATTTCCACACTCACATTCTGTCATTTCTTCTTGCCTCAAATACAGTTACAGAAAATTTAAGAAGCGCCTTGGCTGGCAACTCCGAATCTGGCAAAGAAAGTGCCAGCTAGTAACACCCAGGGAAAACCTAAAATTTTCCATTATTTTATTCAGGAATGCTTACGTCTGCTCTTCTAACTTGGGCTTATTTCTAATACAAGGAAAAGTAAATAAATCAGGATTTAAAGAAAAAAAAAAAAGTAAAGCCTATACCTTTGGCCAAAACCTGTAAGGAAAAAAATCTGACAGAGTATAGGATGAGAAGGAGCTCCTAAAATCCTGACAGCTAGTTTTCTGCATAAAATTTATTTACAAAAGCTGTCTGAGTCTGCAATCTAAGACAAACTACTTAGAAATAAGTTCCCAAACCTCTGCCAGGACATCAACATTTGAACTAATTTCTTTAAAACAGAAACAAGAGACTGCACAGCGAATGGAGGCGAAGGGCAAGACAGAAGTGTGAGGAAAGAGAGCTCAGGGTGAGGAGTGACCTCCCTGGGGGTCTAGAGCCCTCAGCCCCGAAAGCATGCTTTCCAGCCTGGCTGCACCCTCGAGGGCAAGACAAGATTTGTGAAGAACCAAAACTTCAACCTTCTCGATCTCCAGCAGCAGAAGCCTCTCTTACCTACAAAGCGGAGGGAGTGGCCTCGTGGAAGTATGTTGTCAGCCATAGAGGCTCAAGGTCTGAGGCCAAATTCAAATGCCTGATCTGTGATCTCTTGGAAGTCAAAATTAATTAAAAATCACTCTAAACGTTATGGAGGTCTGCAGAGAGTCTGCTATGTTAAAGGGTATAAAAGTGCATAAGCCTGAAATCATCGACTATTTATTTTTTTTAATCCAAGCATCTTAATCCAGTGCAATTTAACATGATAGGCACGACTAAGTAAAATTTTCTCTCTCCCTTTCATAGAGCTGCCAACCAGGAACTGAAAAGCGCCGTTGTAATTTTATAGAATTGCTCAAAGTATAAAGATGTAACTAAAGTCAGGGAGGGAAGGATGACTACCATACAAGGAAGAATTTTATACTTTCAGGTAGAGACAGGCACGCCCGCACCCATACAAAAGAGCACAGAAGAAACACAGTATCCATTATGTGTCATTACTAAATTCACGATCAAAATGAGACTCAAAATAGTACCTCCACCTCTCATCCCAGAGAGTGATCAGACTGTTAGTAACTCCGCGAACATTAATAACCCTCTGCATACACCTGTGCATTAAAAACAGTGCCCCTGCCACTTCTTTGTCCTCCAGCCCACAACCAACCTATCTTTGCAAGAAAACCTTTCACCCACACGATTTCTCAGACGTGAACATGCAGGTATATCCCACACAGTGGGTGTGCTATATGCAAATTAGCAGAATGTCTATTCTTGACATATAATGGGAGCTGAGGACGTTCTTTTGGATGTGAGCTGCTTCTGTAGCCTTAGAGTGGCTGTTAGCGGGCTACCCCTCTATTATGGAAACTCTGCTTTAATCCGTCTTGAGAACACGTACAATCGCATCTGACACAAAGGAGCTACAGCAGACCCACAGAAAAGAAAACATTGCAGGTGAGAGCAAAACTGTCAGCAGATCTGAGCTAAAACCAAGCCTTGGTCCACAGAGCACAACAATCACACCCTGATGGTTGCCATTTTAGATTCTGAAGAATACATATATTTTTTTCTATTTTGCAAACTATTTCCTGTTTTCATGCCTCTTTTTCTTAAAAAAGAAAAAAAAATCCACTTGCACATCCAAAGTCTCTTGATTTCATATGTAAGTAAAAACAAGTGATAGGAGTCACGGCTGGACAGCCACTATAGTGGGCTGGGAAGTTTCCATGAACCCTGCCTCCGGGAGGAAATCCTAGGAATTAACAAACAGATTGGTCACTGTCTTGAAATGTTTAGAACTTGGGTGGCCCCATATTCTCGGGCAAGTGTTCCATTGCTCTTTATGGGGATGCTCACCAAGAGAGTATTGAGTATTTGGTAATCAACAAAGGCACAGTCCATCTATGAGAGACTAAAAACAGCTTTATCTCTAGCAACTCATCCATTGTCTAAGTCATTAACTCAAGAGGAAGAGGAAACACTAGCGTTTTCCAGGTGGCTGGAAGAATGAAGGGTAAATCCAAGGTCTGAGGGTCTGACTTCTCACTAATGGGGCCACTGGCATGTATGACAGATCCCCACGGGAGGTTTTCCTTTCAAATGTTGCTGTCTTTTCTGTTTCCAACTTGCATTTTCAGTTAAACAAAGCCACCCCACTGCTCCAGATGGGGGTCCCTGATATCTTTAGAGGAAGTCACTGTCTGCCTCAGACACATGACGTGTCCACGTTGGGAGCTGGTCCTCCAGGAGCCAGGGCCTGCCATGCCCCACCAGGAAAGGGAAGAGCTTTCTCTGACTCCAGGCTAGATTCTCTGGCCCAAGGGAAGCCACCAGAGAGCAGATGGTCTCCTGTGCAACCCTCCAAGGGACACTTGGAGGACCCAGGCAGTCAAGGGCAAGAGAAAAAAGAACTTGATAGGAAGATGCTCTAGAGGAAGATGAGCTCTGTAGGAAGATGCGCTATTCATGAAGAGAGACAAGCTGCTTCTGCATCCCACAAGTGGCCCACAGAAGACTCCTCTCCACCACTGAGCCAGGAACCACAGGGCAGACACGGGTACTTTTAAGGATGCCTCCCTTTCATTTCTCTCAGTAATGGAAACCATTTGTTCTAAAGCTTATAGAACAAAGATGTATTACTTCAACCTGGCACAATGCTTAACATACTTCGTTGGAAGTGGAAACATTCATAAAGTTGTTCTCAAAACGCCTCCAAAATACCTATCCAACCTAAATCATGTCACAACTAGATCTGTGAAGCTGAATGATTCAATGAAAAGTACGCATTTGTTTTAAAAAGATGAAAATGGAATTCGTTGACATGGAATAGGAGAGTCCAGAAAACACATTCTGTCAGAAGAACCTACATGTGTGCCCTCTTCCTTCCTAAAACTAATTTGTTTTTGTTATTTATTCACCTCGCTGTGATGCAATAATCACTGTTTTCATGGTTCCCTTGAGCGCCGGGCAATTGAACCTGTCAGTGTGCTGCTGTCTCGTGACAAGTGCTTATTATGGGTGACTAATGCACCTCACAGAAGCCCGGCCACCCGCTGCACTCACGGCATCGGGGCTGGACCCCGAGAAGATCAGCCTCGGAGGGTGGCTCTGCTAAAAACTGGAGCCAGTTAAGAGACTGCTCCCCGAAACCCACAGGAAGGCACCTTCAGGGCCTGAAACCTGGGCTGTTTGGAGGTGGCAGGTCACCAACCAAAACACCATCAGAAGCACATGACTTCTAGACACTGAACCCGTGAGCCTTAGATCTCTCGTGGCTAGTTCACAAAGCCCAGTTCACCTGCTCTCTCCGCCAAATCAGTGTTGATCTCATTGATCTTCATGGTCACTTGTGCCAGAGTTGCTTGTGCTCAAAAGCGGTGGTGTAAATGCTGAGGTGTGAGCAGGAGAGGCTGGCCTATGGCAACCCATTGCTGCCCGACCTCAGGAACATGAGGTTGCCAGGCTGTGAGTTCGCTTCCTCCTTTCCCTTAGGTTGCCTAGCCTCGTGGTTCACTGGGAGCCACTTCATTCTGACCACATCATGCCCAGCTCCCACTGCTGGCATCTTCCTTTTTCAGAGCTTCCATGTGCCCCCAGAAGCTCTTCAAAGACAACGGAAGACCAATCTTCACTTGAAGGTATACCAACTCCTTATGAAATCTCAAGGCTTTGGGAGAAACTCAATTCTGGTCCTACGGACGAGTATCATATAGGGGAGAGGAAAGGGGACCCTGGGGTGGATATTAAATGGCAAATGAGAGACATCCTTCCTCCTCTTTTCCAGGTAAATGCCTCAACATCTGTGCTCACCCCCACACAGCATTTCCATACTCAGTACACACCTAGTACACTATGGTGGAGATGTTTTCCTCATCAATTTCACCTACCAGATAATAGATCTTGGAAGGAAGGGGTCCTGGCTCATTCGTATCTGTTTCCCCAGCACCTGGGCCAGGTCAGGGCTCATAATGGCTCAATGAGCTTTCCTCCATCTCCAGGCTGAGTTGGCCACTCCCTCCTCCATTGTATGTTACATACTGCACAATGGTTAGCATATTATGGCATGGGCCTTTGCCTTTCTCATCTCTATATTCCCAAAACCCAGTTCAAAATAGGTGGTGAGTGAATATTTGTCAAGGGCAATACTGCTGAGTAGGCAAATGTGTCCAGATAATGGAAGGCTTCAGTAGTTCAGGCATACAATGTCCCTGTAGGTTTTCAATGCAGGGCGTGATCTGATAGAAAGCAAACTTTTAGCAAAATTTGTCTAGGCCAGTGGTCGGCAAACCGCGACTCGTGAGCCACATGTGACTCTTTGGCCCCTTGAGTGTGGCTCTTCCACAAAATACCACGTGTGGGCGCGCACATACAGTGTGATTGAAACTTCGTGGCCCATGGGCAGAAGTTGGTTTTCCGCTCTCAAAAGAAATTTCAGTAGTCATGCTGTTGATATTTGGCTCCGTTGACTGATGAGTTTGCCGACCACTGGTCTGGGCAGCCATAAGCCAGAAGACTGGATTGGTGTGGAGAGAGAGGAAGACGGTACAAAAAGCTCAGAGCTGTTATGGTCACCTGGGCAAGTGACAGAAAGCCTGACCAGACTGTGTACCACAGTGAACAGACCCTGAGATCGGATGCTGACCCTACTGACACAAGCTATGTGATGGGCAAGTCACTGAACCCCCTAAGCCTCAGTCTCCTCCTCTATGATACAGGACCGATGTCTCATACTGCTGTAAGGATAAAGTGAGGGGAATATGGAAAGCATATTGCCTGGCACACATAGGGGCGGAACTATTTGATTTATGCATAGGCCCCAGAGCTTCCTTGTTTTTCCAAACATAAGTGGATCTCATGAAAGTATTCCGAACAAGCCATAAGCCTACCTGGACAAGCAGAAGGAGGTTTGTATCTGGCAGAGGAGATTTCAGCTTCAGGGCCTGCAGGAGTTCCAGAACAACACTACGAGACAAGTACAGTTTATCCCGCTCCTAAATAAAACAAAAGAGAAGGAGGTAAGCCATTTCTAAAATTCAATTAGAACTGATCAAAGTCAAAAGAGCTTCTAAAAGAGTCATAGATCATAAATAAAAAATACTATTTAAAAATGCATAACGAATTGTCCTCAGTAAATAACATTAAAACTGAAAAGGAAAAAAAATTAATGGCATTTCTATGTGTATGCATTTACTGCAGCACTGAGAACAGGTAGTTTTTTACCAATATGTTTTTATTGACCTCAGAGAGGGAGAGAGAGAGAGAAACATCAATGATGAGAATCACTGATCAGCTGCCTCCTGCCATGCCCCCTGCTAGGGAACGAGCCCACAACCTGGGCATGTACCCTGACTGGGAACTGAACCATATCTTTCTGGTTCGATGCTCAACCACTGAGCAACACCAGCCAGGTGAGAACACATAATTTAATGCAGGGGTGTGGGCCATATGAGGCCTGAGAAATGACTTAGTCTGGCCTGCCAAGGCATTAGGGGTGAATTAATGAAACGTTTGACCAAATGTAACAGGCTAATTTTTAATTGATAATTTTATATGGCCCCAAAATGATGTTATAAATATCCAAATGGCCCTTGGCAGAAAAAATGGTTCCCTATCCCTCATTTAATGGATAAGAAAACAATAAGCTAGCTCTTCAATACTGAAACCACAGGATTTGATTCTTATCCACAGGGAATGATACAGGTTGTCAGCATTGCAGAAATTAAACAAATCTAAAAGCTTTTTGTTTCAGTAGAAAATGATTTAGAGATAAACATGTACAACTGCTTAAAGGATCTTGAATCTTCTCTAAGGAACTTACTTTTTAAAGGGATAATTTTAAGCACACAGAAAAACAGAGAGATGAAATGTGTCCTTTGTCAAATTGTAACATTTGGCTTTGATTTTACATTTTACGTTTTTTAAATAATAATTCAAACCACAGAAACAGTTGAAAGCAAACACCTCGCCTTCAAGGCTGGGCTCACATCTCTGCATTCCTCTGCTCTCCCAGGTCTAACCTGGTCGCTGTTTCTATTATATATCTGGTTAGCATTTTAATGCCTTTAAGAAATTTTCAGAAAATATTCTGTTCACTTTTTTTAAAAAACCTTTTAAGTTAAATGGGAGGATAGGTTCAAATAATCTACTCCATCCTTACCAGGGAGAAAGGCTAGGGTTTTTTAAATGTATAGATTATTTTGTGAGAATAAGCCTCTTTATTATGCTGGGTCCTCATCCATGAACATGAGATGTATCTCTATTAAAATTGACCATCACTCCAACACACAAGATGGCCACCCCCATGTGGTCAAAGATGGCTGCCACAAGATGGCCGGCAGGAGAGGGCAGTTGTGGGTGACCAGGCCTGCAAGGAAGGAAAGTTAGCAGGGACCCAGTCATGCAGGGAGGGCAGATGGAGACGACCTGGCCTGCAGGGAAGGGCAGTTGGTAGTGACTAGGCTGGCAAGGGAGGGCAGTTAGGGGTGACTAGGCCAAAAAGGGAAGACAGTTGGGGGTGACTAGGCCAGCAGGAGAGCAGTTAGGCATCAATAAGGCTGGCAGGGGAGTGGTTAGAGGGTGATCAGGCTGGCAGGCAGAAGTGGTTAGGGTCAATCAGTCAGGCAGGTGAGCGGTTGGGAGCCAGCAGTCCTGGATTGTGAGAGGGCAGTTGGACATCCCTCGAGGGGTCCCAGATTGGATAGGTTGCAGGGACACCCATTCTCCACCCCCCCAACCCCACCTTTGCACAAATTTCATGCATCGGGCCTCTAGTAAAAGTTAAAAAAGGTATCTATAAATAGATTCTCTTTGGTTCACTTATAATCACATATCTACAAAAAGTGAGAGTTTTATTTTTCCTTTTCTTTCCAATTATGTTGGATTTTTCTTCCTGTCTTACTGAACTTAGTAGAACACACAGGACCAGAGTGAATAGGAGCAGTGGTAATGGGCACCCTTATCTTATTATTGTAAAGGGACTATTGCTGGAATCTTACCATTAAGTATAATGTTTCCTAGATGTTTCTGATTAGCAACCTTTGTCAAGTTAAAGAAATTACTTCTATTCTTAGTTGGACAAAAATTATCACAAGTGGATGTTGAATTATAAAGAATGTTCCTTTTCTGTCTGCTGGAGTAATGATAAAAGTTTTCATCCATTAATCTGGCAGCACGGTGACATAAACAGTGTTCTAATAGTTAAACCACTATTACATTTCAAGAAAATCCTCACGAGGTCATGAGACTTGAGTTTTAATGCCTTATTTTGCTATTATTCCTTCAGAATTTTTGTATCTCTGACAGGCTAATATCAACTATCTATTGGCCTCATAATTATTGCAATACATCTTTTAGTGTTGTTTCAGTTAAAAAATATATTAGGAAATTTCTAATTTTCCAAATAGTTTATTTTGCCTTCACTCTTAAATAATAGCTTAGCTGGCAAGGAATTCCAGGTGAACAGTTATTTTTTTCTCTCTCATAATTTTAAAGACATTTCCCCCATTATCTTCTGGCTTCCACTGTGCTGTTGAGAAGTTTGTTGTCAGTTTATCTATAAAGTATCTTTTCTTTTGCTTGCTCTTGCTCTTAAAAATTTTTATCTGTCTCGGTTGTTCTATCAATTTGTACCTTACTTATGTACATAGTCTATGACATGAGCAGGTAAATTTTTAGTTTACTTGTAATACTTTCAGTGCTCATTGTACTTCCTGAATCAAAGCATTACTGACTTAAATCAATTCTAGAATTGCTAAGAATCCTATTTTTCCCTTCTCTGAAACACTTCTCTTTCTTATCGTCATCTCTTCATTTCTCTTTGCTGCATATTATATAATTTCTTCAGTTCTACTTGCCATTTTACCAATTCCCTCTTTGGCTATGTCTAATTTGCTGTTTAACCTGTCCATCAAGTTTTTTATGTCAGTGACTATTTCATTTTTAGACTTCCTATTTTTTTCAAATCTTTCTGGGTGTGTGTTTTTTAAAGTGACTAAATCTCTTCTCATGTTTTTAATTCTCCTTTGCATGATTATCATTCAAGGTATGTTTTATAATCTCTATCACATAGTTCTAATATTGGAAAACCTTAGGTGGAAAGTAATCTTGCTGTTTGTTAACTCTGTTATCTAGCTCCTGGTGGATTATTTCTTCATATGATTTATAATTTTAGGTTCTGAGCTCATGTTCATCAGGATTTTATTTGTGGAAATCCTGTTAGGCCTAGGTCGAAAACATATCCCTCCAGAGAGGTTTGAGGACTGACTTCAGGTTTGCTTTGCCAGACACTCCAATGCTATTCCTAGCTCAGTACCTATGTTACTTGACTTTTTAGTTTGGGGGTTCAAAGAGCATGTAGGTAATGTAAATAAAATTACAAACATGTCCAAAGGTAGGTTCAGTGTTACTATAAATCTTTCTCTCAGTTCTCAGATTATACAGATCCCATTCTTTGTCACCTCCAATATAAGAATATATTCTTTCAAATCACCCTTTTACCAAATGGATAGCCTTTCAAGGGTTCTGACTTTCTCCTGGGGATGACTCAGTTTCAATTCCCAGCCTAACATAGTCCCAAGACCTTATCTGCTTTCTCTGTGTGGGCTTTCAGACTCAAGCTACTGAGTTACCAAAACAAGCACCACCACCCTTTCCCCTCTGGTTCTCAATGTCATCTGTACCTTTGTCTCCTTTCATTTTTATAAAATGAGCTCTCTATTTTTTAAATCATGTTTATTTCATCCGCATTTCTGGTATTTAAGTGGGGCAATTTTCCGGTTATCTAGGCTGCCAGATTGACAGAAAGAGAAGTCTCCAATTCCCTTACATTTCTTTTTATTAAATAGAGAGAAGGCTTGATTAGAAACTGCTATTTAACCATTTCTTACAGTTCCTCATGATCTATGAAGTACCCTACATTGAACACCCTAGATTGGAGCTTCTGTAAGTAACATTCATTCATTTCAAGTTGAAAAATGAGAAAGGGTGACGACAGTAGATGTGGGAGGTCCCTAAAGTTATGATAGATTATGAAGGAATAATAATGTATAGTGAATATTCAAATCCAAGAGTATATTGAATTCAAATTGGTGAAAGGTCCCCTGTCATTAATTCCAATATTGGACAACTTAAAAAATTCAAACTCATTATGGTTCTTCCTCTAGGAAAATGTATTAACTTAAATAAATCAAGCATAAAGAAAATGACTTTTAATTATGGAGCATCTTTTCATCTTATTTGGTGCTGTGTCCTATATGTCAATTTTTTTTAAGTTAAAAGAAGGAACAAGTTATTTTTCAGAAAGGATGGGTGAAAAAAGACAAAATGCTAATTATTTTGGAAGTTAGAAAGCATACTGTTCCAGACAGAGTAATGGTTTTTAATCAGAAAGACTAAAGAGAGGATTATCACGGAACACTTAACATGGCAGAGTGGACACAAAATGGAAAATGAGACAACAGTGTTTTAAATAGAATTAAAGCCTTGGTATAAAATTAGATTTTTATGAGGAAAATAAAGGGCTTACAGAAGTGAACAACATGAATAAAGAAGTATTCTGAACATTCAAGAAAACAGCAGAAACAGAGACCCCACAGAAAATAGACTTGGAAACTGGAAAAGTAAGGTTTGCACATTGTTCGAAAAGGGACAGAAATGCCTCCTGCTTTTCCCTTAGTGTCTACCAGCTCCCACAAGGCCGCTGTATGCACTGGGCAAGCAGTAGTTTTCCACTCCATCAGTGCTGGGGCAGGGGATCTGAAGATAATGCAATAGAGGAAGCATTATTAAGGCAAGATGACAAAAGACGAGATTATAATCTCAGAGGCCGAGAAGCCAGCACTGGGGAGACAGATAAATGATGAGACTTAAGGAGATCTTCACAGGCTTTTACAAATGACTGCCCCATTTTTTTTCTACTTTAGGTTTAAAATAATATGTAGTGATGGCTAGCCTACTAATCACTGGTAAACTTGAAAAGGACTTTAAGAGGTCATTTAGACCATTATCTCATTTTATTCAAAATACCTCTTCTCTTGTCTGGCCAACATGACTCAGTGGTAGAGCATCGACCTATGAACCAAGAAGTCATGGTTTGGATCCCTGGTTAGGGCACATGACTGGGTTGAGGGCTCAATCCCCAGAGGGGGCAAGCAGGAGGCAGTGGATCAATGGTTCTCTCTTATTAATACATTTCTATCTCTCTTTCCATATCCATTCCTCTCTGAAATCAATAAAAATATTTTTTAAATAGGTCTTCTCTTCTAAACTATATGATTCTCAATCCTCCAAATTTTCATATTTAAGACATTTATGTATATACTAGAGGCCCAGTGCATGGATTCATGCATTGGTGGGGTCCCCCAGCCTGCCCTGTGGGGATCTGGCCCAAACCAGCTCTCTGACCCCCTGAGAGGTCCCAGATTGCGAGAGGACAATTCTTGGGTGATGCATCCTGGAATCAGGCTCCCTCGTCTCTGGTTCTGGGTGCATCACCCGAGAACCACAGCTGACAAGTCATTGCAGCTCAGCAGCTCCTGCCCCCTGGTGGTCATTGCATATCATAGCTACCAGTCGAATGGTCGAACAATCTGGATGGTCACGGAGGCTTTTATATATGTAGATGTAAAGTGTTTCTTTCCAATGATATTTATTAGACCTCAGTAGAATTACCCATTTTAAAACTATTAGCCTAACAGGGATTTAACACAATTCTGCACACTTACCTTAGTGAAAGCTCGGTAACATAAGCCACACACCTCCACCAGGTAGGCCAGCGTGAAGACAGCATTCTGAATTACAAAGCTGAGCAGTTTTGAAAACGGTTCCAGCAAACTCTGCAATGAGATTGGGGCCAAATAAAACCCACTGCTGATTCTTTCATTTTAAAAAGTATTTACGTCTTAAGATACTTTAACGGGATCACTCTTTTCTTTTTATTTAAAATCTCTTACCCGGTGGCTACTGTACCAACGCTGTTGGTCTAACAAGAACAGAACTACACCTTCCATCAATAGCTTGAAGAGCATGGTTTAATCATTTTATTGCTTCATAAAAGCATTTTTTTCCAGACGGCATCATTTTTTAAACCCACCTAACTCCAATGCTATCCTCACGTGCACCCCCAGCTGCCGAGACTCTGTGAGGTTTGCATTGGATCTTTCACTCTCCTTCTCAGAACCCCGAGGCCTCTACGGGTTCGTCAGATCCAGCTCCCCTCAAAGTCCGTCACCTCCGTAAGATAGCACAAACCAGCCCTGGCATGTGAGCACTGAAGCACCATTAGCTTAGCCACAACTCATCATCACCCAGCTGCCTGCCAAGAAAAGCATCGTCCGTTTTGCTTTCTGCCTCTGACATCCACCCATCAAGGGTCGGTTTTTATGCATATGCTTTCTGAAGCCATTTAGAAACATTCATGGAGCACCTACTAAGTATGAGGCAGAGTTTGATGGTTTCATATAGTTTCTTTTATTCACATTCCTCCAACAGACCTGGGGAGACAGTATGTTACAATAGCTAAGGACACAAGTCTGGGATTTCACACACGTGATTTCAAACTCCAGCTCCCTGTGACCTTGGACCGGGGATTGAGCCTCTCTGGACCTGGTTCTCTCCTCTGTAAAGGGCGGGCAGCAATGGCCTCCGTGTCACTGTGCCGTTGTGAGAATTAAAGGGATAACGTACGTAACGCACTTGGCAACAGTCAGCCCTCCATCACTGTTAGCTGTGATCTGCTTCGCACGTGAAGCTTTAGCACCCTAAGCTGCCGCTGAGGCAGTTACTCAGGAAGAAACTTGCTCAAAGACACACGGATATTGAATGGGATTCAAAACCAAATTCCAGGGCAGTTTTCCAGAGGCAGAAAAGCTCTGAGGGGAAGACAGGATTGTTTAAATTGGACTCCAAAAGACTCTCATGCCACTATTTCCACTACCTCTGAGCCTCTACAGCCCTAACTGGTTCATCAAAGTAATATCTGCTCCATGTGTAAATGCAGGATCTGTAGAAAGTGTGGATGAGGAAATAAAAGTCGCCCCTAATCCTACCACCCAGGGATAACATTTTGTTGTAGTTCCCTTCTTTGTGGCACACGAGTTTAAAGTTGAAATCTTACACAGATACAATCCTACATTTTGTTAATATAATAACAAAAGTAATGTCCAATGCTACTTTATTCTTCATAACATCTTTTTCAATGACCACAAAGTCCATTTCATTATAACATTCCAATAAATAGGGTTTTGCACAATATCTGCATTTTCTTCTTATTCCTTAGAAGAGAGTCGCAGAAAGCAAATGACTAAATCAAAGGATATGGTCATTTTAAGATCCTTTTTCCTTATTGATATTAAATGTGAGTTGTCCCTGAGGGGAGGAATTATATCTTTAATTTGTTTGTATTCCTCACATAAACTCATGTATTTCTTTCCCCATAAAATAAATCTTAAAAAGAAACGCTTTGTTGTAGTGCTGCTGATTCGGCATTCTTTGCTCTGTAGAAGCGTTTCCTCGGATGATGGATGAGTGGGGACAGGAATATGTCTCTGTTGATATATAATGCATCCCTGCTTGCCAAGAAACCACAAAACCTTAATTCAAAGCTACATAGACATTTGCTCTTTTATCCAGCAAAGCAGTATGGCTTTCCGGTGCAACAGAAAAATCAAGGAACTTGAAATCAAAGGACCAAAGATCCACGAACCAGCTCTGTAACCTTGGCTAAGCCTTCATCTCTCTGAGCCTTTCCCTTCACTGTTATTAAAAAGATTCGACCAAATGATCTCTTTGCAACTTTCCGCATAAACCATGAGTCGGGGAGAGCACATGAAAGGTAAAAATTGCAGGAAATGTGCCTTCTTGGTATAGTAACTAATAGTCACAAGCCGCTGCACTACAAACGAAGGCACCGTTCCATGTAACGCAGCCCAGAAGCGAAGCCAGGAACGTAGAGGTGAATGGGACGCAATGCTGGAATTCAGAATGCTCAGTCTCCCTGGGGAGATGTGTGCACAATATAAGAGCAAATTCAGAGAGCTCTGTCAAGTACTATGGGATACATACAGGAGGAAGCTACTACAGAGAATATGAGTGTTTTTTAATTGAAATTATAATTCCCATTATGAAGATTGAGAAGTTCGCCTGGCTGACAAGGATATAAAGCATTTCAAGTAAAGGAAATGGCCTAAGCAAAGGCAAGAAAGTATGAAATTAAATAAGACTATACATGGAAAGCAGTATCATTTTTAATAATTGGTCCTCTTAGTGTTCAAAAACAGTGGGGTAAGTGCTCAGAAACAGTGGGGTTGCTTTGATGTTGATGATGATGATTCTGAAAGTAGGCAGGAGGCATGGGGGATGGGACAGGTAGCCAGAGACTAAATTGGGAATGTAGGGTGGCAAGTTAACGAAGTACCTTCTTCTTATGACACATTCAGGCATTTTGGACATTACCCTAAAAGAAATGAGACAGTGTCAAAGATTTTAAAGCAAGGGATTAATGTGATGAGATCTGTGTTTAGAAGGATCACCTTGCTCGTAGTATGGAGGACAGACCGATGGACATGGCCCCACACTAATAGGACCAATTATTAAAAATCACCCTAGACAGTTGCAAGAAGACTAAAAGTGAAGCATTCAGCACGCAATAACTGCTTCTTCAGTACTCCATGCTTTCTTTGCAGGTTAAATAACTAAATACCAACTGGTATCGTTTGTCTAAAACATACATACCCTTGTGGCATTGGTAGAGGGGATCTTCAAAAGGCAAATCATAATTCTCAAACTGGAATCTAAAGAACACTGTGAACAAATACGAAAAAAATGAGTCAGTACCCTTCTTAATATATCTTTGCTTCATATCTTCCCTATAAGCACTTACTTTAGGAAATAAAATCTGAGACATAGCTGCCTCCTTATAATTTTCCCTGCCATATATTCATGCTGATAAAAATCATTCTCAGGTCTTAAAAAAATATGTATTAAACAATGTTAAACAGCCGAAACCGGTTTGGCTCAGTGGTAGAGCGTCGGTCTGTGGACTGAAAGGTCCCAGGTTCGATTCCTGTCAAGGGCATGTACCTGGGTTGCGGGCACATCCCCAGTAGGGGGTGTGCAAGAGGCAGCTGGTCGATGTTTCTCTCTCATCGATGTTTCTAGCTCTCTATCTCTCTCCCTTCCTCTCTGTGAAAAATCAATAAAATATATATTTTTAAAAACCAATGTTAAACAATTAAATAATTAAACATTGTTCTTAAACTATTTCTCCAAGATATATCCCTAAAATAAAATCACATAGCATTAAAGAATTAGACAGACAGATGAATAGATGGATTAACAGATAGGTGGATAGGTACATATTAAATGTGCCCGCATCTACAGAAGTACACTAATTTGTTAAAGGTCATGATGCAAAAGAACTTAAATCCGTCTAAAACCATCAGGCTTATTAATCCAAATAAAAACCAGTTTCATCGGCCCTTCCTCTGCTACCAAAAGACATGACAAAAACCTGGGGAAAATCTATGTGTCTCTCTCATATCGATGTTTCTCTCTCTTTTCCTCTCTCTATCTCTCCTCTCCCTCCCTCCCTCCCAATCATTCTAAAAATCAATGGAAAAAATATTATGCTTTTGTTGTTGTTGTTGACTAACGCATCTCAACACCCTGATTAACAATCACAACCAAAGCAGAAGGTAATCAGCCAGAAGCAGGGCCCAGATCTGGGGGCGGTTTTCGCACGTTCTGAAGTTCGGTAAGAATTTCACAAGTGCTTCCTCAGGGTCTATTTCATCTGCTCAATATGCATCAGAGTGGATGTGACATTTACATTACTCTGAACCAGGGGCTGAAACCTGGCTGCTCATCAGCTCCCTGCAGTGTTTTAAAAATCAGGAAATAAAACTTTGGAAAACATGGTAAGATCAACAGCATGAGGCCTGCATTATTCCCACAGAACAGTTGGCTGGAGAGGAGCAGCAGCTGACCCTGGAGGAAGGGACTGGTGCTGTCCAGTTTGAAAGGGTCTGGATTCTTTTTATTCTCTTATCTCATTCCACTCCTCTGGGCAGTCAGGGAGGTCCCTGTGGACAGGACTGGATGTCACGATTTAGACTGCCAGTTGTTTGTAACTGGCAATACGTCCAACTGGTCAGTGTTCAAGTTTAATGTTTTTTTCTTTTTGTTAATTTTCACCCGAGAATATTTTTTCCATTGATTTTTTTTTTTTTTTTTTTTTTTTTTTTTTAGAGAGAGAGAAAGTGGAAGGAAGGAAAAGAGAGGGGGGGGGGGGGAACCTGCAGCTCAGGTACATGCCCTTGACCAGGAATCAAACTTAAGACCCTTTGGTCTATGAGCTAATGCTCTAACCACTGAGGACACTGGCCAGGAATCAAGTTTAATATTTTGACCTATCAGCATCGACCTATCGGCATTTGAATTTACCAGGCCAGCCACACCCCTCCTCTTAAGTAACAGATGGCTCTGGATGGCTCTCTGGTCCTAGGGAGGTTCCATGTGGCCAACTTAAAATGTGTGTTCTGTTTATGTACAACCGCTATATACGTACATGGTTTCAAAGTACTAATCCTTTTGCTTGTATTTATTCAGCTATTCCAGACATATGGGTAGACAAGAATCAAAAGATGTGAGAGAGAGTAAAGATCTCAGTATTCCTGCTTCTCACGTGACAGCAAACTCAAAGAAAGCATCACCAAGTTAAGGGTTCCTGGATTACCACCCTTTCAGAACCTATGTGGGAGTCACATTTTCCACATCTGCCCATTTGGAGAAAGGTATTATCAGAGGCGACTGGGCTTTATAAATCATTTTACATAGCATACATGTGATACTCCATTTAGAAGAGGAGATGCTAACATGTAGCTTCACCTGTCAGATTAACAAGTGATTCATTAACAAGCTGAATACTTCTATCTGTGATCGACGTAGAGCACAAAAAGCTTGTGGAGCAAATGAGGTTCATGGACATGGCAATGGCCGCCACCAACCGCCTCTTCCTCGCAGCGGAGAGCCCTGAATGCTTGGGGTCACCCCTGTTTTGGAAGGACCCTGGAAGTCTGTTCGTGGAAAGGACTCTGGGACTGGGAGTCAGGGTGTTCTAACCCTCACACTGCCACTGCTTCTCTGAATATGCAGTCCCATCTGGAAAATGGGGACATTGGGAAGGGTGGTTTTCATAGGTCTCTTCCGGCCTCAACAGTAAAGGACTCTGTTTTCACGTTTAATGGACTCATGCTGCAAGTGTTCCTTAGGCTGTCAGATTTCCGGCAGGCCCTTGTGTGTGTATTCTTAGAGGGTGGGCTGGAGAGAGGAGGGTGCAAAGCCATCAAGAATATCATCTTGTGCCCTAACCGGGTTGGCTCAGTGGATAAAGCGTCGGCCTGTGGACTGAAGGGTCCCAGGTTCAATTCTGGTCAAGGGCCTGTACCTTGGTTGCAGGCGTATCCACAGTAGGGAGTGTGCAAGAGGCATCTGATCGATGTTTCTCTCTCACTGATGTTTCTAACTCTCTACCCTCTCCCTTCCTCTCTGTAAAAAATCAATAAAATATATTTTTTTTAAAAAGAATAGCATCTTATTCTTGCAAGTACAGTATTCACAAATACATAGCAATCACTTCCATTTAGATAATTCTCTAAAATTGAAGCTTTCCATTATATGTCTGGTCTCCTTTTAGAGAAAACTATTCATTTACCTAGGTATTTACTTAATATACACTTGACAATTTTTTCTATAAACTGGAAACATGAAATCGCTAAGTCAAAATGCTCACCTCCTATAGTGGTCATTTAGAGAGAACAACCTAAATAATACTCTCCACTCCAGGCTAACAGAGAGATTCCAGTCAGCCCTTTATGAAACAAGATGCATGGTCTGCAAACAGAAAGAATTTAAAATGAAATCCTGGGCTCAGCTTACCTTCAGAGGCAAAACACCAGGCAGCTTGACAAAAAATGTCTGAAACTGGTTGCTGATTGTGGTCCAGAGGCTACTAGGAGAATCCATGGGCAAAGCTTCCATGAAGGTAGCAATGTTTTCCAAACAGTGTATCATAGCACCCCCTGCTGGTAAATTCTTTTTGTTATTTAGACCCTAAAAACAAAAGCATAGGCGATCAACTGCTGAAACAGCATGGGAATTTGTGCAGCTACTTGGTAAAGACCAATTTTTAAAAAAATCACATATTCAGGCTATGATTGTGTGGTGCAGCGACTATATAGGGTAAGCATTGCACTGGCAGGAGTACAGAGAAAAATCAACACATTCAGACAAAGTAGGAGGGCAAATTGTGATCATTGGCTCAGTGTGCAAAGGTGAAACGTAAGTAAGAAAAACAAGAGCTTCAATGAATGATGCTTGCGGGAAACTCTGTTGGCCAGAGACTAAGAGTAATGGCCAGCAGCAGAGTCCCTGTGGCAACCTGCCAACACTCCCAGCTAATGGAAAGAGCTAATAAGCAGAGGCCCGAGACATGTATTCAAGTCTCACAATGCCACCGCTGAGTGGAGCTGAGAACTGACTTCAAGTCTCGTGATCTTGATACGTCAGACAAGGAGGGCTTGAATCCAAATCTCGTGATACATTGAATAAGTGAAACTGATACTTGAATCCAAGTTCCACGACAGTGCACACTGCTCTACCCACCGCACCTTAGTTCTCAGAGTGAGTTCTCAATGGTCGGCATCCACCCTTTGGTTGTGGGCGCCGAGATGCTTTAAGTAAATCGCAAATTCATTCAAAACAACCATGTCTAGCTGACACTTGCCTATGCGTTGGCAATTTTTTTTAAACTTAAATTTTTATTTTAAATTAAAATTGTTTACTTTAAATTTTAAAATTCAATGATGTTCTTCCTCAGCAGGGATTGCAGTGGGAGCTTAGAATGTCATCAAAGCAGACCTACCTCCAGGAGCTGACTGAGAGCAGCAATAGAGCTCAGCTCATTGAAGTCCATCAGAGATGTGGCCAAGGTCCGTAAAAAAGTGCCATCTGGAAAGTGAGCAGTCAGATTTAGTTTCCGGCGACCAGCCACGCTGATAGGGCCCGCGCTCCCCACGGAGGAGTTACCTTTGATGGTGCTCTGGAACAGCTGAGGGAAGATGCCGTTGGGGGCCAGCTGGTGGAAGATGCAGCGCAGGAACTGCTTGGCCACACCTGCTGCATTGCCCGGAACCATCATGCTGGGGGGGAGCAGGGAAAGGAAAGACAAGGAATCATGGGACAAACAGCATGAGGTTAGGGATTTATTTTCTTACTTATTTAGAGGTCAGGCATGTACACGGACCGACCCACGGATGGAATGTCTTACTGTCATTTCATCTGTGAGATGAAATAGTCTAATCACATAGAATCCTGTTAACGAGCCTTTAGAAAGAGAGAACCAGGAAGTGCCAGGGTGGCCAGGGGCTAATTCTGGCCACCCCGGGGTACAAATAAGGATTTCCAGACCCAGAGGTGAAAGGTGGTCTTTAAAGACCACAAGTCCAGAGACTTAGTGAAATAAGCCAGACAGAGAAAGATAAATATCACATGATCTCACTCATTTGTGGAATATAATGAACAACATAAACTGATGGGGGGAAAATATATATATATATATCCAGAGACAGAGAAATGCCAATCAGAACGTATAACCTCAGGGAAGAAATTGTGAGGTAACCAGAAACTCAAGAATGCCTGAGAACGCCTTTCTAGCTGCACTAGCCATCATCAGATGTATGGTAATATTACCTGGGGCAAATGGAGAAGTCTTTTGCACTTATGCCCCAGACACTTCACAGGTAAGACCCCTTACATGGGCTGATCCCCCACCTAATGTAGTCACCAATAATACCAAACACCTTGGTCATCCAGGAGGATCATGGGAGGGGCAAGAAAGTGTAATTATACCGGGGTCTCCACCCAGATTCCTTTTTGTATGACACAAAATCAAAACACTGCCGCTTTGTGTGTAAAATTAAAGGGCAGAGTCGGGATTAGAACGCAGGCTGAGGACTATCAGCCAGATCCTCCCAGAAAGCGTCATTGGCTAAAAGAGAGCGCTTCTCTTGAGGAAAAAATACAGGAAGGGGGGTGTTCATTCCTAGTGGGGAAGCTGGGAAGTTTTTTGGGGGTGAGGGGCTCTGAGTTGATCCTTGTTCAATGGCTGGGACTTTGATGTGTGTGGCTTCCCCCTTTACCCTCTGGACCATCTCTCCACGGCATCATGGAGCCAAGATGATCATGTGGCCCTGCCCCTCAGATAAAGCATTAGAAAGGATATTCCCGGAGTGATCAGGGGTGAGTTACCAGAAGAAAGAGGAAGTCAGCTCTGTAAAGGAAACTAACTACTGACACATGTAAAAACATGGATGAATCTCAAAAGCATCATGCTAAGTAGAAGGAGTTAGACACAAAAGGGTAATTCCATTTATAGGAAGCTGAATGGTGGGAAGGTTCATGATGGTGCTTGCCACTGGGAGTGGGGAGAAGAGATGAGGAAGATGCATGAGGGAACTTCCTGGGGGTGATGGTAATGGTCTACATGTTGACAGAGGTTTGGGCTATGCCAGTATATGCCTTTGTCAAAACTCAGTTAATGTACACTTAGCTATGTTCACATTCTTGTATGTACATTTTGCATTAGAAAGAAACATAAATAAAAATCGAACTTTTGTCCACGATAACTCTGCTGAAGAATTAGCATGCTGGGCGAGTATGCTGATGTCTGAAAATTACTTTGAAAGGCATTCAGAAATAAAATGGATGATGACTGGACACATGTGTGATAAAGCAAGCTAAGTCACATCACTCCTCACTCCCTGCTTCACTCGGTAGAAGTCGGACTTCTTCCCATGACCTCCCGGGCTCTACCTGGCCTGGCCTCCCATGGCCCCTGCCATCTCACCCCCTCTCCCTCCTCCCACGCCCATTCTGCTCCAGCCCACATTAGTCTTCTTCCCAAATACACCAGGTCCTCTCCTGCCTCATGGGCCTTGCTGCCTGGAAGATTCTTCTGATTCATGGCTGCCGGGATGCACCTCCCCTCTGCAGATTTTGTTCAACTGCCACTTCCTCAGAGGCTGCCTTGACTATTAGATCTAAAGGAAGTCCAGTAGCTCTCTCTCTCCTGGGCTAACCTGGTTATTTTTCACAGCATTCAGCACTAACTGATATTCAATTACACACTAGTTTCCTCGTTACTGTGGTATTTGTCTGCCTCCTTAACTAGAATACAAGTTCTAGTTGTATTTGCTGTTTTGTTAACTACCATATCCTCAGGTCCTAGGCGTCACTCCATAAACGCTTGTGAATGTGACACACGTCTCACTACACTTTTTGTTCATAGCACGTAGTCCTGTTTACAATTATAAACGTGTGCAAATATTTCATTCATGTTTGCCTCCAAGGCAGTCTGTGAGCCCTACAAGGTCAGGATCATGTCCGTTTTGCCCCGAGTTGAAATCTAGCATCTAGCACAATGTACAGAGTGGGCTCAAAAATACTCACTGACTAAAATGAGGGGACGTATGAAGGAATGACTGGAGGTGTGAAGAGCAAATGGACACGTGCTCTCAGGAGCAGCAACTGAACTAACAATATTCCATCCATGGTACACATCTGCTGTTTTAGAAATGGGATGGACAAGCACAAAAGACAAAAGCAAAGAGAGATTTGGGCTCACTTTAGGATCTTACCTTTCTGCTTGATTAGAAAAAGTAGTGCTGGATGCCAATCTAGGAAACAAGTAAACAGAGTCACGTGAATATCTTAGGCCTTCGTGATCAAGGGCACAGTACTGCAGCAGGACCCGTGTGGATCTGCTTTAGACAGTGAGATATGTGAAACTATTGACAATTCCCTTGACCAGGCACAGAGAGCCCACATAGTGGTCAGGCTATGGGGTTATCAGTTCCTGAGAACTGATTTCTGTACCAAATCAGATTATTCCCACGGAAATGCATACAGTTAAACTGATTTAATATCACCCAACCAAACGGCCTCTACAGCCAGGTCAGAGAGGATCAGAATAGCATTTGACCCACTCCACGTCATATTAACTCAAAATTTATTTCTTTGTATACAGCCTCTGAACCCTAACCACAAACAAATCACAAGTTGTAAACACCTCTCTAAGGTAGAAAAATGAGTAACAGGGGTATCTGTCAGCTATTTCTCAAGTTGAAAGAACAAATTGAAAAAATGTATTAGGTTAAGTAATCATTAAATAGCATGAAGTTTTTGAAAACTATATGGTTCTGTACACATGGAAACAATCCATAGGTACAGAAAGAAAATATACTGTATTTGTAGGTATAGAAAAGCATGCCATGATCAGTAAGGTATTAAAGAAACAGCCTCGCTGAAGTGGCTCAGTAGCTGAACATTGACCTATGAACCAGGAGGTTATGGTTCGATTCCTAGGTAGCAGACTCAATCCCCAGTAGGGGGCATGCAGGAGGCAGCCGATCAATAATTCTCTCTCATTGATGTTTCTATCTCTTTCTTTCCCTTCCTCTCTGAAATCAATAAAAAATAAAGAAAAACAAATAAAGAAAATGCTACAAATTTATTTGCTTAATACTGCAAGAGAGTGATCTGAGCTAAGAACACATTTGGAGAGAAATAGAAGGTCCAGCAACCTCTTAACACCAGACTCCATTCCCAGCTGCTTTGGTCATGAGCCTTCTCACACTAATGATACTACAGTGAAAAGATAAACATCGGCAAGTGAAATCAACAGAAATAAATGATGCAGTAGGTGTGATCTTGAAGGCTGTACCTAGAAAAAGGGCCGGGTAATTTTTTAAAACTTTTAAAAATCCTCACCTGAGGATATGTTTTTATTGATTTTAGAAGAGTGAGAGAGAAACATTGATTGGTTGCCTCCGTACACACAACCAGGGATCAAACCTGCAACCTGGGTATGTACCCCTGACCAGGAATCAAACCCACCACCTTTTGATGTACAGGATGATATTCCAACCAACTGAGCCACATCAGCCAGGGCAGGGCGGGTAAACTTTAAGAGGGATGTAAATAGAGAGCCAAATACAAAATCACTTGGAAAGGCTTGGGTGATAAATGAAAGGGTTGTGCTGAACTCACATACTCGTAGGACACCCTGGAAATAGTTCCTGTGGGACCAGAACAAATAAACCACTGTTCGTGCATGCACATGGCCTCATGTGGAAGAGAGGCATTCAAGGAAGCCCAGAATCAGGTGATTGCCAAATCTGTTTTATTGGCAGGTTTGCTGAGTCAGTTGGGGTTAAGAATTCTGGAAACTTGCTTTAAATCAGGGATAGAGAGCATCCAGCCCATGGGCCATATCATTTGGAATAAATCGAGGTGCTTTTACATAGGAACATAATTTTTAAGTTGATAATTTTGTATGGCCTGTGAATGATGTTATATATATCCAAATGGCCCTTGGCAGAAAAAAGGTTCCTCACCCCTGATTTAAATGTTCTCTCCCAGTCTCCCCAAAAGAAGTAGAGATTTAAAAAAAAAATTAAAAAATAAAAATAAATTTAAAAAAATTAAATATATATATTTAATTAAATATATATTTAATTTTATATATATATATATATATGTGTGTGTGTGTGTGTGTGTGTGTGTGTGTGTGTGTGTGTGTGTGTAAAAATGTGGCCAAAACTGGTTTGGCTCAGTGGATAGAGCATCAGCCTGTGGACTGAAAGGTCCCGGGGTTCAATTCTGGTCAAGGGCATGTACCTTGGTTGTGGGCACATCCCTAGTGGTGGGTGTGCGAGAGGCAGCTGATCGATGATTCTCTCTCATCAATGTTTCTAACTCTCTATCCCTCTCTCTTCCTCTCTGTAAAAAATCAATAAAATATATATATTTTTTAAAATGTGTCTACTGTTTTTCCTTAACTTTTATTTAAAGCTCGTGTTTCCATCTTAATAGTCGGCCATACTTGAACAGGGTTTATTCTCTCAATGTAAAAACAAAAAAAACAAAACTCCTTTATATCAATCACTGCTTAGATCAGCTACTCCAAGGAGATGGTAATAGACCAGAGCAATAATCCTACCTGTTCTAACATGGCAAAGTATTCGAGTAGAAATTGTGACCTGGCGTTAACAAAAACTCTCACTTCTATAGTATTGTTCACAGTTGGTATAAAATTTATTCCGCTATTATTGTGATGAGGTTAAAGTCAAGGGCTTAAATGAAATGATTCGTTTTTCCTTATCTCTCCACCACCCGTGTTCACGGCTTACCTTTCATATTGGCTACTTGTAAGTGTGAAAGGTAGAATAGTTATACCATCTCTGACTTGTATATACTCTTAAGGATACCGCAGAGAAATTGGGGGAAGGAGAGAAAGTACTCATATACTTTTAGGGCCAATGGGTTTTTAATGCTTTCCCATTTGCTTTTAACTTGAAATCTCAATTTATTCATTAATAAAACTAAATTTTAGCTCCGTTAAGATTCATGCTCTTTCCCTCCCTGTAATACCAGGAACTTGCAGAATCCAGTTTTGCCCCTACCTCCTCCACAGAGAAGGATTTTCCTAAAAAATCACTTCCATCCTGAACTTCTATAGCACTGACCCTTCATTGCAGCTCTTCATCACGTCCTATCCGGTCTGGCTACCCAGTTGGTCCACACATCGCCGTCCCCTTCAACAGCTAAGCTACAAAGCCCTTGAGAACAACAGCCCACGGCGCCTAGCTCTGTGCCCACGCACACTGGAAACCGAATACATTCCTGAGGAATTTCAGTCAATCCTCTCGAAGTCGTTTGTGCTAGAGCTACAATTCGTATCTGAATGGGAACCTCACTTATATTCATAAAATACTTCACTTTTCTTCTCAGGTCCTGTCCACTAAATGGAAGCTTCTTAACATGAACCTTTTCAAAGCAGCTCCTGTACTCTTCCCTCGGCCCTGCTCCCAAGGTGTGTGCATCCTTCCTTTTTCAGGGTCAGAACCGTGGAACTGCTACACTCCTCTCTGCCCCCTCATATGCCAGTGCCCAAACGCGTAATTCAGTGAGCCACCCCAAGATTACAAAATGCCTAGAGAACCCTCTTAGAACAGGCACAGGGAGATGAACAAGAACAACATCTCAAACTTATCAAGGGTTACTCTGAACTCACACAGTTCTGAGCACTGTTACCTCCAGTAGCTTATAAAGAAATACTAGACAACAAACAACAGTTTTCTTGGTGTTTTTCCTCTGGCTTCGCTCTGACATTGTGACTCGTGACCCTACACAGCTGGGAAATTCACCAAAAGTTTGATTCATTCCATTCTTTTTGTTTTGTTTTTGTTTGTTTGTTTTTTATTGATTTTTTTAGAGAGGAAAGGAGAGAGATAGAGAGCTAGAAACATCGATGAGAGAGAAGCATCGATCAGCTGCTCTTGCACACCCTTTCTTGGGGATGTGCCCGCAACCGAGGTACATGCCCTTGACCGGAATCGAACCCAGGATCCTTGAGTCCGCAGGCTGATGCTCTACCCACTGAGCCAAACTGGTTTCTGCACCGTTTTGGTTTTTTTTTTAGTCTGAGTTGATCCCACCAATGCCAAGCATTGACGAGATAGCTAAATGCTTCACGTTTGAACTGGTAGTTTTGATCTCAATATACAAATTAAATGAGGCTCCTTCCTACCAAACGCCACGGCGGCCGCACTCACCTGCCCACGGACTGCATGATGTCCAGCAGCAGCGGGGCCGCCAGGTCCGGGCTCAGGTGGATGAACGTGGAGAGGACCACGATGGCCAGCCCGAGCGTCTCCTCATCGTACTCCTCCAGGATGGCCCCGCAGTCGTGGCATCTGCAAGGGAAACAGAGAAGTGCCTTCCGTGAGAGCCAACAGAGGTTTCAACAGAGAGCAGACTACACACAGCCACTTCCGGTGAAAGCCCCCCAAGGAGCTCAGGGGCCTCACTCTCACCATAAATAGGAGGCCTCATGCCATCTTCACCAGAGACACAGAAGCTGCGGGCACGCATGGCAGGGACCAGGAAGGTTGCTTTGACCACCGCACATCCTCTCAGCTCACAAACATCTGGCCCATGCGTGAACTGACTACCATAGCAAGTGCCTATGGGACTGACAGGCTAAGCTCCGAGCTGAGGGGTTGTAAGCATGTGAAAGTACTGCTACAGACAGTCAGAAACTAGGTATTTTTTCATTTGCTGAAATGAAAAATGCCTAGACGCAAAGGAAAGCTCTCCTAAGCTTTTAAATTTAAATATGTCCTGTTTTGGAGTTGATAGAACACTCTAGAAAGCCTGAGGAGCCTGGATAGCAGGCTCTTCTACCTCTCAGGTCAGTTTAATAAAGTCCCCTCACCTATGGAATGTAATATGTACCAGTAAAAACACAGTGGCACAGGGGGAGGGACTGAGCAGAAAAGGGGGAAAAAGAAAGGAGAAACACAATGGCACCTGCTCTTAACTGACTTCTGACTTATTGCCCTTCGTCATATCTAATTCATCTCCATCTAATTCATCTCATCCAAAGCCAAGGCTCTTCTTTTCACCACAGCTGGGAGCTCTATAATGTGAAGGGAAAGCCCACTGGAAAGAGCAAGGGAGCCCGAGCTATGATTGCTACCATGACCCTTCCATCCAAAAACTTTCTAAAGAATAGAATAGAATAGAATAGAATAGAATAGAATAGAATAGAATAGAATAGAATAGAATAGAATAGAAGAGAAGAGAAGAGAAGAGAACAGAATAGAAATATTTCTTTAAAATGACTTTTTAAAAACATAGGATTCACATATGTAGTCAAAAAGAAGATAAATGGGATGTAGACACAGGCAAGCAGGAAGGCAATCAGGAGAGATTAGACTTGGAAGGTAACACACGAGGGGAAACTACACCAAAGCAGAAGCCAAAAGGAGTCCTCCACGAGCAGCAAGGTGCTCCCCATGCGGACACTCCTAGGAGCTATTTGGCACAGACACCACTGCTCTTCGCTAATGCCCGTCAGCAGGGGCCAGCTGCATGGATCTTTGCTCCAGCCCCTTCCACACCTCCCTCCTCTCCTTCTGTCACAAGCCCTCCCCGTTTGTCACCTGGGCCACCTTTACCAGGAAGTCTCCTTGTTCCAATGAGATCCCTCCAAATCTAAAATCCCGTATGTCCTAGTCTTTATCGTGTGCGCTGAATAAGCATTTATGTGCCAGGCAATGTGTAGGGAATTTAGCGTATAGAATACAGAAGACAGTGCCCGGTCCCGCACTGGCCAGTGTTGTTCAGAGGTTAGAGTACCAGCCCATAAGCCAAAGGATCTCGGGTTCAATTCCAAGTCAAGGCATGGATGCAGGTTTAATCCCCAGCCCCAGTAGGGGCATATGTGGGAGGCAACCAAAGAATGTGTGTCTCTCTTTTTTAAAAAAAATATATATTTTATTGATTTCTCCACAGAGAGGAAGGAAGAGGGATAGAGAGCTAGAAACGTCGATGAGAGAGAAACTCGACCAGCAGCCTCCTGCACACCCCCACTGGGGATGTGCCCGCAACCAATGTACATGCCCTTGACCAGAATGGAACCCGGGACCTTTCAGTCCGCAGACCGATGCTCTATCCACGGAGCCAAACCGGTCTCGGCAGAATGTGTGTCTCTTACATCAGAGTTTCTTTTTCTTTTTCTTTTTTTTTTCTCTCTCTCCCTTTCCCTCCCTCCTTTCCACTCTCTCTAAAAACCAATGGGGGGAAATGTCCTCCGGTGAGAATTAACACACACACACAAAAGAAAGTGTCCCAGCTCCTAGGGAACTGACAATATATGACAGACCACGTATGTGCTAACAACTAAACACTTAAAATACCCTGTGATGAGTGGTAGAATAGATAGATGCATCAAATATTATGGAAACTTGGAGAATGGCATGACTAATTCTGCCTTATGGAATCTGGGAATCCACCTTAAATGAGGTTTTGAAGCATGCATCGGAGTTCACCAGGCAGAGATAATACAGAGAGAAGGGCACCACTGAAATCACAGAGGAGAGCACACACCGGGCATGCTCTGGAGACGCCAAGGGGGCCTGACAGAGAGTTCCCTTGTGAAGGTTGCCATACCTTCACAAGCAGACGGGCCTTCTGCAATGAAGGCAGCTGCAGTTTATCCTATGAGAAACCTGGGGATACTGAAGGCTGACATACCATGACACAACCAGTTTGAGATTCAGAGAACAGACCCTGCTGGTAGAATGGGAATAAGCATCAAGTCTCCAACTTATCCCATACTAGCAATTTGAAGCTTCTAGTCGAGGGGTTTTATTTGTGGGAAATGACTGTTGGAATCCTTGGTAAGCAGATATTATCTGTATTCATCCACATTTTTAAAAATGACTCTGCCTGCCCATATGATGCCGTGTTTCTGGAATAATAAATGAATACCAACACTTATGGCTACGGTCATGTGAGGAACAAATGATAGCATTTGGTTTCTCTCTCTGATGGTTTCTCACAATCACAAGGAGCAAATGCTCAGATTCCGCCACCAGCGCGAAGGAAGTCCCTGTGTGCGCTTAGCATTTCTCTCATTTGGTTTCTCTCTCTGATGGTTTCTCACAATCACAAGGAGCAAATGCTCAGATTCCACCACCAGCGCGAAGGAAGTCCCTGTGTGCGCTTACTTGTCAGTCATCACCGTCGGCTGCTCGTCTGTGAACTCCTCGGGTGCTGGCACGAACATGCTGACGATGCTGGGCGCGGACAGCAGGCTGGACTTCGTGGCCCCTGGGCGAGCAGCAAAGAGACAAATGGTGAGTAAACACCTGCTTCTTGAGGCCAGGAAGAGCCCGATCTCCTCTTGTAAATCCTCCGAAGGCCGCATTCACAGGGGAGGGACGTGGGCAGCCTAACCCCTCAAGAGTAAAATGAATTCAAGACTGGGATTTGCTTCTGCTCAGATGGCTTGAAGAGCCAGACTCCTGTCTCTCTCTTTGCTTCTTGATCTTGAAAAAAATCAAAAAAAAGTTCCGGTGCCAATAAGGACAAAGATGAAAAAAAGGGAGAAATCTACCCAAGACGACTCTCAATGAGTCTGAGCCTTATTTGCTAGGCATTAATAGAAGCTGCCCTTACGACAGTGTTTCTAAAATCGCACATATGGACTAACACTAACATGTGACTTAGGGAGAGGAAGAAGATCCCAGAACTCCATTCCCCTAAGTAAGGGGAGATATTTGAGCTGAGAAATATCTGATGGTTTTTTTACTTTGGAAATGAATATGGTAAGCCCCAAAGCAAAAGATTTCATTTTTCAAACTGAAATATTTAACAATGAAATATCAAGTGTTTTGAAAGAATCAGCCAGTGTCTTCGGCCAATCAGTATCACACGGTTTAAAAGGTGGGCTTTTGGTGCCTTCAGAGAAATCTGAGGCAGGAATCTGGCAGCATGGTCCAGGGACGAGTCAATCTGGAGTCAGGAGACTACTCTTCGTCAAGGAAGCCAGCAGCGCGGGGCAGCTTTCCGGGCGTGGGGAAGCAGGCCCCCCAAGAACTCCAAAGTGGCGATCCAGAGGCACGCTCTGCTTATGGAACAGCCTGAGCCTCCGCGTTCTCCACACGGGAGAGAAGGCAAGAAAACCCAATGGCCGTGACAGAATCTGTTTCTCATCAGGGGAACTGGCAACTCGGTGCTGAGAAACCAAACATAACTGTATGATCTTTCCTCAAGTCGCGGAAAGATAATGATGCAGAGAGTTGGCTTCCAAAGGAGCTGACATAACAATTTTAGAAACCCAGCCAAGCGGACAGTGTGCTTCAATCCGGGGAGAAAAGTAGTCTGGGAGACTTTGAAGAGGTAGAATGCTGCCAGGCTAGCCAGACGCCCTCGTCTGATCAAAGACCCCAAATGTGAAGCGTGAGATCTGTAGACCCAAAAGGCCGAGGAAAGTATCTGAAAATATCTTTATGTTACATTTAAAGAACCCAAATGGGAATCCAAATTTTACCGCTGTATTTATCAGCCGTTTCTGAGATACTGCTCTTTCCTAAGTGCCCCCAAGCGTATCGATAACAAAGACCTCCAATTGTTTTCTTAAAAGATGTAGTTTGGAATGGAAGCAACAGTATTTATTATTATAAGCATAAGAGTAAATTGACTAAGAGTAGGAAAGGCAAGAACTGGGCCAAGCCGAAACCAGTTTGGCTCAACGGTAGAGAGTCGGTCTGCAAACTGAAAGATCCCAGGTTTGATTCCGGTCAAGGGCATGTGCATTGGTTGTGGGCACATCCCTGGTAGGGTGTGGGCAAGAGGCAGCTGGTCGATGTTTCTCTCTCATCGACGTTTCTAGCTCTCTATCTCTCTCCCTTCCTCTCTGTGAGAAAAATCAATAAAATATATATTTTTTAAAAAAGAACTGGGCCAAGATAAAAAGACAAGGTTGGTTATTAAGTGGTCAGGTAAACAGAATGAAGTGGCTTCAAGAAACCAAAACATGGAAAGTTTAAACCCAACACTCCACATATTGTTCATATTGACAGACCATGTCCACCAGATTCCAAAATGCCTGTGCTAAACATGGAAAAACTCAGCCCATTAGATATGTGGTGACATATGCACAGTGTTACCAGAAACATAAGAAATTGATTATTTTAAGAGCCTGAGTCAAGGCTTTGAGAAGATCACTGCCTATTGTTATTATGCAGAAATCACAATTCAAGTCAAGAAAAGGGAAGAAATCAAAGTCATTTTTTTCAGCTGATTATTATCCAGTACAAAGACCACCAACAGGTATTTTTGACAACAGCAGCGTGAAGTTGTTTTTTCAAAGGACAGCGCAGAGTGTGTGATGCGATATTGCTGGCAGTCGCCTAGAAAAGCATCTAGGTTCAGTTATGGGCAATGGTTCCCACATGGCAACATGAGCTGTGCTGGGAGAGCAAAGAGCGATGTACCAAGGGAAGGTGGGAAATGCAGAAGGAAGCCATAGACCTCAGCTACCTTTTGTTGTAGCTGAGTCACCACTGAGCCTGCAATATTAGAGGCAGTCTCATGATCCCCCGTTGTTGGCAATACTTCTGGTGCCACCACCTATGGCTCCCCTACTAAATACCTAGCGTGCATGCCACACGGAACAGAAATAGAAGGTTCTTAGGAACCTTAGAATAAAGAGGAGACCTCCTCCAAAACCCAACTCCCAAGCTGGAGATTTTGAATCTTGAAGATAAGAGAAAGCATAAAGGATAGGTCTGTCTACAGCAAGCATGCACGCACACTCAGTCCCCACGCTGCATCAACAGGCTCTTCATTGTACCATGAAAGAGCCTCGCCATCTTTATCCTCACCACCTCACTCCATGTGTGCTGCTAACTGTGTCACTTAGGTCACGGACAGGGACCAGCATTTGCTCGACTACCCTGCTTCTTAAAGCTTTTCCTAGAGCCATGAATGAGAAGAGTCTCCTCTCACCTGATATGGAGACTATAACTGCTACTCGACGCCATACAAATTTTAGCAAAATCTGAAGATAAATATTCCCTCATCCCAGGGAAAATGAGAAAAGTGACAGGAATAGCAGGTCTTCTTGATCTAAGGGGCTAAGAGATGTGGTCCTAATTCATTTTCACTTTTTACAAATGATAGGCTAAGCTGCCTTCTGAATTTAAAAAGAACAAAAGCAATGATTAACTAGCCAGGAGATGAGTTTTGAAAATACTCATCCAGATGAACTTAGCACAGACGCATTCTTGGCTTGCTCCTAGAGCAGCATAAGGTCAAGAGCGCCCTCTGTGCCATTTCAGAAGGCTGACAATAAGCCATTCATCCATGCCCTCACCATTCTGGAGGGAACACAGAGGAGCTGGACCGGGCCCGGAGAAGCAGATTCAGGGTGACATGCAAAACGGACACCTATCGGGAGGAATACCAAAGGACCTAGGGGTGTGTGTTCTAGGGCAGACTGAGGAATAAGCAACAGGTGACTATGGAGAGAGACTAGACTTGTTTGGCGTGGTCCCGAGGGCTGGAAAGTCTCCCTGAGGAAGAACTTCTGTTGGTCCTGTTCAGAGAGGTCACGCATTCCCGCTCCCCAGAGGTGTCTGAGCAAAGGTGGGAGCCATGTCCCAGAGCTGCCAAACCAGAGGTTTCCGCACCTGCTGGGAGGCTCAGTGATGGGCAGATACAGTGTCTTCCGTTTCTCACGTGACTGCACTCACCTCTCATCCTCAGAGCCTGTCCCTCCAGGTCAGGGTTTAGGCACACTGGCACGTTGCACTGGCGCTTCCCCGGCTGTACCTGTTCTGTGGACAAACAGGGCATCTCCGTCTCAGTGTGGTCGACTAAGCACCGTGCACAATCCAAAGAATTTAACCACTGATCTCATGGGGCCACGTTCCCAGGCATCGTTATTGTTGTTGATTAACATTTATAAGAAACACCCTGCTTTTTAGGGCAGGGCTGTTTGGCCTTTCACTTTACATCTGCCCTTCAGGTCTATGAAAGGCAATCGACAGCAGCAGAGAATCTACAAATATAGCCCCGTTCCACCACTGCCACCCCAGAAAGGGCTCAGATCCCATCTCTCTTGATAGGAAATGAAAACATAAGAGCCTAACATCACAGCCATCAAGAAATGTTTTACGCAAACCAATAAATACGTAAGTGATTCCAGAACGGTCATACAGAAAACGTGTGGAACTGGTAGCAATGCAATGACAGGCGTTTGAGGACGGAGGAACAGGAATAAGGGGGCAGGGGCAGAAATGGGGGGGGGCGGTGCTTCAGGAAGGTTGGTTTCATGTGAAAGATGAAGCAAAGAAGTAAGCCATCCGCTGTCCGTGGACAGAGGAGACAGGCACTTTGTGAGTGAGCTGGTGCATGCCGAGGGGACTCAATCATGACCCGTGCTTTAGGCTGCCTTTCTCAGTGTGTCTATGTGACTAGATCTATTCCTTTGCAGGCTAGTGAGTCACTGCATCAATTATGTGGTATGATGTGCTAACGCTGAACTACACGTTCATTGACTTTCCTCTGACCTTGATTTGGGGAGAACTTTTTATGGCGCAAACAAAAACAAGAATATGTTGTGCTGAAGCTCTAGTTGGACTTGGTGACCAGAGAACCAATTTGAAGGATGGAAAGCCAGCCCAGGGAAACCAGGGTGAAAGAAATTCAGACAGCACGGAAATAGTGAGTATTAACTGAGACACCAGAGTTTGGTTGAAAAGTGAAAAATTCCGTTAAATGGGTTATTTGGCATCATGTAGATTTCTTTTAGATTAAAATTTAGATTGGAAATTGAGTTCTATTTGCCTTTTTATCTCTACTAAGTCCATCAAACGGGGTTGTCATTGTAGTCAGAATTTAAACTGGTTTGCTTAGGCTGAGCTACTTGCTACGGAAAACAGTACAATGGTGAACTACTCTTTGGAGCCCACAGGTCAACCGAACAAAAGCTGGACATTTAATTACTAAGGAACTCACCAAACAAAAGCTTTCATTCTCAGTTCCTTACACAGTTTCATCTCAGTAAAGAGAGAACTCGCCCAAATGCTCGAGACTGGCTATCCAATGTCTTCCTCCTCATCTCTTTGCCTCTTGGCTTTTGGGCATTTTATTACTCACTACTGCCTATCAGTAAATGAAAGATAAACACTAAACCCTCAACATGTTAACAACCCTTATAAAGGCCTGGAGAATTGAAACTATCTAACTATCTGCTAAATGTAGGATTGAGTATAGGTGTGGGATTCAGTCATCTAGACCAGCTCTCTTTTTTTCCCTTCCTTCCTTCCTTCTTTCCTTCCTTCCTTCCTTCTTAAGACTGTGGGAAAATAAATTGAAATTATGTAATTATTATGGTTTTGAAAAAACAATATCTCAAGATTTTGGGTCTGTGGAAATTATAGTTCCTGGTCTTAAAGAAAGGTATTAAAATAACTGCATATAACCGTAGCCAGAAAGTACTAACCCAGATACTAAATTAGCCCGATCCAAGTTTGGCCCCCAGATCAGAGTGACAAATCCTGATTTTTCATAGTGCATGCATATTGCAAAGTGCTTTCACATGTGTAATTCTGTAACTCAAATGACCTGTTTAATTAAAAAGAAGAGAAGCAGGCACTCAAAAAGATTGAGGCCATAAGTACTGGCTTGAGAAAGTGGTAAATGTGCAGAAATACATGGTAATAAAGTGTAGAAAGTGCAGAGGGGTCATGTGTAGACCAGACATGTCACGGCAGTCAGTTCTTACTTTAAAATTGAGGTTAGATGCACTTCCGTCCTATGAGGGTGTGCGGCTGCAACCTGGTGCCCTACTGACTCAGACACCCAGCTCACACTCCCAAACCTATTGGCAGACCATGATGTCACTAAGCTGACATTGGCTATTATTATTACTACTACTAACAAACCCTTATTTGGGTACTTTACAGTTTATAAAACCGAGAATATTGGTGACCTGGTATTGTGTTTTGTACTTTTAATTCACATCATGAAATCATAGTGCCATTCCTTCCTTTATGCTTTGACATCATTTAACTCCCAGAAAGATAAACCTAATACCTGGAATTTGGGTCTTAGATGGGGGGGGGGGGTGTCAACCTAGATGGGAGAACAGGTGGCTCTAGAATGCTTGGAAAGCTGAAGTAGACTTATTAATTACGTTAAGGGCTTTAAAAATTACTTGAACCACAGAGCACAAGAGAAAGTCTATTCCTTCCCAAGGGGGCGGAAGGGACCGAGGGATCGTGGCATTAGCTCATCTGAGGGGTAAAATGGGAAGAAAAAGCTTGGCCCACCAGGTCCCAGTTGCTGATGTTATGGGGGGCGCTAAACTGAGGTTCCAGCTGTCACTTCATTAACTGGCTCCCAGTCAGAGCTTCCAGGGACCCCCTTTCTATCTGTCTATCCTGAGCTATAAGGAGGAAACTAGGAGGTGATTACGAGGGGGATAAACCTGCATGGCATGCAAAGACTCTACACATCCGGAAAGAATCCTAATTGAGTCTTTGTCAGCTATTGGTAATTGTTTGGTCAATTGTATGCTCCTAACCAAATGAAAAGCTAAAGCCCTACGCCATTCCTGGCGCCTTTCTCCACTCGGCAGAGAAAAGTACAGCCCTGTGGGCCCTGTCTGTAGCCTGTACATATTTAGGCTACAGACCAGCAACATAATTTTGGTCATTAACTTTTTATTTATGTACTCTGCCTTGTTCCAAAAAGGTATTAAGACAGATCATTTCACTTTGAATTCGTCGTGCAACTTTATTTAATGGAGCTTGTGCATATATAGTTTCCATTTCCATTATATTCCCTGATTGTCCCCATGGTGTGTGTGTGTGTGTGTGTGTGTGTGTGTGTGTGTATGTGTGTGTGTGTGTGTGTGCGTGTGTGTGTGTTTTAGAGTAGGATGACATATATCAATTCTTAAGGAAAAAGAATGGAAGCTGCTGAAATTATGTTAGTGGAACCAACCAGCAAATAAGGTGGTCGTAAAGCCAAAGCATGTGGGCTCTGAAGTCAGTGCTGTTTCAATCTCTGTATGAGCCTACTATTGGAAAAGGGTGACTCGGATAGTATTTCACAAGCACATTCTAGTACACATCTTTATCCAGTTATCTAATGTGTTTGTGTCAGAAAATTGTGGTAACATTTTAACTCTGCAATTAGGCACTGACAAATATGCCACTGATGAAATGTCTAGTTATAAGCATTTCAAAACCAGAAAGAAAAAAAAACAAAACAGAAAAAGCACTTCTTCCAGGAGACTGCCAATGAGAAAGCCACCTGCCACTGCCCCCCGATTCCTCTCCAGCAGCCCTGCCCTCCCGGCCCAGCCCAGTGAGAAAGGCAGAGCACCACTGATGTGCTTTTTCTATGGGATCCCACATACTGGGATATGTGAGGATTTGTGGCCATTTGCTCTCTTCGAAGGACAATTTTAGAAACTGCAGCTCCGCACTACATGACCCAGAAGGGGATGGTGGCACCTCGGATGACTGGTCCCCAGAAAGTCTTGAGTGTTATAGGCAGGTTCCTCAATCATGATACCAAGGCAGCAGCTGGTGTGATGTGAAATCAATCGCAATATTGCTTTTCATGTAATTAGCATGCTGTTGGATTCATGGTGGTCATGGCATGCTTAGCTACAAAATAACCGGCTGATAAACTGATGGAAAGAGAGGGATGTGATGAGAATTCTGTGTCTTGGAATCCAGCTTAACTGAATCCATGGAAATGATGCAAACTAATATGGAACATCTCTGATGCTTCTGGTTGATTGGTAAAACTTACAATTGTATGACTCACTTGAAAAGTACAGCCTCTTTAAAATCCAAAAGTGAAGCTCTTTTAGAAGATTTAAGAAATTTAAAAATTAGCAGCAAAAAATAAAAAGATTTAAAACCTCTAATGATTGAATAATTTCTCCAATTCTCTGTTTTTAAAGACAACAGAATTTCCTATGAATAAAAATCCTTACTAGTTAGCTCAGCGTATAAGACCCCTGGCATTATGCCTCCAAGAACCATCTATTACATGCTTTTAATGAAGAGAAGGAGGAAGGCGGAAATCTAATGATGTGCTATGCTAAATCTGAAAGGGCTTGATTCAGTCATGAATAGGGATTATGGTACATTGGCTACATTTATTTTATGATACATTTAACTAGCACCAAACTCAAACTGACTTAGTCATCCTACCTCAAAGTATACCCAGTTTGGAATTCTAACTAAATCCACTACCTTTTTTTTTTTTTTTTTTTTTTTTTTTTTTGTTGTTGTTGTCATATGGCTCATGAAAATCAGGAGGAGAAAATACACTTTCATGATTTTAGTAAAAATGGGAATTTTAGCCTAGACGTTGTGGCTCAGTCAGTTGGTTGAGTATTGACCTATGAACCAGGAGGTCACAGTTCCATTCCCGGTCTGGGCACATGCCCAGGTTTCGGGCTCAATCTCCAGCAGGGGCATGCAGAAGGCAGCTGGTTAATGATTTTCTCTCATCATTAATGTTTCTATTTCTCTCTCCCTCTTCCTTCCTCTATGAAATCAATAAAAACAGATTTTATTAAATGGGCATTTTATCAGGTTATCAAATGGATTTTTTGTGATTAAAGAACAACTAGATTCAGAGCTAGCCATTCTTCTTTGCTACCAAAAGGGAAAATAACAGGCACTTGGAAATTCTTTCTTAGAATTCCTACCATCTCTATCATAACTGATTGTGAATTATTCTAAGGCAGCATGATATACTAAAAAGAGCATGAGCTTGAAAAGTCAAATAGATCTGGCACCAATTCCTGTCTCTACCACTTAGTGGCTGTGTGACTTTAGACAAGTCATTTAGTCTCTCTGAACCTCTGTGTCCTAATCTATAAAATGGGGTCAATAACTTCTGCCATGCATTGCTAATGTAAGGACTGAATAAGACAACAGTGTGTGTAAACCACTCACCATAGGTGTCTGGCACAGGATAAATGTAACATCAGTGCTGCTCTTATCACTGATATGACTGTGAACTCCTTGAGGAGAAGGGATGTTATTTTTTCACATCTGATCCTCAGTGCCAAGCACAGTACCTGCACCCGGCAGACACTTAATAACTAGTTGCTGAATGAATGATAGCATGAATGAATGAATGATGAAAATGATGATGTTGTTCTGTACTACTAGTCCAGTATTTAAGCTAAGATCCTTATCAAATTTTTCAGAATCATCCTCATTTCAAGAGAGTAACCAGCCCCTCGGGCAGTGTCCACATGGAACACAGACGATACCAGCACACGTGACCAGAGTTTGCAGAACTCGCACCTCTGTTTGCATCTGATTCCTGCAGACCATTTCCTATTCTAAAGTCTTTTACTTGTCTTCACTGAGCCAGGGAGACACCCTTATCCTCACCTGAGCAGAACTCAAACTCCTCATGACAAAATCTAGGACCCAACAACGGAAGGCAGTTTCCAAACAGTTGCCTCTTCTAGAACTTGTAAAAATTTCAGGCCATTTTTATTTCCTGGTCTAAAGAACTTGATTCAGCCATGATACTGGGATCATGAGATATCAAATACATCTATTTTATGATAACTCCGATAAAATTTTGTTAATGATGGAGGGGATTCAAATTAAAATGTTCCATGTAAAATTCTGCCATACATAATGCTTTCCACTTGTCCAAAAACCCATTCCATGTTTTATGTTTAGGCTTGTAATATGTTTTATTATTTTATTGAGTGATGAAATTCAGTGATTATTTCTTAACAAGTGAGAAAACTTGGTTCATCAGTAACCATATTGATTTATCAAACACTTGAGATGTTAACAAAGGTGAGCCTATGCCTCAGGGTCTCTGAGAACACACAACATAGTGTCACCTAGGAAGCTAACACAACATTTAAAAAAAGAAAACCAAGTGTGTAAAAACTGAAAATAATGTAGCAGATAATGTTCCGAAATCAATGCAAAAGCAATCTTACTTGATATCGAGGAATGGCTGCTTGTTTCCGGCACACCTGCTTCTAAGGTAGGGGCGGATGAGGATTCGCGTGGCATTTCCAAAGTAGAAAGTCCTTTAGTAGAGGGATCTACAAGCACAAATACTATTTAAAACTCAGGACTCTGATTAAAAACAAATTCTAGATAGAACCGTTTCTTTATACTACTTCCCCCCCCACCCCCCCCCGGCCTAATACACTCATTCTACTTATATACCTACTATACACTTTCTGGCCCTACTAATTACTTTAATGGAATTACATTCAAATTTTCATGGAGAACTGCTTGCATATTGCACTCCTCATCTGTAGCTGCACCTCTCAGAGATCAATGACAGCATAAGGACAAAACTAAGGTGCTCACACTGCCCGTCCTTGAGCAGGTCTCTTCACCTTCTAGACTGAATTTCTTTTCATCTAATAACTAAACTCACTTACAGTTCATTCCATCTATATCATTCCACCACTCCACCTTTATCAGGTCTAAACTGGCAGTCGGACATCTCTTACAATCCGGGACCACTGGCTCCTAACTGCTGCCTGCCTGCCTGATTGCCCCCAACTGCCGCCCCCCCCCCCTGCTGGCATAGTCATGCCCAATTGCCCCCCTCCCCCCGCTGGCCTGGTCGTCCCTCACAGCCCTCCTCTGCCAGTCTGGTCATCTCACCAGAGTTATCAGCCTGGCCGCCCTATGAAGCCCGCTGTTCAGTTATCGGGTTGTCCCTCACTAACCCCCTGTCGGCCTGGTGCCCCAGGCAGCTTGCTATTTGGTCATTACTATGAGAGTGTCCTGACCAATTTGCATATTACCCTTTTATTAGCATAGATACACACCTACCCCTTAGACCTTCTAATAGTCTCCGATATATTCACATTATAGACCTCTATAGTTTCTAGGCCAATGCCTTTTTCCATCTATATGCAGAACCTTCTCTGGCTCCAAACAATAAAAAGTTACCCTGTTTCTCTAGAAACCTTCAGAAGCTTTCTGGCTAATACCAGGATCTTTCCCTTCCCCCACCTGGCCAGAACATGCCCTTTTTCAAATACCCTAATGTTCACTCAACAGATTTTCACAGAGCACCTTTGAGGTACACAGTTCTGTCCTCTGAGGTAGAGAACAGTCAGAAACCTCAGGAAATACCTGGGCAAATAAAAGAGCTGAGCCCATCCTCAAAGGAGTGGCTTGTGTATGGAGCAGTAGGAGAAGCAGGACTAGAATGAAGGGGCTAGGCCCGATTCCTGGCTGCCACTACCTGGCTGTGTGACCCACAGCAATGCCCATCACCTTCTCGGGGGGGCAGTGTCCTCTTACAGAAAGCGAAGTCTCTAAGCTCTCTGCCAGTTCTCTGGAGCAGTGATTCACAACCTTTCTAATGCCTCGACCCTTTAATACAGTTCCTCATGTTGTGGTGACCCCAACCATAAAATTATTTTTGTTGCTACTTCATAACTGTAATTTTGCTACTTTTATGAATCGTAATGTAAATATCTGTGTTTTCTTTTATATTTTATTTTATTTTGTTATTTTTTAATATATTTTATTGATTTTGTACAGAAAGGAAGGGAGAGAGCCAGAGAGCCAGAAACATCGATGAGAGAAAGTCATCGATCAGCTGCCTCTTGCACACTCCCTACTGGGGATTTGCCCGCAACCAAGGTACATGCCCTTGACCGAAATCGAACCCGGGACCCTTCAGTTCCCAGGCCGACGCTCTATCCACTGAGCCAAACCGGTCTCAGCAATATCTGTGTTTTCAGATGGTATTAGGCTCTACAGCAGCGGTTCTCAACCTGTGGGTCGCTAGCAGGGTTGCCTAAGACCAAGGGTCATGGCATTAGAAAGGTTGAGAACTACTGCACTAGAGCCTAGGAATTTAATAAGATAATCAGCCCTGACCAATTCCATTTGTTTTGAAGAGTCATATTCCTTTTTTAACAATATCTAAGTTGAGAAATGAGGAAGCAGCTGATCAGTAGTATGGCAACACTATAGCATACTATGTTTTAGGCAAGCTACCAGCTTGCCACTTTCCAAGTTATCTTTCTTAGAAACTGTCTCCAAGAAATGGCACTTGAGGCAGGAAATCCCTGAGCTGACAACTTCACCACTAAGTGATGTCCACCAATTAGAGTCTCGGTGATACTGGACTTTTTTGCTGTTGTTCTTGATGGGACACAATGCCCACCAAGTTGCTGATATTGTTTAAAATATATAATCAACTGTAGGCCCTAAATGAGTATACGGTCAATTATTAATTATTCTCAGCACCTTTTGCTCTATTTTAGCCCTTCGTATTTGTTCCTCTTTTGGACACTATCACAGCTCACTAAAGTATTGGGGGGGAGGGGGGGAGAAGAGAAAGCAAAAAGAGTTCACACTAATGGCTTTTGCTGACTGAGGAAGACTAAAATGATATTTGGAGTATCTTGATATGAATTAACCATTGCCTCTGATTGCCAAGGATGGTAAAAAATTGACTGAAGAGCGTAGAAACAACACACACAGAAACACGTATGGAGCCAATAAAACCACATCTGAATCCAACACGTGCAGCTAGGCAGGAAGGATTTGGAGTGATTATGAAACAATTACAATGTCACTCCCTGACAATATCAGGTTAAGAATTTATGCCCAGCTGGCCTGGCTCACTAGTTGAGCATCGGCCTATGAACCAGGAAGTCATGGTTCGATTCCTGTTCAGGGTACGTGCCCAGGTTGCAGGCTCAGTCCCCAGAGGGGGTGTGCAGGAGGCAGCCAATCAATGATTCTCTCTCATCATTGATGTTTCGATTTCTCTCTCCCTCTCATTTCCTTCTCTGAAATCAATAAAAATATATTGTTTAGAAAGATTAAAAATGTAGGCACAGTCAAAGTCAAGAACCTAACTGGTACGATGCACAAACTTGAACGTAAGGCTGGAAGAAGGAAGAGGCAGGAGTTTACCTGGATCCTTCTGTTCTCCCAGTTTGTCCAGAATGTTGAAGGAGATGTCCAGGTACTCTCTCTGGATGGCACTGACCGCGATCTTCCTCTGTTTCCTCTGCCTGGGAACGATCTGGATCTTAAATTCGGACTCCTCAGCCCCCTCCTCTTCGGCCTTCCTCTCGGGATTCTGTTCCGTGTCGGATTCAGCACTGGTGTCGGGCTTCTCACTTTCCATTGGGCTCTCGGCATCTTCGGGAACTTTGAGGAGGACAGTTTTTGCCCCTGAACTTGGCATCAGCCCGCCCAGCGTCTCTTCTCCGATGCCAGGCTCCAGGGTGTCGTCCAGGGACATCTCGGGGAGAGCAGGTGACTTCTGCAGGAGGTCTCGCTTCTGTTTCAGCGTGAGCGGGCTGCCCCCGGGGAACTCCTGCAGCTCCCCCAGCTTGGCTAAGGCTTCAGAGTCCGCGGGGTCTTCCAGAGCTACGAATCGGAAGTCCTTGTCCCCTGCCGGCTGGTGGGACCCCGAGTCCTTCGAGGAGAAGTCTCTGGAACAGTCCTCCACGCTCACTTGCACAAGAGGAGTTGTGCTCGGGCTGAGGCCGGAGGGGCGGCTGGGGATGGAAGGCGGGGAGGCAGCCTTCTTGCCAGCGGCACCGTCGTTTCCCTGGCCCGCGGCCTCCTCTTCGTCGCTCTCCACTATCCGCAGAGGGGGGAGAGGCTCAAACACGAGGGAGTCGCTGTCCGATGTGGAGAGCATAGACTGCTTCTCGGGCCCCGAGGCTGAGTCTGAGGACAGATCGATGAGATCGAGGTCCTCTTTGGGAGCAGGCTTTATTGGAGAGTCGACTTTGACCTCAAAGGTCTCCATGCAGTTCAACCTGACCTCCGGGATCACGGGCCTCCGCCTCTCCTGCAGGCCTTCCGCGGCGGGGAGCTCGGGGACCTCGGCATTGCTCGGTCTGGCCGCAGAGTTCTGTCTAGGCCGTGCGTGGTCATGCTGTCTCTGCGTGACGTAGGCAGCCTGGGCGGGGGGCTTATCTACGTCACAGCGGTCTATGCAGGACTTCCTACGGTGCTCATCTAATGTAAACAACAGGGAGTCTGCGTTCCCTATATCAAGAGATTTTTGTTTTAAAGAGCGCAGCTTTTTTTTCTGAATGCTTTCTTCTCTCACACAGTGGAGAATGCTGTCTTGCAACGCACCCGTTTCTCTATAGTCAGCCAGCTCTATTTCACCTGATTGAGACAGAAAAAGCTGGTACTATTTTATGGGGAGATGTCACCATTGTTTCTTTTCCCCCTCATACGTGGGCATACCATTGACATCAATCATGATCACAATCCCAGCGCCACCAGAAGGCAAAACTGACTTTCTGGCCACGTTTTTTTTTTTTTTTATGTGTGTGTGTAAGGTTCATTCTAATTTCAAAAACCAGAAACCCTTGGATGGAGAGAACCCACAGTGGCAATTTAAGATTTAGGTTTCCAAAATCAGGCTTCAGGAAAAATTCCTCAGCTCTGTTCATTGGTACAGGAGAAGGGATCGCTTTGGCTGGGGCTGAGCGAGGGAACTGTAGTCAAATTGTGTGGAAGAGAAGCAAACGTTTTGCAACAAATCAAATCAAGCAATGGCCCTCTAGCACAGTCATGACGTTAATGAGGTATCTGTCGATTCACATATATATATAAATGTGTGGGTGCATTATATATATATATATATATACTGTTTGTGCATACATATATATAAAATCAACGGTATTAAAATGTGTCATAACATAATAAAATTAAGGTTTTACCCCAAACAAACGGTAGAGTACAACATTTCTGCATAAAAATTACTAAGAGGAAAAAATTCATACTTCTCTGTACATTCATCTCAACCGGCTGATATTTCACCATTTTGCTGCCGCCTATCCTTTTCAATCTTGCAAAAAAAGTTTGAGACTCTTTATTGCAGGGTCCAGTAGGTGTATCATGAATATCAGATTCATCAAAAACACTATCTTCTTCTAATTGGGGAGAGAAAGTCAAAATTACACTTAAGAGGTTATTCTCTCTTAGGCTGTGTCTACACAAGCATTTCAACGAAAGCATTACATGGAGCCAAGGCTGGGGTGGTGTCTGCGCCAGCCCACATCTAGCCATGGCTCGGTATGTCATCTGGGCATCCAATCACCCGTATGTTCCACAGAGCAACCTGCTATCCAAGGCTGCCCCTCAATTTCCAGGTGACAACTGGCAGCATTTTCAAGAGGGACCTTTCAATGTTCCAACAGAGCCTCGTGCAGAAGCTCTCCCAATGCGCTTAAAACCAGGTAATACATAGGTGTCAGGAGTCTGGGGTACTGCTTGACATCCCTGCCTCGGGTGAATTTTCAGGCTAATTTGGCAAAAGAAAATTAAGCAAAATGAGTGGTTCTCACTCTTTCCAAAGAAAGATATGCCTTCTTAGGACTTGAGAACTGGCATAGACACAGCCTAACAGTACATGCACCTTATACTTGGTGAATGCAAAATACTGTACTCTACATTTGGCAATGAAACACAACACACAGAAAAAGCTTAGAAAGGCCACTGGCCGTCTTAAAAGCTCCACAAATGATTATGGGCTGAAGGAGTAAACCAAGGAAAAAAAGAAAACAGAAAATAACATTCCCCCCTAGTTCAGACTCTTCTCTGAGGAGTGTGCCATGGGTAACTACTGGGAGTCCCAGAAAGAATCTCTGGCTCATCGGCCTGATGCCCCCTAAACAAAGTGGTCACCAGAGTGCCTATCGAGCATGTTCCTATGTCCTCCTCTGTCCCCATTTGGCCCATTTTAAATCAAAGACAGATACAAAAATGAATTCATCAGGAAAGGGTTGCTATGCTGCAGCTCATCAAGTTCACTTAATTTCCTATGTTCTTTCGTGCCCTGGAAAGGCCAAAGCCTTGTTCAAAGCAGCAAAAGAAATGGCTACAAAAGTGCACTTGGTACCAGGATAAATGAAATCAACCTACTCTCGGCATGGAATACCACTGAAATCACAGCATTTGGCCTATGTCAACATCTACCTATGTGACAAAATGAGGCTCAGGTGTGATGAAGGTTATGTAGGCTTTCTAGAGTATCAGGGTAGTACAAATACAGAGTTAAAGTTTTGATCCTGTCCTCAGACACAAGAGTCTATAAGTAAGTGAAATTTTAAGCAATAGATGTTAGATAAACCAAGAACAGTGATCCTTTTTGTCTAAAATAAGTAAATAAACGTTAACCATTAAAATGGATACAAAACTATCAGTGACCTTCCACAAGGATGAGAAAACCTACCAAACTCCTGTGTCTTGAGGAGATGCAACCCAGTGACCTGTTTGCTTTTTTAAAATTTCCTTTATAAAAACATACTCCTCTAAAAATGCAAGTTTTTGAGGATAAAGTTATGCAATTGCCATTGTATAGCTGCAAAATAATTCTCAGTTATACTGAATAATAGAGAAGAAAGGATTCAGGATAGCATCGCCCATCTAGAAAGGGTCACCGGGGATTGGCTCAAACACTGAGCCAGCATGGAGGACATCTCTAGTGTACCTAGATCTACCCAATTTCCCAGAAACAAGGAGCCAACCTGGTAGATAAGATATTCTTCAGAAAGGGTCTGGCATCAGAACTAAGTACTAAGTTACTTAGTTCTGATGCCAGAACTAAGTAACTTAGTACTCCGAGATCCATCTAGAGCCAACCTAGACTCAGCCCTCGCAGCCATAAACCAATCATGGAACACTGGCTCCAACCCATCCTACTGAGATATGTTCAGAGCAGTCAACCAAGTCAGACTCCATTAACACCGCTCTCTAACACACCAAAGGGTCGTGGGATGCTTGGCTGTCTCCCAGGATTGGATTAGGTGATGTCACCTTCTGCGAGTCTAGTCACCCCGTGATATGCACGAAAGATAAACACCTTGGCTCTTCAGGCTAACATTTCACTCTAGAGTTTTAGTCTACTCCTTTGTGGAAAAGCTATCAATATAAGAAGTCAATATCGGAGATAATGTAAACCTATGCAGCGCAAGTCCTTCATTCCAGTTGCCTTAAGTCAATTCTTATTGAATAAGATAGCCTCAAAAAGCATGTCTGCAAACGCAGACTCCATTCATATCTGTGAGCACAGAGGTCAGGCACAAACGAGAGACTGACAAGGTTACATGGCTCCACTACATGCCGACCAAGCACCACCTCACGGCCCAAGGCGAGGTGTTTCCGTCACGTAGGAAAAGGCCCATAAAGGTCTCGAAACCAAACAGTAGACACTCTCTACCAAATGCTATATCCTATTAAATTGATTTCAGAAGTATATTCATTATTTCTCTCCCATCTTAAAAATTAAGGCAGCAACGTTCATGGGAAAGTTGGAAGATTAATGAAGCAATCGGTGATAGTTTGACTCCAGAAGGACACCTGAGGGCCCCCTTCTGTCTCCTAACCTAAGAGAAACACTGTCCAGAATGTGTTACATGCTCAGACTAAGTTTAGGATAGAACTGAGAGGCATGAAGTACCTTTTTCTTTCTCGCTGTATCTGCTGATAGTGCTGTTGTCACTGTACAGCGGTCCTGCCGTGGCATGGGGCTTGCAGCTATGATACTGTGCATTGAGCGTATTGACTGTTATGTGAATCAGGTGCAGCAGGACCTTGCTGATGTCACATTCCCGGTATGGATACTGCACAACAAAACAAAAGGAGAAATAGGTAAGTGGTTATTGTGAAGGGTAAGTTTCCACTTGAACTTGCTAGATATTTCCCCCGGCATTTCTTTGGGGTAAAAAGAAAAATACAGATAGGCAAAAACATAAATCCTTATCATGCAAGCCCTTAATCCCTGACGCTTGCACCAAACCACAGATGGCGATGCACGCCAGCTCGCAGTTACAAATCCTTTCAACAGAATTATTTGCCATAAACATTTGGTCTATGGGTACAATTTTAAATGTTTTCCTTGTTTTCTGACATAACAATTAATCTATAGATAAAATAGGAGATTCTGATCAGAAATAGAGGTGATGGAGCCAAGCCCTACAATTCATTTTCTTGTTTTAAACATTTTCAAGAGAAGACACTGACCTGGCCTCCATTTCTAGTTTCATTCTGATAGCTCTTTGCTTCTCAGCACTAACTGCACATGACAATTCTTCCTCTTAAGGTGAAATGATGGTCCTACAGCATTTTCAACACTGGTCTCGTAAGTGTTCGCCTCACTAAGAGAATCATTGCACCAAAAAACAATGACAGCAATTCACCTTGTACAGGATGACAAGCAAGGCCTTCAACCACATCTGCCGGATGTGAGGTTTTAGGGACCAGAGGGAACAACGCGGTGGCTGTTGGAAATAATGCCGGAGTTGAGGACAAGAGCAGTATTTGAGCACCTGAACCACCAAGGGGAGAAGGTGTTTTCCCAAATTAATGTTATAGTCCATAACCTGAAATAGGAAAGAAATTAATAACTGAAGGAAAACTATAAAGAACACTTACAAGCTTAAAAGGAAACATTTGATCTATCGAAACACAGGCAAAATACTTAACAGGCATTTCACAAAATATTAATAGCAATGGCCAATATGCATCAAAGGGGAAAGTCCAACCTCACAGGAAATTGTTTTAAAACCTTATATGTTAAAAATAGTTTTAATCTACTTAATTATCTAATAATCTATTTGATTTATCTATTGAAATAAATGTTACCTATTAAAATGTCCTATTAAGCTATTAAGTGGAATAAAACTTAGAATCAATCAAAACACCTGGTATGGGAAATCATGTGGAGAAATGGACATTCTCAGACACAGCATATTACCTTTCTGGAAACAGTATATTACTCAATACAACCTTTCAAGAGAGCAAGTTAACATGTATTCGGAAGTAAAAAAAAAAAGCACATAGCCTCTAACACAATTAAATATATCCTCAGGAAATAATCAGACAAGTGTTCCAAGATGTATGCATGAATAATAGTCAGCATTATAGCCACCCCAAGCTGGAAACAAACCTACATATCCAACATGATGGGACTAGTTAATAAAAGATTGTTTTTATGACAGCAAACTACTATGTAGCCATTAATAAGGTATGATACAAATTTATTTACATTATATGAATTCTGTAATATATTTTACGTTTAGAAAGGTTACACCTACAGCCCTGGCCAGTGTGGCTCAGTTGGTTGAGCATCTTGTTAAGCACTGGGAGGTCACTGGTTCAATTCCGGATGAGGGCACACCCATGATGTGGGCAAGATTCCCAGTAAGGGGGGCATGCAAGAGGCAGCCGATTGATGTTTCTCTCTCACATTAATGTTTCTCTCTCTCTCTCCCTCCCTTTTCTTCTTCTCTCTCTAAAGTCAATAAAAACATATTTTTAAAATGGAACACATACATATATCAATATGTATAACATGATTTTATCATTATTAAAAATGTGCATATATATATTGCCGAAACTGGTTTGGCTCAGTGCATAGAGCGTCGGCCTTCGGACTGAAAGGTCCTGGGTTCAATTCCAGTCAAGGGCATGTACCTTAGTTGCGGGCACATCCCCAGTAGGGTGTGTGCAAGAGGCAGCTGATCGATGATTCTCTCTCATTGATGTTTCTAACTCTCTATCCCTCTCTCTTCCTCTCTGTAAAAAATCAATAAAATATATTTTTTTAAATGTGCATATAGATATATATGCATACATATGTATGTATGTATATGATATATACATGCATATGTGTGTGTAAATTTAAAAATAAATTTTTAAAATGTTAGTTATTTGTCATGGGCTTTTTTGAGATTTGTATTTTACCTTATTGATTCTATTTCCAAAATGAATATGCATAACATGGATTTAGAAAGGGAAAAGCAGGGGAGTGAAGGAAGGAGGGAGGGAGGGAGGAAAGAGAGGGAGAGCTTGGTGTCTGAAATGGTGCACTCACTCTTCAACCCAGACAGCCGAGTGTTAGTGGTGGTCCATCTAATTATCAGCACCAGCAAGAGAAAACTATGTACATCCTGCTTCCACTTTGCTTCTCTGTGTTCATTACTTTACAGTCTATTTGAGCTCATTAATCACAGCTACCATCCCTGAGCTCCTAGCATGAGACAGGCACTGAGCAAGGTGCTCTGCAATATGTTGTCTCTAATCTTTCCAAAAGAAGTCTGTTACCCGTGAGCAAACAAGCAGAAGATGCCTGAGGTCACAGAGTTAGTGAAAACGGCAGAGCTGAAATTCATGTCCATTAGTCCCCAGGTCCTGAGCCCTTTGCAGACTGTGCAACCATTCTGGAGAGTCATATTTGGAGCTCTGGTCAAATGAGGCACACAAGATACCCAAAATCCGTTCATTCTGCTTATGGAGAACATCTCAAAGGAATTCCCACATCAGTGGGTAAGGTGCATGTACAAGGATGTCCATTGCTGAGCTGTTTGAGGTAGGAAGGAGTTGGGAGCAATAGGAATGTCCATCGCCGGGGGGATGGGTAGTTAAAGCATGGCAGATATACACTGTGGCATATGGTACAGCAGTTGGAAGTAGCAAACATGGAATAGCCAATGACGATGATGTGACAGGAAGTAAGTTGAACCCTCCACTTGAAGCCAAAAAGGAAAAGGGTTTTTTAAAAAGAAAAAGAAGTATGGTAATTACCAGAGGGAAAGAAAATTGGGGGAGGTATAAGATGGTAAAGGAGGGAGAAATGGTGATGGAAGGAGACTTGACATGGGGTGGTGACCACACAGTACAATTATACAGATGATGTGTTATAGGATTGTACACCTGAAGCCTATGTAATTTTGTTAACTAATGTCACCCCAATAAATTCGATCATTTTCAAAGGAAAAGAAAAAAAATCACCCACAAATAAAAATCCCACACTGCCTTATTGTTCACTGGGTAGAGTTTCAGGTTAGAATGATGGAACAGCTCTAGAGATGGATAGTGGTGGTGGGTACATAACTAAGTGAATGCACTTAATGGCACAGAATTATACATTACAACGGATTGAAATGGTAAATTTATGTTACACGTATTTTATGCCACTCCCCCCCCCAAAAAAAATCCCAAACTCCCTTTATGGCATCAGGTGGCTGAATCTTACTCATCTGTCTATTCCCCTCACAGACCCTAAGAAAGTAACTTGTACAAATTTTTACGTTCAACTCATGTTGAACATGGATTAAATTACTTGTTTCTACTGCAAGTCCAAGGGCATGACTTCTGAAAGCTGTTGTTACACTTACTTGGGCAATTCCTGCAATAAACGCATTAAAGCATGTCGACAGGCGCATTTTTTGAGGTGCAATCATAAAGCAGCCTTCCTGCTGGTCATAGCCGAGCAGGACGTACAGGTGCCGCTTGACCGTGTTGAAGGCCTTCGCGCTGCTGATGTCTGACTCTGCGCTGCTCTCGTCCTTGGCCATGAACTTCATGAGCACGGTAATCAGCTGGTGGACTGTCTGGTGGTCGATCCCAGCGTCTTCTGGGAGCAGGTCCTTGATGGTGTTGTCATTCTCAGGGGACTGTTGTCCTGTCGGTACAAGAAGGGGCTTCGGTGGGTGGCTCCTCCACACATAGCTTTCCACTAAAACCTCCCTGAATGTATAAAGCACCATTCTTCTGCCATTAAGCATTTTTCTTTTTTGGAAAAACTTAAAGGCACAGTATGGCCTACTAAGCAAAGCATTAGTCCAAGGGTAGACATTTGTATGTCAATCTACAACCAAGTAATTGGGGATAATAAAGAAATTTGAAATAAAAATGGGCATTACAAAGCTAGCTTCTCCTCAAACAGTAAGACAAACACCTAAATAAATTGCACTTAGGGGCAACATTTTATCCTCAGTGATAAAAAGAAGTTTCCCTTTCAGCTTTGTAAAAATAGCATGTAAGAATCACCAGTAATAATAATAATAATAATAATATTCTAAAACCCACTGAGCACAAAGACATCCACTGGGTTATTTTGTTTAAATTATTATCTTGATTCAGTTATGTTCATAAATCAGCTGGTGGGGGGGAAAGTTTTTCAAATCCTGAGATATTAGCAATGTGTAATCTCTCAATAAGATTGTAAAAATTATCCTCATATTAAATTCATTTTCATTGATCTTCTGTACTTTAAGTTGGCTACTTCTAGTTTGCTTTTTCTGAATAGCTAGAAATGAATGCTCCTTAACAAACCACTATATTTACTGAAAAATAGACTAGCTAATGGGACCTATTGCATGAAGTGGGGGGAAAACCCTCTTTTCATTCCAATAATTACCCCTCTGGTTGTGGGCTTTGCAAGACTGTGCTCTTTCCTTACAATACCGTAGGCTTGTGATTGGTACACTCTTCATTAAGAAAAGTTACCTCAATCAAATCCATAAGAAAAAATGAGCTTAGAAAAGTTGACATTTTCTTTATTGTTTAAGACAACATTTAATTACCTAAAAGGTTACAAAATTTACATTTTAAAATTAAATGCCTACAATATTGTCTCTAAGGTGTGACCATTAAAAACACTTTGGAATTCTGTTCCATAAAATTCCTGTATCTGGTTTTTGTTTTTGTTTTAATATTACCTGTGCCCACCTTTCTCTCAGTAACTGGATGTGGTCCCTAAACTCTGTCAATGTCCAAGGACAAGAAAGGAGGAAAGAGGGGAGGGAGGAAGGGAAGAATGAACAGAGTTTCCTGTAGCATTTCTTAACTCTCCTGACAAATAGCTATTATGCCAGACAGAACTTTTTATTCATTCACTTGACTTATTTCCCCTATAAGAACTAGAGTGCTATGCTTCATCCATTGAAGTGCTATGCTTCCTCCATTTTTTTTAACCTCCATAGAATATGGGGCAGTGTCTGACTTATACTATAATAGATGCATATTATTCATAAATGTCTACATATACTGAATTCAAATAAATATTTCAGATCTTGTCTTCTCTACAGGAGAAAAAACTGATGAGGTCTCCAAACAGCAAGGAAGTGGCTAGGGAACCTTCCTCTGTGTAAGTCAACTCCCAGCCACCGCTGTCAAACCAATGTGACAAGCAGAGGAAGAAAGGACCCCTTCCACGAGCTTACTCTGCATTCAGTCGAGAGAAGCCAAGGATTACACCCTATAGATGATGTATTATTTCAGTAGTTCTAGCCACACTGCCTCACTGGTCTCCCTAGCTCATTAATTTAACTTACAGCTTCATTCACAGCAGTTCTGTTGTGTGTGCACATGGCCACAGAGGCTGTAAAGTTGAGGCTGGTAACTAGCTCTGCATCCCCATATGCTCCCCATCCCTGTCTTTGCCTCTTCCTTCCCCACATCCTATCACTTGGGAAACTGTCATTTCTCAAAACCATCAATTCAAATAAGGGCATTCCTACAAAAAACACCGTACTCTTTGATTTATTGGATCGAAATGATCGATAGGTATTTTGAAGATAATGAAGATTTGAATTATAAACCATCTTTCTAGGGAAAAAAAAAGAGAGAGAGAGAGAAAGAGCCCAAAAGAGAAGCAATTTGGAAGTCCAGGCTGGAACCTAAGAGGGAGGCAGGAAGGGTCAATACAAATTTCACCGATGTTACCAAGCATTGGGTGCCTAACATTGGGTACCTTCTCTTACTGATACAAATTCAGACCAAGGGGTCTCAGGATTTCTCAACGGGCTTGCATTAGGATAGCTCTAGACCAATCTGTAGGTTCTAACAGGAAAGATCCTCTGGTCTGATGCTCATGGCTTACTGGATGCTCACTGTAGCAGACCTGAATGCCCAACTCAGCTCCATAACTAGATTGGTGTGCCCATGCCATCCTAAAGGGTAGAAATATCCTAAAAACAATTCCTCAGGAATTGTGGTGGAAGGAAAGCAAGTAAAGTATCTTGGACTCAAGTATCAGTTCTATCCCTAACTAGTTAGTTATACGTGATCTTCAGCAAACCATCTAAGCAGAATTCCTTAATTCTTCAGGACCTGTATTCCTATCCATATGTAAAGTGAAAAAAAAATAATAATACTTTACATATATCCTTAGTTGTAAAATCGAAATTAGATGATGTGCATAAAAACACTCTTCATAGAGAGAAGCACTAAACATATATGAAATATTATTATTATTTACCTACTACTGTTCAATTACTCATTCCAGGAGATGAGGGATAAGATATAGTGAAACCCCATGTGATCACATGGAGTGATTATTGTTCAGTATTATGCATCATGTTCACTTAATATTCAACAGATGTTTTGAATTATCAAAGACGAAGAATTCCTGGTTCTCACAGCATTAGTCAAAATACATTTTATATCTAATTAGGATTAAACCAATTTCAGATTAGCAGGAGAACGTGTATTTTTCATCAATTGAGATTAAAGGTGTAGAGCTCCCACTAGCATTTACCACACAAGCCTTGCAAGAGAGATCAAGACATCTGGGCTTGTGACCCAGATCTGTTTGTTACCAACAAACCTGTGGCACTTGCTCTTCTCTGGAAACAGTTTCCTCTTCTGTAAAAGGAAACTATTAACCTACTTCTAATATTTCATTTATAGCATTCTATGAATTTTCTATATTTGCACAAGGCCTTTGATTTGACTCATAAATGTCATGGAAGAATGCAGCTCTTCACTCGCCTTACAGAGTATACCTTCTATACAAGTGTATTTCCGTTGCAAATTTGCTGTGCATGCTCATATTAGAGAACCATAAATTATAAATTCCAGTGACAAAAAAATGCATCCTTTATTTCAGGCCCAATCAATACAAGGTCTTGCACAGAGGAGTGCATTATCTATACCGAACAAATATATATTCAATAGCAAGTTCTTTAGTTTCAATTTAATTTTTATCTTAAACCATCCTGTAGTCTTCTGACTGTCTTGGTATGTCTTTGCTTCCAGTGTTAAGTGATAATAATACAAAACTGAAAAACTAGTTTGAAATTGCTTTATAAGCAACTTATAAGTTTTCAAATCTAAAGTTTTGCTTTATGGTGGTGTCATGTAAATGATATTTATGTTTAATATGAACAATGCTTTTATTTGCCCCTTTTCCATCTTGTCACATTTGATGGGACAATTGGATGACTGAAACTTTTCTTCACTTTAAGAAACGTATATATACATTTTCCCAAAGAGATGTGAGAGGTTGGATTGTTATAATGGGTGATAATAACTACAGACTAGCTTTTCAACTCAGCCTTACGACAAAAAGAAAAGTTGGGGTCAAATCAAGATAGTTTGTGAAACTGTGTAAGACCCATCTCAAAAAGACCTAACTGAAGGGAAGCTGGGTGGATTTCACATTTGCAGTGAACTCAGAATAAGAAGTTCTTATTTCATCTTCTTTCCATCTCAGCACAGTTGAGGCACAATTGATGTACAAAATAAGGTAGAGAGATTCTGCCAAGTATTTGCTATCCCTTTTTTCTCATCGATTTTAAAGGAGAACATACACTCTGGCCACCATCTACCATCTGCAATCATAATCTTATGCTCCTCTCCCATCCCTCATCGCCTCTCTTTCTAGAGTCATTTTTATAACACAACAAACACACAGTCTTCAAAGTCTCTCTACTTGAAATTTTTCTTCTAAGACTATTCTGAAAAGTTCGCCTTAAAACTATTCTTAGAAAAACATTAATAGGAAAACAAAATCTTTGTTAGTATGGCACACAGATGGCAGTTACCAAGCTTGTTTCTGACAAATAAGCAGGTACTCAGAACCTGCTCAGTTTTCCCAACAAGTTATGGGACTATTTGTGTGAATAATGTTCAGTCTGTAATAGTCTTGCCAGTATCCCTTCAACCCTTAGGATCATTCGGGAACATCAGATAACAGTTTCCCTGTGCCAAGCTGGATATGATCCTATGATGCGCCAAACAATGGAAACTCTTTCACTGAGAGACAGAAAAGCATGTAGAGCTGCAATGAATCAGGAATGACTAAGGGGATGAGTGAATGACGGTGGCTCAAATGTACAACCTTTTAAAATGCGAATGAAATGCATGTTTTTTCCTATAGCAGATATACATGAACATACCATTTCTATGGGTAAATACACATACAAATATAAGTACTAGGTATGGCTCTAGTCATATGAGCTCTCTGGGGAACTCAGTGTGTACTCAGGTAACAAGATGCTTTTTTCTGGACCCAAAGTTAGCAGCAGAAAAGCCACCTGCTAATACAAAAGGAATTGTTATGTCGGGGGCCCAAATGCTTGAGCGCCTGAGTAAGACCCTTGGAGCTTGCCAAACCTAACTACGTCACTGTGGTCCAGTTAGAGACACCGCACTCTCTGCCTGTCCACCTGCAAGAGACAGTTGCACACAGCCCTTCCAGTCAGAAGTACCCACCTGGCATCTGTTCGGGTGTCCCACCGAGAGCTGGAGCAGACTGCTCTTGCCTGGTCAACCTCACAGCTTAAAAATCAACAACAACTCTATTTAAATAAGCATTAAAAACAACTTGAGCCTAGAAAATATACTTAATGCTAACTGCATTGGGGAGTAGGGGCAAGTTTAGTTTTCCTATTTGTAATTAGCATCGCATAGTAGATGTCTACATCACAAAAGTTTTGTGGTTTCATTTGAATCTCAAGAACATTCTGCAATGTTACTTTAATTCTTAATCTTCAGAATTGTCACGTGAATCAATGAACAAGAAATAACAGTAAGTAAAACTGTATACCCCAAACTTATCAGTTCTGTTCTAAAGGAGCTGGGACATTCTTATAGAAACTGTAATCTAGTTGATTGAGGGATTGGATTTTAGGATCTGATGGATTCGGTGTCACACGGGGCCTCACATTTCATATTTTGAAATGGGCACCTGTTATTATCTTTGCTCTCTGAACACCTATATTATTGATTGCTTATAGGGCTTTTATTGATTCTTCCAAAGTTCAAAACACTACATGACCTTAACTTGTCGAGAAATAGAGGGAAATGCAATAAATAAAATCAAATCATATTCATGATTTAAAATGGTCATGTTACAATAAAGCTGCCTTCGAATAAATGCCAATGAAAAAGTAAACTTCAGCTTCTAACAGGATAAGAAGAAATATATTTTATGATGTTCTTTTATTAACTTCACAGCAGTTAAAAATTAAATCATTTAATAAATGTTACAAGTTATCAATGTATTTAAACATATTCATTCACTAATGTGATGATTTAGTTATGAATTTTTAATTATTAATTATGAGCTATTGCTAATCATTAGAGTCCATCTAGTGAGTTTGTAATTTAAGGGAAATTTTGTTCTCTTTAAAAGTGCAATATAAAGACCTTTAGAGAACAAGTACATATGGTCTTTTTTTTTTTTTAAGTTGGCAATGAAGCTTGTTTAAGTTGGGCAAAAACTCAACTTCTCGGCCTAATTTGTCTTTGCAAAAGCAACCATTATTATTAGCTTGTCTGGAAGCCTGTTTGGCTGCCTCTACCATGCAGTCATTAAATGACCATGTCCAAGTCTTCTCAGGAATCTCTTATCCAGTCTAGTGCAAACTTTACATTTGAGTACTTAGGAGCAAATGCTTCTTTCATGCCAAACATCAATGGGTTTGCTGCCTTTCACATTTCAAAACAATCCACTGAACAATCTACTGTTAGATCAAGGCTTTGCTTCATCTAAAAACTGGAAAAAGCCACCCAGGGCACTAACACCCCTGAGGGGACCCTCTAGGGAATCCGAAGGCCAAACCTGATGGCCAACCTGTATGCTAAATTAGCTCCTCTCTATGCACATTCAGCAAGACAAGCCAGCCTCCGAAAGACATTCAACAGGTGTAAAGGAAAGATGAAAGAAGATACTCAACGGATTTTGGAGGTCAGGGTCTCGGGGAGGGAGAGCGCCCTCTTGGACTCCACGGGCCCTTTCACGCTGTCCCTCAGGGAACGCACACTCTTCTGGCGGTTCCTCGCAAAGCGAGCCCTCTTGATCTTCCACAGTGCGGTGTCGCTGAGGTTGGTGACGTTGGTCCTTACAGCAGTGATAGCTTTGCAAAAGGAACCAAAGGTTATCATTTTCCTTAACTCCTATGTTATGCAACTAGCTTAAAACCATCCATCTGTGTGTATTTTTCAGTATTACAAACCGTCTTTCATGGATATATGACTCATTTATCTTTCTCTCTTCAGGATAGCTTGAAAAATCATGACTTATTGCCTATCATGACTATCGTATAATTAAGATTAAATTATCTGATTTTGTTATCGCTGGATAACTAGTTGACTGACCAAAGCCTTTTCCCCATCTAGTCAGAGCTGTAGGTACCTGATTAAGAAGCATGAGAGAGTGAATTTTGCAAGGTGCAAATCTCTCTTACAAACCTGCTCACAAACATTACAATCACGATGATTGAATAGCATTTAAGGAATACAACATTCACAAATGTTTTTCACAAGTCCCCCAAAGAACTAGAACATTTGGGATTTCAGAATGCCAGAAAATAGGTAATCTGAGGATTACTACAGTAGGTAGTCAACAAACATTTGATAGATGGAGTACAAAGTTAAGGCAGCCTCCATAATGGGAAGCCGAACTACACGCATAGTATCTTCTGCTTATCTAGCAAGCACAAGCATAGGAACCTCGACTCTATGCAGCAAGTTCTTCCTTTTGCTTACTTGTAGGAAAAGGAAATTCTTTGTTACAATCCAAATGCAGCTGAGCCTCCAAAGAAAGTGTCTCAAATCTGTTGACAAAGAACTCCCAGCTCAGAGCAGGAATATCTTGCTTGAGAAAATGCAAGAGCAAAAGCTTGCTCAATATTGTGGGTCGATCTTTAACCACAGTGTCAAACTGGAAGTCAAGACAAAGACACAGGCCCTGGGGAAAGAGAGGAGGAAAGCAAAGTCAGGTGTAAACATCGAAGTTGCTTTAAGTTAAATACACTAAGCAAGTCCGTGGAACAAGGCAGACTCCTCAATCTAATATTTATAATGTAGAATGAGCCAGGTGAAATCTTTCTTACTGAAAATTTTGGTAGAAAAAAATACAAAAGAGAAGCTTCTCCTAATTGTAGAACAGACTTTAAATGTTGACTTAGAAATCTGAACTAAATGTATGTTAATTTTTTTACCCAAATATCCTCAAACCAATGTTTCTTTTCTTAATGTCTGTCATTTCTATAAGAGAAGCGTATTTCCAAAGGCACCTTTTAAATACACAAAGAGGTTGTCTTTAAATGTTAAATTTTAAAATTTGGAATTAAATTTTCTAAAAAAAATTCAGATTTTAGAATTCTTTTAATGATTGTAAAAGAAAATAAGTCATCTTCTTGGAATGTGAGTGAAACATAGGGTTTTTAAAAAATCAAAGATGTAATGGATTGAGCATCTGTTTCTCTAGTAGATAAGTCTATAATTCCCTTTTTCAAAAAATTGCAATTCATCCTATTAATTCATCCAACTCTCACTTAATGAGTGCCTCCTATGTCCCAGGCCCTGAGCAGCGGTAAGACATACAACCACCAAAGTCTTATTAAGACCAACAGAGAAGTGCTATCCCTAACACAAATGGAAGTTTTCACAAGGAAGGGTGTGCGCCCACAGACAGCACAACCACAGAATACTTTAGGTCCTGTACCACTGCTCTCTCTCCTTAGTCTTTTTCACAAGTACCCTCCCACTGATGGGGGGGGCAGTGTACACACACAGAGAGAGAGTTAAGAATATGACTTTATTATGAGTCAGACCTTTCTACCACTTACTAGCCGTGTGACTCTGAAATTACTTAACCTTTATGACCCTCAGCTTCTCTATCTGTAAAATGGGAACATACTAAAGGTTATGGTGGGGATTAACTGAAATAATGCAGGATTGGATACTTAAAATACGCTGCCCTGAAAACACAATGGCTATCTGGTAAATGATAGCTCTTGCCATTATTAACTTTAATAATAATGAAATTATAATAAGTCAGGTGGCAATGGGGAAAAACAGAAGATCAGGACTTTGGAGGTTCTAGTTTTGGTTCCCCCAAAATTCACTCTGTGTCCTTTCATAAGTGACATTATCTCTCTGAGAATTGGTTTCTTCAACTATAAAATACATGTGCCAGCCTGGCAGTGTGGTTCATCAACCTATGAACCAGGAGGTCACAGTTGGATTCCCGATCCCCAGTAGTGGGTGTGCAAGAGGTAGTTGAATAATGATTCTCTCTATCATTGATGTTTCCTTCTCTCTCTCTCCTTTCTTCTGAAACCAATAAAAACTTATTTTAAAAATGAATACATTTTTTAAAAACATAGGCGCCAAATAAGATAAAAATATTCAACTCTCTCCAGGTCTTATATTTCCTGTTACTTTGGCTTTAATTTGTAGTGTTTCATTTTGGTAGCATATTTACCTTCTCCTGGCTTGCCTTGATGTATAATTCACCTGATTTCTCTTAGAAGATAGCCCCTAATAAAAGGACTTTTAGCCCAGAAACCAGTGGGATGGTATAAATACGCTTAATTTAATAACCTGCCACAAAAAAAGTTACACAATAATTTTATCTGTCAGAAGTGATTCAGCACATAGACCAAGAAAAAATAATACTGAAAAAAATGATACTGAAAAAAAAAAAGTATCAACAAATAAAAATAAGAAGTCTGTTAATTCGATGTGATTCTGGGATGTTTTTCCCAACTTAAAAATTTCCACAATTATCATCATCATCATCCTCAGTACTTGTGTGTATGTGACACATAACTCAGGGTTTAGTGGTGCAGAGCAGAGAGCCGTCTGCAGAGCACACACACTGAGGGACAGCACCTGCAGTGCCGGCCTCTTTATGGTGTCCAGCAGGAGCCCGGCCCTGGTAGCCACTGCTGGGTTGACGTCCTCCACGGCCGCCAGGAAGCAGCAGAAAGCATGTGCCAGCGAGTACTTCAGCAGGTGGTTTTTGGTCACGGAGTGAATATCCAGAAATCTACAAATGACAGCCACCTTTTCCACTGAAAGGTAAAAGGCAGAGGACAAAAAAAATGACATTTGTTTAGGTAGTCTGAAGCCACTGAGATAAGGGTACTCTGGGCCCCCATACACTGGTTTTAAACACCAAAAGGAACGTCTACTGCTTCCTTTTCAGTGATCCGTGCAGCACAGACCACCTCTACTTAGTGCATTATTTTTGTCAGGCAGCCTTTAGTTCTGGGTTCTCTCTCTCTCTCTCTCTCTCTCTCTCTCTCTCTCTCTCTGTCTCTCTTTAATGGTCTTTCCCATTGTTTAACTTCCAGCTATATTTCAAACTATTCAAAATGCCTCCGTGCTCATTTATTTGTCCATCCCATAAAAGTTCCCCAGACAATACAGGAAGGTGGGAGGTACCCGCCAATCCTGGCTCTATTTTCTGGACCCTCTATTCCACTCTTAGCATGTCATGATGTGAAGTGACAACCAATTCCCGGGGCTGTACAGCATACACCTTCCCTAAAATAGAGGCACCCTACTTGATATATTTCTAATTATTCTTCAAATCCATGTTAAATGATTCCAGCCACTCTTAACATAGAGCTTGATAAAAAAAAAAAAAAAAAAAAAAAAAAAAATTTAAGCCATAGAAGATAGTGAAGCAATATAGTTCCATGGAAATAGAGATGGTTCAGTATTTTGCTTAAGCTATTCCAGCAGCCTAGAATATTCTTTCTATTCTTCTTTGCTGCCATGCTTAAAAGAACCTACTGTTTAAATTCTACATGTTCTGTGAAGTCCACTCTGATTTCCTAGAGTGGTCTTCCCATCCCCTGAACTCCTGCAAAAATACTATTCATTGCCCTAGCTGGTTTGGCTCACTGGATAGAGCATCCGTGGACTGAAGGGTCCTGGGTTCTATACCAGTCAAGGGCACATGCCCAGGTTGTGGGCTTGATCCCCAGTAGGGGATGTGCAGGAGGCAGCTGATCAATGATTCCCTCTCATCATTGATGTTTCTCTCTCTCTCCCCTCTCACTTCCTCTCTGAAGTGAATAAAAAAAAATTTTTTCAAATACTATTCATTTAGATATGGCGTTTTTATGTTCATATTTAGCTATATGGCATATCTTCTTTTGTGATCTTGAATTATATTTATACTTTTATAGTTTCTTAATCTTTTACATGTTTGTATTTGGTCCCATCAATTAAATTGGGAGTTTCTGAGAGCAGGAGTTTGCCCTTATACTCTTTAATTATTCAATAAATCCACTAATTCACTTATTTTAAAGACACCATCCTAGGTACTTGTTGGGGAGGTGGAGGTAAATGAAAAAATGAACTGTCAGGGGCTGAATTGTTGTGACTCCCCCACCCCACAAATTTACACATGAAGCCCTAACCCCCAATGTGATGGCATTTGGAGTTGGAACCTTGGGAGGTCATCAGGTTTAGATGAGGTCATGAGGGTGGGGCCCCATGATGGGATTTGTGTCCTTATAAAAATCAAAAGGAAAACTAGACACAGGAAGAAGGTGACCATCTACAAGCCAGGAAGAGCCCTCCCCAAGGAACTGCATTGGCTGGCACCTTGATTTTGGACTCCAGCCTCCAGAACTGTGAGACATAAACTCTCTTGTTTAAGCCACCCAGTCTGTGGTATTTTGTCATGGCAACCTAAGCAGGCTAACATGTGAATCCTTCACAGGTCTTGACTTCAAAGTCAAGTCGGCTAAAAGAGATAAACAGGTACAACTAGAAACAAAATGTAATATAAAAACCTGTCAATGCTGTTCGTGATGTATAAATAAAATGCTATGGGAGCTTGGAGAATTAAAAACAACTTTCCGCCAAAACTGGTTTGGCTCAGTGGATAGAGCGTCAGCCTGCAGACTGAAGGGTCCCGGGTTCGATTCCAGTCAAGGGGATGTATATTGGTTGTGGGCACATCCCCAGTGGGGTGTGTGCAGGAAGCAGCTGGTTGATGTCTCATCGATGTTTCTAGCATTCTATCCCTCTCCTTTCCTCTCTGTGAAAAATCAATAAAATATATATTTTTTTAAACTTTCCATCAAGGGAACAGAGAAATGGAACTCCATGGGGGCATTTGAAGGCATTTCGAACTGAGATGGCATTTGAATGGGATCTAGAAGGGAAGAGGGTTTCAGATTGAGAACAGAGAATGGCCAAGATATAGGTGAGGGGCAGTAGGTAGCAATGAGGAAAGTACAATGAAGAAAGATGGGTGAGAAATGAGGCTATCTACACACAGGAGCAGTCAGACCATTGGTTTTGAATGTCCATTTAAGGAGTCTGAACTTTATTCTCTAGACATTGTAAACCCATTAAAATGTTTTGAATAGAAAAGCAACATAATCAGAGCTGTGAATCTTTTTATTTTTGCTTTTGTTATTATTGAAGTGGATTAGCACAATTTCAACACATCAAGAGGCCATCAAGAGTGCTGATGTTGCTAAGGGTGTGAAAGTGCTCAGAAAACAATGAGCACAGGCAATTGAAGAGACAGAAAAAATGTTGATTGGGATAAACAAAAACAGCCAGTGACAGCATTTGGGAGACAATGGTATGTGAAAAAAGAGAAGAGACCGCCTGAAAGACACCCCTGAACGGAGCATTGAAAGTGATTTGTTTAAGACTAGCAGGGGGTGGTTCAAAAATGCTCAGAAAATAAATGTTTATTTATAGATTAGACAGTATATTTGACATGTACTGTATATTAAAAAAAGGTTAAAACAGGAAGTTCTTTGGGGATCTAGATCAGATTAATTCAATTTAGATGATTTCTAATGGGGAAAACAGGATTTGGTTTTCAACCAAACTGCTGCTCGAACAACCTTCTGGAGCTAATTAAGTTCAGGGACCGAGGTTCCACTGTAATCAGTGTTTTTAACAAACACTCCCAGTTACACTGATGCAAGTAACCCATTAGGTTGACGAAATGATTGACCATTTAAGCCAGAACCCACTTGAAAGCAAACATTGTACCGGTTTGGCTCAGTGGATAGAGCATCGGCCTGCGGACTGAAAGGTCCCAGATTCAATTCCGGTCAAGGGCATGTGTACCTTGGTTTCGGGCACATCCCCAGTAGGGGATGTGCAAGAGGCAGATGATCCATGTTTCTCTCTCATTGATGTTTCTAACTCTCTATCCCTCTCTCTTCCTCTCTGTAAAACAATCAATAAAATATATTTTTAAAAAAGAAAGTAAACATTGTACAATTACTAAGTACCTGGAGCATAAACTCAGACTACCCTAGGCAAACTAGACAGGGCCACCATCCCTAAGGACCACTCTGCAAAACACTACTGTTGACAAAGCTCAGCTAAGTAGACACAACGAAGAACATCGGCAAGCAGGGCAATGCCCTATAAAAAGAGGGGAGGGAAATGGAGGCCAGAAAGAGATCTCCTAACTGGACATCTGGTTTGTAATGGGAACCGGAGAGGATTGTGAAGCTAACACAGAGGTACCTGCTTCAAACCTCATCTTCCAGTCTTTGCTGTTGAAGTTGCCGTTTATGATTGTCCAGAAGATGTCAGCACCATGGGGAAGTGACAACGCATGGAGCAGGAGAGGGACCGCCAGCGAAGACAACTGGGAGAAGTCGGATTTGATGACTCTCCACAGGCTGGAAACCAAGAAGCAAAGCGATCACAGTTATGATAACCTTTTTAGAAAGAAAATACTATTTATCTTAATTGATAAGAAACATAGTTAACCGGTAGGTGGTCGGAATGCTTTCGGTGAAATTGCATTCATCCACAAGCCTATGATCCTCTGAACAACTTTTCCTATGCTCTGTTCTGATCATGTCTTTTTAAAATAATTACTTTCATGAAACAACATAGAAAAACACCGCTTAATATTATATTTTAATGTAAAAAAAAATTAATTGCATATTTTAAATTCAAGTAATAAATAAATAATGACTGTTAAAAATTATACAAAACTGATAGTAATTATGTTAAGATGGTGAAGTGATAGTGATTTAAATTTCTTTTCCTTATACTGAACATGTGAGGAGTTATGTTGGTTTTGCTTGCCCGGCAGCCTTTTCCTCATATTATTCTAGCAAGGAGCAACTTTTTTCAATTAAGAATAGCCTCTTCAGCTGGCGGAGGTGTCATTCAAGCCCCACAGACCCACCCCTTTTCCTATTGTAAGAGTGAACACAAAACCCATACTGATCAAAGTACTTCGATGCCGAAAATCGAGTGATTAGTCAAGGGATAGACATATGATGTAATTATGGGAATGCCAGAATCCTTTTCCAGGTATTGATATGGACTCTGGGACAAGAAAGATCTCTCTTCTTCTCACGGAAACAGCCTGCTGAGAAGCAGCCAATACAGATGGAATGAGGCTAAGTGATGGGAAGAAAGGGAGAAAGAGAGATGAGACAAAAAGAGAAAAAAGGAGAGAGAGGGAGAGAGAAATCCCTAGTAATACCTTGTGAGAACTAGCCCTGCCTACAACCAGTCCATTATTGGTCAAAAATGTACCTTAGCAAGTTAGCTAAGTTCCTATCAATTTCTACCAGAATAATTCTGAAGGTCTATTTTTACTACTCCTATATAATAAAAGCATAGTCTGCAAATAGTCCCCCTCGACCAGGAGTTCAACCAGGGGGCAGGGCCAGCAGCCACTAGGGATCCTACCAATGCAAGAATTTCATGCACCAGGCCTCTAGTAATATGTAAGTGGTTTCAAATCTTTTATTCATTTATTTAAAGTATGTCTTTTGTTTGTTTTTGTTGTTTTATTTTGTTGTATGTCTTTTAGCTCCAGAGTTAATCCAGAATTGAAACTATTTGTGACTTTAAAAAACTCATAATATACCTCTAAAAGATGGGAGGAATGGCACAGTATCTCCAATTTATGGAGAATATAAGTCACTAAAGTTGCTGGTATTTCAGAAAATATACTAGAATGAAAAGGAGTAATTTTCAAATGCCATATGCTTCAACTGAATTATGGATATCAGAAAAATAAGGATCTAATCTGAACCCTGTCATTAATAAACTGTGTAGCCAAGTGTAAATGTAACTTGTCTGAACTTCCACTTCCTCCTAATGCTGGCTGTATTAAATGTTTGACACATAGTAGGTATTCAAAACTCTTAACACTACTCTTACTGTTGTGAGGCTAAGGATGATGCTACTTCTCTCTACAACAACAGGCCCTATAGAGAATGCAAAGGAAAAAGAAGGCATCATCTCTACCCTCGGGGAACTTGCATTTCAGTAGAAAGAAGCAAATTGTATATGGCACTAATAGAAAACTGTCCCAGTGACAAAAGTTCCTGGACTCTTCCAATCCCATACTGCTTTCTCCGGTCCCTAAGGCAGCCTTGTTTGAAAAATGGAAGCATGTCTTTTCTGCAGATCCCCTCACTGTCCCTCAGGGTTTCTGAGGGGGAAACCTGGGCTATGCAACCCATAAGCTAAGGCAAAGATGCCAGGGCATCAAGGATCCATTTGTCCCAACTACATCTCCGATGGAGGTGGCTTTCACAACAGAAGTCCGCCACGTAGTCTCCCCACTCTCCTGCCCAACTCCTGACCCTGTCCCTTCACTGCTTCTACCTGGATTTGCTGCTTGTCTCATCTGTTACACTGATAATTTCAAAATTCTATCGTTATCTCAATGCCTATCCAAATGGTATCTACTCCTGAGGCTTCTCTGATCATCCAAAAATGACCTCTCCCACCTATGAACTACACAAAACAATCACCCCACACATCCCTGAGATTGACAGTGACTTATATATACATCAGTGACTTGTGTCTTCATTTATTGAAGATCTTAGTCTACTATATATTGGTTGTTTTGAGATTACTATGAAGATCATTCCCTCTTCACTCTCAAGAGTAGACCCATTTGAAGAATAAACTATGTGGTCACATTCTGTACTCAGACTATTGGCCCTCTTCCAAACTAAACTGCAAATCCCCAAAACAAATATTGCAAGCCCTCAATATTTTTGAATGAATAAATGAACAAAATGAATAATGACAAGTAGAGCCTCAAATTGGTTTAGTTACCAAGTTAATCTAAACCAACCTTTCCCTTTTTAATCACTTCATTCCCTGATATATAAAGATGAGGATAATATTTTTCTAACTTATTTCCAGGAAGATTGTAACAGTTATTTTAAAGTTCTTAAGAAGAAAACCACTATGTACATTCAGGGCAATATGTTCTTGTTTTTCTCAGAATGCCTGAGCAGTCTTTAAAAAAAATGCATTATCAGATAATATGTGGAGAGATTTTAGATGTCTATTAGCAGTTCTATTTCAAGTAGCAATTAAGTCATTACTCAATTATACTAGGTAAATATTAACTTAGTACCTGGTGACATTTTTCTAGGTTACACTATATTCTTTTTTTGTTAATTTATCTTTGTTGTTGGAAGTATTACAGATGTCCCCTTTTGTTTTCCCATTGACTCTTTCCCCCCATACCTGACCCCCCTCCCCCAGGCCCTCACCACGTTACTGTGTCCATGGGTTATGCATATATGCATATAAGTTCTTTGATTAACCTCTCCCCACCCACCAACCACCCCCGTCTTCCCTCTGAAATTCATCAGTCTATTTCATGCTTCTATGGCTCTGGATCTATTTTGTTTGTCAGTTTATTTTTTTCTTCTAGGATACACTATATTCTTAAGCCACCTAACAACTGAAAGGCATAAGATAATATTTATTTTGCCTTTTCTATTTCTATAGTATTTAAAGGAATTTACTATTACTCATATTGACATACTTAATAATCAAACTAAATAAAAGTAGTTCCCACAGACAATTAGGCTGTCCTGGCTAAGCAAAATAATCCAAATAAATTGGTACGTGTTATTCTAAAGACTTACATATAAGCAAAAAAGCCTAATGTATAAACAAAAAAGAAAGACCTACCTTGCAATTAACATATGATCCTGAATGTAGGCTAAAAATTGAGGATGATCTTTTCTAGCAATGTATAAACACTCTCCGTGTAGACAGAGAATCTTCAGGCAATTGAGCATATTAAAAAGAATGTCTGGCTCTTCAAATTTAGCCATTTCCTATGCAAAAAAACCACATGGTTACGGAATTATCTAAAACAGCAACGCCACAAACCAAAAGTTCAAATATTCCAAAAAATATACCTGGAAAATGGTGTATATTAGTCTCAAAGTTACTGGAAGCTGTTGGTAGCTAAACTTCCTTTCAGTATCGTTCTTTACTGCTGGGAGGAAATAATTACACAGAGGTTAGCATAACTCCTCCTTTCCCCCACCGTTCATGAACTGGTCAGGATCATAAAGCCAAGAGGAATAAAAATATAGAATATGTACATTTTTTATTTTATTTTATTTTATTTTTTTTTTAATTTTTTAAATCAATCTTTATTGTTCATATTATTACAAAGGTTCCTCATTTCTTCCCCCCTCCACCCGGTTCCCACCCCACCCTCTGCCCCCTCCCCATCCCCCATTGTCCTCATCCATAGGTGCAGTTTATGTTCAGTCTCTTCTTCCCTCCCTTTCCCCAATAGTAAATCCCTTTTCAGATAGTAAATCAGTTACTTAGCATTTTCTCATATCAATAATACCTCCACATGCCCAATGATACACTTCACACAAAAAACATTTCCCAATAGGTCCACCAGCCTCATCCAGGCCCCACCCAAGGCACTCACAGATCAACACCCCAGTCCTAAACTAACTCAACACATCCAGATCTAAGCCTTCATCACTTGATTCAGCAGACTCTCAAGTTCCCACGAAAGTTTCCAGCCATGTCTGAGAGGCAGCCGTGGGGCAGGGGCAGGCAAGGAGCGAGCTGTTCTGGGCCTGGCTGCTCAGGGCCTGGCCTCTGTTGCTCTGGTTCATTCCACAACCAGCTGCTCCGGGTCTGGTCACTGCCGCTCCCAACCTAGTTGCTCTGGACTTGGCTGCTGCTGCTCCGGGCCTGGCCGCTCCCAGCCTGGCAGCCGCTGCTCCAGGCCTGGCCGCACCCGACCCGGCTGCTCCCCCGGGCCTGGCCGCTCCCAGCCTGGCAGCCGCTGCTCCGGGCCTGGCCGCACCCGACCCTGGCAGCCGCTGCTCTGGGCCTAGCCGCACCTGACCCGGCTGCTCCCCCGGGCCTGGCCGCTCCCAGCCTGGCAGCCGCTGCTCCTGGCTTGGCCGCACCTGACCCGGCTGCTCTGGGCCCAGCTGCTCCGAGCCTGGCCACTCCCGACCTGGATGCTCTGGGCTTGGCTACTGCTGTTCTGGATCTGGCTGCTCCCACCCCGGCTGCTCTGGGCCCGGCTTCTCCGGGCCCGGTCACTCCGGGTCTGGGTGTTCCTGGACTGGCCACCCTGGGCGTGGCCGCCTCAGCCTCAGGCCTGGCTGCCACTGCCCGAGGTCTGGCTGCTCCAGTGCTGGCTGTTGATGCTCTGGTTCTGGCTGCTGCTGCTCTGGGGCCTGGCCGTTGCTGCTCCGGGTCTGGCTGCCACTGCCTTGTGCCTGGCCACTCTAGGCCTGGCCGCCGCTGTTCCAACATTCTGTCTTTTTTTTTCTTTTTCTTTTTTCTTTTTAAAACGCATTTCTGTTGCAATGTTGGCTGGTGAGTTGAGTTCTGACTTAGTCTTTGATTTTTCAAGATCTTCTTTGTATTCTTTCTTAAGTAATTTTACTATTTTTTTTGCTCTCACTTGATTTCTTCACATTGAGAACTTCTTTGGTTTCTTCCTCCTTGTCCTGGGAGCTCAGCAGGTTGGCCTGTGGCACCCCTTTGTTCTCCGCGGGCTCCTGTGCTGCTTCAGCCTGTTGCCGGGACGGCGCCGCCCAGGAAGCAGCCCCAGGCCTTGGCTCCATTGCCCGAGCTCAGTGGTCAAAGGCTCAGGGGCACCCACGCCCCCAGGGGCCCCGTGGCCCGCCTCCTTGCTGGTGCCGGTTGGCTGGAGTCCAGCAGGGGCTTCCGCTCCCCTCCGCGTTCCCCCAGCCTAGAGTTTTTTTTTTTTCTCCTTCCCGCTAGGGAAGTGCAGCATCAGTGTCAACAGACTGTCCTCTGCGCGCAGTTTGCGCGAGTCCCGGGGGCCCGGCCTTTCGCCGCTCTCCCCAGACTGCACCTCACAGCCCCGTCTCCCTCTGCCTGAGTCCGGGTCCCCAGGGATTGGCCCAGAACTGGGGTTCGGAGCAGTCCGGACTGAGGCTCACCGCCGGAGGCCTTGTTTCTTCCGGCTAGGGCAACCCAGCATCAGAGTCAACATTCAGTCCTCTGCGCGCATTGCGCGCGACTCCAGGGGCCCTGCCTTTCGCCGTTTTTCCGCCTCACGGCCCTGTCTCCTCCCACCCGAGCCTGGGTCCCCAGGGTCTGGCCCATAACTGGGGCTCGGCGCTGTCGGTTCGGGGGGGAGGGGAAGGGGGCTCAGCGCTGCCGGTTCGGGGGTTCAGCCCAGGCTGCGGGTTTTATTTCCTTCCTGCTAGGGAAGGAAAGGCGGCTCCCCGCCCTCTCCTCCTCTCCGGCTGCGACCTCTCCGTGCGCGCCTGTGGGCGGGCACGGGCGCAGCATGTCTCCGTACCTTAGGCTTTTTTTCAGCTCCTCTGATTTTCCTTCTGGTTTTCTCTTTCCTTCTTGTTGTAGAAATTTCAGTCAGTCGACTACCTGTAGCTCTGGGCAATGTCCACTCTACATTTTAATTGTATTCCATTGAAATTGTTGTGTGCTGCCGCGGCTAGATGTCTACCCGAGCAGCCATCTTGGATCCTCTCCAGAATATGTACATTTTTAATATGTAATGTTTTCATTTGCTCTCCAAGTTAGCATATATCCCTTCTATGATGCAAATGAAGGAAACCTAGATCAGAATTCTCAGCTTCCCTTTTCCACCTAGTTGTCATCCTGTACTCAGATGTCTTTGGCTCCCTGAAGCGACCTCAACCCAGCCCTATGCCCCTGTGGGCCACTAGTTCTGCTGCTACCTGGAGGGCCTGAGGCCTGGCCAGGTATGCTTTCCTAATTGAAAGGAAGACAAACAGGTATTAAGTAGAGGTATTCAAGTTGTATTAGCACCTAAGGAAGAATTCATCCCATGGACAAAGGGAACTTTTGAAAGAAGTTGAATATAGTCAAATCAGAGCAACTACTCCTGGCTTTGTTTTCTTATGAGCATCTCTAAAATCTCTGCCTCTACGGTAAAGAGTGGCGGGGCATTCTACACTAGGCATGCTAGGGAAAAGAATTCACAGGGGGCTAGGTGGAGGGAGGTGGGGGGATGGGGAGCGGGTGGAACAGGAGATATCTGTAATATTGCCAACAATAAAAATATTATGCCCAGATTTTGTGATCCCCAAAGATCACTAGAGAGCTGAGTCCGATGCAAAAGCAAAAGAAACTTTTTATTTCAGGCTAGCCTCCCACATACCGACCCAGCAAGGTGGAGGAAGAGGGTGGGTTTCTGTAGAACAAAAGATTTATAGGGGTGGTGAGGTCACTGCTTTGGCTGACCCCTATTGGTTGGGTGAGGGCTAGGGTCCAGTTACATAGTGACATAGTTATACAAAATGGAGGATGTAGCACAAGAATTCACAAGTTAACCAGATGAAAAAACTAGTGTAAAATGTTTTCAAATCACTGTTATAAGTTTTGGCAATTCCCAGGATCAGAAACAAAGAAGTCAAGCCCTCTTGGTGTCTATACTAGATAATTTATTGGAGAGCTTCCATCCTAACGTATTTTTAAATACTTGTTATCCACACCCAACTCTATTTTGTCTAGTGTGAAAGTTTTACAAATATTTTTAATAGAAGAGTTATCTGACTGACAGAATAGGCACCAGGCCACAAAATGCAGAAACAGGAAATCCTCTAAAAGCGGAGAGAAATCAGGGACATGGGGCAGAGCGCCCGTTTGTTCTATGGCAGAGGGGCTCAAGACCACTGCCTGGAGGCCACGAAGCAGAAGCAGGACCAGGGCACTGAGCAGCGAGGAGGCTGGTCTGGGGAGAAAATGAATGGAGACCTCCCAGAGGAGACCATTTATCACCGCGTCCTGCAGGGCAGCAGAGAGTGAAAGAAGGAAAGTGGACCGGAAGCTGTGACGGGAGCCTGAATATGTGCTTGGAGAAGACAAATACACCAAATGTTTAAACAAGTGGAGGTTAGAACAACTGAGCAAAGAAAAGAGTCATTTATAAAAATAAATGACTTCCTTTTAAGCATTGTTCAAATAACGTGTTATGTATAAATAAATAAAAATGGCACCTAATTGATTTTGGGTGCTATCTTAGATTTGAAAAATATGTTTGCATGGAAAGAGTCCAAATTTAAAGATTTTATAAGTAAAATCTCTGCTTTCCTTAGACATAAACACTGGCTGGGCCTGGGTTTCGGCAAGTATAATTAATTCTAAGTAAACCAGGAGACCCAGGTTCTAGCCTTCACCCTGCCACTGACTAGTTTTACAATATTTGGGTATTTAATTCCCAGACCCCCACCCGAGATACCCACAATTGGGGGAGAGAGGTCAGAGCTCATTAATTTTGTTTGTGTTTCAACTCTGCAGAGGATCCAAGTTCTCCATTACCATGTGGGCAGCTTGAGAAATATCAAGTAGACACAAGTAATACAAGCTATGTGAAAAATAGCAAGTTGTTTAACTCCTCTGCAATGTATTTTCCTCATCGGCAACGTGAGAAGGCTGAACAAGAGTCAGCAAGTTTCAAATGTCTTTTCTACAGAATACTTTGTTCAAAGAACATCTCACTTAGAACTCCACTACAGGAAATGAAGCAAGTCAGTGCAGTCAGGCTGAAGCACAGCGGGCAGCCTGAGTCTTGATCATTTACCCACATCTTCCTACCATTAGCCACCCCACAGAAGGAAGGTCCAAAGGACGCCACAGAGAGCCTGAACAACTCCACGTACATGATAAAAACCAATGAAGTAGGTCATCTCAGGTGTTCCTCCAAATTCTAAGTGCCAATGGTTCTAAATAACGTGAGCCAGGACAGCCACACTCAACTGATCATTCGTACAATCCATGCAGAAGGAGTCCATCCCAACCAAGCACGCTGCAGTAATGATATTGTTCCCCTGACTTGACTGTGACACCCCGGGACCTACAATGACCCCCACACAACAGTCACATTACAATATTTGCTGTTCACTGAGGGAATAATACAAGGCCCATGCTTCTGGGGGTGGGCTTTTACAATAGTTCAGGAATAGTGGAAATAGGAAGATTAAAAACTATTTAGATTTATTCCCAGAATGCCACAGCACAGACTAAAAGCCAGGCTTTCCCAAAGGCACTTGGGATGACATCCTAATTTCCTGAAACTCCTTCAGCATGGGAGGAGCTAGAATATGATTCTGGGCCTTCCTGCCATCCTGCTGTCCCCAGTTAGCCCACATAGAGCCTTTGAGCAACTGGTAACAGACCATTCTCCCTCCCAGCTCTGAGCAGGCCAATCAGCCCTAGAGCACAAATTGCTCAAGTGTGAGCCTGTCCAGAGTCCTGGTCTTACTCTGGGGGCACAGGAGCCAAAATCCATCGCCTCTGTCCCAGCATGCTCTACTCTGCCCAAATGCCCTGAGTGGCTGTGGAGAGTGTCAGCACCCTCCATTCAGCCTCGCACCTTCATTCACAGCTATGTCTGCACAGAGAACATAAGATGCTGACAGTGCTTTTTACACTAAAACAGTGGGGTTTTGTCAGTAACAAGCACCTGCTGCCAGAAAGATGCTCAGTGACCTCGGATCCACTAGAAACACATCCTGGATATGTTCCCTTCATGATCCGGGTAAATTATTCATTTGCACAAGTCTATATTATGGAAGCCAAGTCTGAACTTGTGCAAGTCCATGGTCACCTAAGCAACCAGGGTTCTGAACGTTGGGCCTGTGCAAACTTGGGTGTGCCCGAGTTCACCTACCAGCATGTTCCGTGGGCTCGGCGTGATTCCCTGGGTTCTCCCCACGCTTGCTGGCTGGATTCTCCTCCTCCTCACCTCCAGGGCCTATCGTGAACTCAGGTCTGGAAGAAAGGAGGCTATCCTCAAGGCTGTCTGTGGGCTCCTGGAACAAATAGGACAAGCAGCCAGATGAGCAGCCCATTGGGATGTAATAAAGGTTCTGCAGCAGAGACCAGTGGTGTGCCTGCCGCGGCCCAGCCTGTGCTGAGCCCTGAGGGGCAGAGCCACCTGCCTCACAGGAGGCTTGAGCTTATTTCCTTAATGGTTCGTGGACATTTAGATGAGGTGTGAGTGAAACATTCTCATTCCCTTGAAATAATATGGGAAATATCTAAAACATTGTTCAATCTTCTTAGGCCTTGCTTTCCCATCTCTGTTTTAATCCCCGTGAGTGTACCCACCTCACCAGGAGATGCCAACCCACGCACATTTTGTTCAATAACTACTTAATTAGCAAGGAATAAATAAGGGGTTTGCATCAACATTTAAAAGAGAAATATTGATTGTCCAGAGCAGTGGTCGGCTAACTGCGGCTCGCGAGCCACATGCAGCTAGCTCTTTGGCCCCATGAGTGTGGCTCTTCCACAAAATACCACAGCCTGGGGGAATCTGTTTTGAAGAAGTGGCAATAGAAGAAGTTTAAGTTTAAAAACTTTGGCTCCCAAAAGAAATTTCAATCATTGTGCTGTTGATATTTGGCTCTGTTGACTAATGAGTTTGCCGACCACTGCTCTAGACCATTTAAACAGAGAGTTTTCTGGATCTCAAAAGTCCTGCTCTCCTACTGCTTTCATTTCATTAATTCCACTCCTCCTTCAATAAAGCCCAGGAACCATCTCCTCCAGGGAGACCTTATGGATTCCTATTACGCCTCTAAGGTAGATTTGTTGTTCCTTCTTCACACTCACATAGCTACCTTGTTCATACCTCTCTCAGAATGCTCATCACTCTGTCTTCTGGTTTTTCATTTATTTAACCATCTTCCTGATTAGACTCTAAGCTTTTTATTTTAATTTGTTTTCCCATCATATACTACTGTGACTGCTATATAGTAAGTACCCAATGACAATGTTAAATAGACCATACTAGCCGAAACTGGTTTGGCTCAGTGGATAGAGCGTCGGCCTGTGGACTGGGGGATGGGGGGGTCCCGGGGGGGGGGGGGTCCCAGGTTCAATTCCAGTCAAGAACATGTATAATACCTTGGTTGCGGGCACATTCCCAGTGGGGAGTATTCAGGAGGCAGATGATCGATGTTTCTCTCTCATTGATGTTTCTAACTATCTCTCTCCCTTCCTCTCTGTAAAAACTCAATAAAATATATTTTTTAAAAGACCATACTTCAGGGATGTTATATTGCGATACGCAGAACTAACAAGTTTGGTGGGTTTAAAGGTATTTAAAAACTGAAGAAACATTTTACTGGATGTATACTATACCTCAAAAAATACTTTTAAGTCGCTTTATACCTAGACAAACACTAGGGGAAAGGAAGAAAGAGAGAAGATGGCAAATAATCCTAGCTGTGATGGTATGAGGCTATTTTGATGATGTGTGTGACTTAGATGGAAAAATAAGCTAAACAGGAAATAACTAATGCATGGAGTAGTTAAATTAAAATTGTATTGGCTGTTGATGAAGTTTGTAAGTTTTACAAACTGCAGTTACCTAGGAATTCTTGGCGTTTATAGCCAATCTATTTACTCAATATTTGGTATGTATATTTTATAGTAGTCACTGTTATCTAAATTTTGTCATATGACTTTCTGACCAAAATTATTTCGAGAATACCAGCAATGCTTTGTATTTGTGAAAATTGTGTGGATGTGTGTGCTACAAACCCTAACTTGAGGCTCAAGATTTCTAACCCAAGAGTTCTATATAATGTAGCACCCTCTCGTATTCCAGGAGCCTGACTTGGTGGAAGGAAAACTTTTTTTGACACAGTCTGACATATCACCCGCAGGGAGCACAGCTAACCCTGGAGAAAGAGCCCATCACACCACCACTGCCTCCTCATGCCACTCAGACAGAGGCCGCCTCGCCCCTTCCACCGCTCACCACCAGCCGGCTTTCTTCTTTCGGAGCCAGTCTCCCCAGGAGCTCACAGGCCAGCTGATAGCAGAGAATGCTAGCCTGACACAAGTTACACTCGGTTGCTTTTTCGTCCTTCTGGCAGGTGTGGGAGCCCCCCCAGGGGGCTTGGAAGACGTTGTTTATAATGGAAATTATGTCTTTCGATATGCTGTGCTCCAAACCCATCGTGATCCCATCATCTTGTAACTCCATCTGAAAGACATCAACAACAACAAAAAAGGCAAAAAATAAAAGAAGAAGAAGAAGGAGAAGGAGGAGGAGGAGGAGGAGGAGGAGGAGGAGTTTGGTCCTTTTGTCCATTATTGCATTGACACACTAATGGGGGAAACTTTTCATTAACTGACAATATTAAATTGTTTAAAGATGGTAAGACTTATAGACCATAAATATACATTGATTTCCATGGATTCTTCTTAAAAGACTATATACATAAAACAAAGTAATGAGAATTGCTTTTAAAATCATGTAGGACATTCAAAGGGAGTTGTTTCTTAAAATATATCACTCTCTGAGGTTTTACACATTTAAAAAATGCTTCCCAACAATAGCATTACCCAATATGTTCACCAAATGTGTTTAGAAGAATCAACTCTAATGAAGCTAGGGAGTTTCTAAAATTCATATCCATTCTCATATGTCAATATCATTGTAGATATTTATACAAAAATAAATATTTATGCATATTTATTTTTTCAGGCTCTTTAGGAAATTTCCAAAGGAGTTTGAAAAATATCTTCATCATTTCAGTAAGTGTGAAAATGTCCAACACACACACAAAAAATCACTGTACAAAGGCCTTCACCTCTGAACTAAAGGAAGCTCATGCTTCAGCTACCTGCTTCAGGAGAAGATCAAACATGAGGATGAAACAATTTAGATTCATTTCATCATCTTCACAATCAAAGTCAATAGTCCTTCCTCCTGGGTGTCCAAAATTCTTGAAAGGGCTACGCATCGGACTCCGAAAAGGACTCTGGAAAGGACTATGAAATGGACTCAGCATGTTGTGTTGAACTCGTCGACCAGGATCAGAGGCAACACTCACCTAGAAGAAAAAAACATCAACAAATTAAGTGAACGCGAAGAGACTCAAATGGCTGTATAAAATATCGGAAGGTATTTCCAGCTGTTACACCGATTTCCTCTCTTAGCCAATAGCATTAGTACCTCCAAATACTATAAGTCTTCTCAAAACATAAAAATAACAAGTAAAATTATCCAAAGTTTCTGCCAAGTGAATAAAACATCAGCATTCTAAGTAAAGAAGGCAGTTGTCTTTGTCATTTATTTTTCATCCCATCAAACATTTCTAATTAAACTAAACTGTCTGCATCTACCTAAAACCATATCCTACCAAAAAGTAAAATAAAATAAAAAATGAGAACTTAACAAAAGTAAAAAATTGCAAGATCAGTTCTAGAAATATAAACACAGAATGTCAGATTGACAAGACTGTTTAAAGACAAACCACCTCTGGATATTATAATTATTAAACTATCCTGAGAAAACAATACAAATCAAACCTGTTTGCTGGTTATTCTCCATGTGCCAACACAACCTACCCAGGCTCTCATTGCCCTGCACCTAAGCCCAAGAATGCCAAAGACTGTCTTTCTGGCTCTCTTGCTGGCTGGCTGCCAGTTGAGTTAAGTCGATGGAAGGTGCCAGCAGAAGACCCGAAGCTTATGAAGAAACAGGTAGGACTATTCTTCCCACCCTCTGCCTGTTCTGATGCTACATCTCTGGCAATCTCCCCATCATGTGATAGCTCCTCTAGCCAGCCCTCCCCCTATCGTTTCAGCTCCCAATGGGTTTCAGGAACTGCTTTCCCACGTTCTTTCAGCCCTAGAGGAATAACGGTTTCCTACTGAACTGTGGGTTCACCAATAGCTCACCAACCCTTATTGCTCCCTTAACCTTCCCCATAATTCTATAGGCAGAGTTTCCATGTAAGTCCCTTCATCTGAATCATCTGGAATAAATTCTGTAGCAGGATCCTAACTGACATGCCTGCCCACCATCAGATGTGAGTTAACCTCTCCAAAACTGATCATGGTCTGGGAGTGTCATTACATCAACCGAAATTCTATCAGGCCATCCACAGAAAAAGCATCAAAAACTTTCAACAAACCCTGACCAGATAGCTCAATTGGTTGGAGCATTGTCCCATACCCCAAAAGGTTGCGGGTTCAATTCCCAGTCAGGGCACATACCAAGGTTGTGGGTTCAGTCCCCAGTTGGGCATGTACAGGAGACAACTGATCAATGTTTCTCTCTTATCTCTCTCCCTGCCTCTGGAATCAATAAAAAACATATCCCCACGTGAGCATTAAAAAATGTCCAACGGTTTTCATATACTTCTCCCATCCACAAAGGTACAAAGGTGGCAATAAAGTGGGTTCAAAGGGGTTAATAAAATGGACTTAGTTGGTTCATAGTGACAGTATCACTTGTGGTCACCATCAGTTGATAATATCTTCCCAAAACACAATTAAAAAAAGAAAACATCCAAACTCTTCATTCCCAAGGCAAAGAGCTATCTGCTCAGTAGCTGGTAAGGAATTCTTGTTTGCCAGGAGACACCCAAACCCCTCCCCCCAACCCCCACCCCCCGCAACAAAAAAAAAAAGTACCCAAAAAGCAGTGTGGGTTTTTTGTTTTGTTTTGTTTTGCTTTCATCAAAGATAAGGGATAGCTAATAGGTATGTATAGGAGAAAAACTGAAAGGAAAATGAAAACTTAATAACAACTTATTACTAGTAATTACAGACTTAATCAAATATATATTAGATTAATGCTTTCTATTACTTATGTGTTTAAAAAGTTCCAGAGAGAGATGGAATAAAAAGCATTTTCAGAGAAGTTTACATGATGCTACTTTTAGACCTGTTATAATCTGCAAAATCTTAATAAGACAAAAACAATTGTGGCATAATTACCCTTCGAGCTGCCATGTTCCCTGCCAATTCATTGACTCTTGATTTTCTTTGATTTGCCAGTTCTTTGACAGAATTAACTCCATCAGAAAACATACTTATTAATAGTTGAAGTGGGACTGTGATGTCTAACTCCGATAATACCTGAGGAAAAAAAGGCATATATATCCCCCCAAAATATAAACTTTAAAATTCAAATAAAACTACACTTAACATTTTTAATCAGTAAACTATTGAACATAAGGACACTTAGCCTTCCACATATTCTATCAGCACAGTCATCCTCAATGTATTGTATTAAGAGAATCAATGATACCACTGAACCCCACTCCCAACATCCAATAAATCATCATGTTCTTTCTATTAACATTTTATGTGATCCCTCCTTTCCATGCCACTGCTAGTGCCTTATCTCATCACCTTTGTCCTGGACTAGTAATAATCTGTGAGCATGTCCCCACTCCCATCTGAATGTCCCATCTGTTCTTGTTCTCTGGAGCAAGCTTAGGTGTCCTGCCAAAATCAAGGTACCTTATCTGTAATGAATTTTCTGAAAAGAGATGCCTCCTTCCTTTGGACAGAATTAATCCATTCTCTGCCCTGCTTTCTTAGAATTTTCTATATACCTTTATTAGAGCAAGTATCACTTGGCATTACATTTGATTATTTGATATTATCTCTCCCACTGTGAGCTCTTTGAAGTAAGAGGAAAAGACTATTGCTTCTCTAATTGTATTCCAGCACCTATTACAGCGACTGGCACAGAGGATCTCTATAAATGTTTCCTCAGCTTATATAATTAAGAGGTAATATGCAAATTGACCATCACTCCAACACATAAGATGGCTACCCCCATGTGGATACAAGATGGCCAGTAGGGGAGGGCAGTTTGCAGGGACCAGGCCTGCAGGGGAGGATAGCTGAGGGGGAACCCAGGCCTTCAGGTGAGGGCAGTTGGGGGTTGGGGGGAACCAGGCCAACAAGGGAGAGCAGTTGGGGGGAGAAGGGGGAACCAGGCCTGCAGGGGAGGGCACTTAGGGATGACCAAGCCAGCAGGGGAGGACAGTTAGGGGCAATCAGGTTGGCAGGCAGGCGATCAGTTGGGAGCCAACAGTTCTGGATTGTGAGAGGGATATCCGACTGCCCGTTTAGGCCTTATCCCACCAGGATCGGGCCTAAACAGGCAGTCGGACATCACTCGAGGAGTCCCAGATTGGAGAGGATGCAGGCTGGGCTGAGGGACACACACCCCTCCCCCATGCACGAATTTCATGCACCAGGCCCCTAGTTTAATTAATAAATGAGTCAACTCCAATCACTATATTGTTCTATTTCCCAGATGTTTAGACCAGTGGCTTACATCCTCCTTCAACTGCAGCACTACCTTCAAACCAAAGCTATGGCAAAGCCCAATCCATAACAGATGTAAACTGTAATAGTGTTAGCCATGGTGGGGACAGAGGTTTATAGCCCTGTCCCTAGACTGCACAGCTCCAAGGATGTACAACTGAGTAACAACATCTAGCCATCTTTAGAAGAATTAGCTTTCCTACAATGAGAAATTATCTTACTGAGACCTACCTTGGGGTAAAAAGTTAAAGTTCTAGGTCCCACAGGTGACTTTTTTTTTTTAATGATCTCCTTTACTCTGTGTCATTTGTGAAACATACTGTTCCTCAGTTTAGAGCCCAGAAAGGCATATTCATGACTTGAAACACTTTACGGATCACATCCTTTCATGAAACAGAAATGTATCTGCATCCATAACCTCTACAGTGGTTCCGTCCTCCTTTTCAAAAACTGCCCAAACTTCATGTCAGATATTCAACTCAATTTAGTAAACTTTTAAGAATAGCCACTAAATTCAAAGCATGTGCCAGATGTTGAGAGATGAAGGGAATTATAAATTCAAAAATGAAAAAAAAAAATGGAGTCCCAGCCCTCAAGGCATTTATAACCATGAGACAAGACAAAAATTAACTGTAATATTAGACAGAAATAGTATTCACATAAAGAACCTGTGTGAATACTCAGGGAAGGAAGGAATTCTGTTGGGAAGATCTCTTAGATGAAATCATTTTTGAGTTGGATTTTAAGAGAGAAGCTGGAGTTCACAAGTGGAGACAGGACAGAACGTCATTCCAGGCTGAATGAACAGCATGAACTACCCCTTATATCAGTAGTTCTCAACCTTCTAAGTAAAAGACCTATTTAATATCAAAAGCTTATCAGAATCCCACAACACAGCTAGTAAACTTTTAATATCTATTGATGGAAAGATACATGCGGACCAAAAGCTACTATGAATTTAGTAATAGTACTACATAAATTTGTGTTTTATTAATAAATCGCAACTATAGCTACTACATATATTTAAAATATAATAACCTATGCCGAAACCGGTTTGGCTCAATGGATAGAGCATCGGCTTGGGGACTGAAGGACCCGGGTTCGATTCCGGTCAAGGGCATGTACCTTGGTTGCGGGCATATCCCCGGTGGGGGGTGTGCAAGAGGCAGCTGGTGGATGACTCTCTCTCATCGATGTTTCTAACTCTCTCTCCCTTCCTCTCTATACAAAATCAATAAAATATATATTTTCAAAAAAATACAATAACCTATGCATATGAATTATTCACCTACAGATAGTCCTCAGCAAATATACAGATTATGGACTCTGCAGTAACTCCCCGCCGCACTACCAGAGGATCTACAGTTCACAGGCTAAGGACTAATGCCCCAAATGGTCAAAAGTGTCCTTCACTTACATGCAGCCACAGTAACGCTTGCTCTTGCACAGAAGAAGGGTATCCTGTGAACCGACAACTAATGAAGCCAAACATCTCTTCCATTGAAAAGGGTAGAGGACAGAGCTCAATGTCAAACATTTTGCTGGAAAGCAGAGCAACAAAAGTAAATGACCCATGGGCACATAGTAGGACCTACCAGGGCGTTTCTAATATTTATTTGGGAAGCCAAACACTTGAGATTAGTCTGTGTTCTGAACTGTTATTAGCATGTCTCATTTTACAGGAATAGCTTATGCCATTGGGATAGATATACATAATTCATATGGTTGTTAATTGCGTTAGTGTTCATATTCACATTAGACTTAATGAAAGTCATCGCATTTGTAAGAATGAGAGTAGTTTCCCAGCATCCAAAAACATTTTCCTATTGCACTTGTCCCACTTTATCCAAACCATAATTATGTGTGAAAATGATCAAATAATATGGCATGTCTATTATTCCACAAAAACAAAATATTTTCTAAATAATTCCAAATCATGTTAGCATTATCTATAGCAACTCTTCCATTTGGGCCTTCAAGTTTCTCTATAGGATTTTGTTAAAAAGTAAGTGAGATTATATACAAAGCTTAGCACAGTGCCTGGCTAATAAATGTTAGATATAATTATAATTACAGCGACTTCCTTAAACTACTTACCCACCTTAATACTTCCCTGAATTCTTTTAACTGGTTATCTGGGACTTCTGTTCTGATGGCTTCCAGCCATTCCGGCATAATACACTCCCACACAGACTGATTGATCACATTGTAGGGGATCAGGCAGAGGATTCGGTTGAGACCCTCCTTCAGCTGAGTCACTGTGCTGCAAGACTTATCCCAGTATCCACCAACCTGATGGCGTTCAACAGCCACAGAAGAAAAGAACAGAATGCACTTGGTTACCATCATATGCAAGGATTCCATTATATCTGAATCCTGAGCCAAGTGTTCTCAAAGTGAGATCTGTAAGAATCTACCATCAGGATCCATTAGTTACCATAAAAAAGAAGAAAAAAAACATAGTTACAAATAGATCCAAATACTAATCACAACTAAATGTGAATTATCCCACTGAAAATTCCAAAAAGGTCTTCCTACCAGGAACACTATTGGAGCATTCTGTTTCTAAAGCCTGACAAACCCATTACAAATATGTGCAGTTGTAGCCGTATTTAAGAGAAAAACAGATTTCTACTACTGTAGACTTTGGTCCTTTTGGGTTTTTAGCCATCAAAAAGCCCAAAAGAACTTTGCTTTCCTTCCCATTCAAGAACTAAAAACCTTGTATCTATGGGTATTGAAAAAGTTATTCATATCTGAGTACTCCTGTATATAGGTGTAAATAAACTTGTATCTCTTCTCCTGTTAATGTCTGTTGCCAGTTAATATGCAGGCCCCCAACCATGGGGCCCGCTAGAGAAGTTTTCCTTCCAATATAATCATTTCTTCGTATCTTCCAGAGTTAGATCACACCAGCACTTTGCTATTCAGAAAGAAATAATAATAGAAAATATATCAACAGAGTCAAAGAATGCCAGGAAAACCCAACCAGTGTGGCTCAGTGAATGAGCCTTGACCTATGAATCAGGAGATCACAGTTCGATGCCTGGTCATGGCATATACCCAGGTTTCAGGATCAATCCCCAATGTGGGGCATTCAGGAGGCAACTGATTAATGAGTCTCTCTCATCATTGATGTTCTGTTTCTCTCACCCGCTCCCTTCCACTCTGAAATCAATTTTTAAAAATATTTAAAAACAAAAGAAAGCCAAAAAGTGGGCAATTTTGATTATGCAAAAATCCAGTTTTATATGTGAGTCAGTAGGTGGCAGCATTTTGATAAATGCTCAAGTCCTAAAAATCTAACAAAAAAGCTATGCTTTTAGATGGTCTGTGTTCTGTTTTATTCTTAAATGTCTTCTTTAAAATGAAAATTGCCTCAAGACATCCTTGAAAGAAAATACACACACACACACACACACACACACAAATTTAAAATAAAATAAAAAACTTGGAAAAAAAATTTCATATATTGCTGCCAAAAACAGACTCTGAAAAAAAAATTGATTCTGGATTAGACACAAATTATAATGTAGTCAAGAAATATGGGGTCTTCTCAACCATACATCTGAAGCCTGGGATCCACTGAGGCAGAGCAAAAGGAGAAACACAGGGAAATTGACCTATAAGTCAGAGGAGAAAACAAAGAAGATTTGGGAGAGCAAGGACTTCTACCATTCGTCTCCAGAGATATACGTGAAGCCACAGAAACTGCCCATTGTCAAACTTTAGCCCTTCCACAGACTATAGCCTAGAAAAGGACTGAGCTCTAGCAACATCACAGAGAGTTTGTTTTGTTTTTTTCTTGTTTCTTGATAAAAATATTCAGCAATGTCAGAAAAGAATACTCTTTAAATCCTTTTTTCCAATGTATTTTTATTGATTTCACAAAGGAAGGGAGAGGGCGAGAGAGATAGAAACATCAATGATGAGAGAGAATCATTGATTGGCTGCTTCCTGCATGCCCCACACTGGAAATCAAACCCACAACCCGGGCACGTGCCCTAACTGTGAATCAAACTGTCACCTCCTGGTTCATAGGTCGACACAACCACTGAGCCATGCTGGCTGAGCTAAATTCTTAAAGATACCTTACACATTCATCTTCCATTCTTCCCCATCCCAAACCCACATCAAAGCAGGACATCACCTAAAATGTATCGACTAAACTAAACTCATTTAGCTGTACTGACTAAAATATGAAGACATTTTCCTCTTCTACCGACACTGATAACACTCTAACAGCTAAGGGGGTGCTTCTCCCCAAGTTCTCCTCTCCAGCCAGGCCCAAGCTGGAGGCCTCCACTTACCCTGGCAAATTCCATGGGTTTGGGAAGAAGGCACATGACCATGACATCAAAGCGAACATCACATACTGTTTTCAGCCACTTGGTGACAAACTGAGGCTTCAGTTTCTCCACCAAACTTCCAACTTCATCATCCATCATGTAGGCTGTGGAGTGAAACCACTGGAACACCATGGCCACCAGCCTGGCCAAGCTTTCCGTGGGTGTGTTCTCACTGGGCGTGCAGAGGCTCACCTGGAAATAGACAAATTAGACTCTGATTCAGTCTCCATCCATCGTTACATAATAATTCCATCTTCATTTAAAGGTGGGAAAAATTAGTTTTCTAAATGAGGGAGGCTCACTTATCTTAGAAACTGTGTTCCTCTCTACAAGGAGAGGTGGCTTGCAACAATCATTTCCCCTTAAGTTTGCACCTTTCAATAAGACCTTTCTCCTTTAAGAAATATATTACAAATCTGCACTGGATAGATGCTTGTAGAACGTTGTCTACAAAGTAAATTTTCAAAAATATCTTCAGTAAAAAAAAATAATTGCATACATTTCAGGTCTAACAGGATCTAGAATTTAGCTGAGAATTTCTATCAGTAATAATTCTAAAATGTTAGAGCCCCCATTCCCTAACCCACCACTTTCTAAAACAACTAATCATCCATTCATTCGTTTGTTCTTAAATAATCTTTTATTGAGTAGTAGATTTGGATTCACGAACATAAAAAATAAATAAAACCTTATCCTCGCCTTCAAAAAGCTCACAATAGTAGTCATCGGGTCATTAGACAATAAGTTCTAAGAACAAGACATGTGAAATCAACAACTGAATCCCCAATGTGATTTAAAAAAAAAAAAAAAAAAGACTTTTTCAAGTAACCATGTGAAAGCACAAGAGATGTATCACTATGGAGACGCAATTCACATCTCTAATGGACAGAAACAAAAGTCTGCTTCTCTGCAGAACTGGCAAATCCAGCTTGCTTGAAACTTTGGATTGTATGTTTGGTCTTTACAGAATGAATGTTGCGGCTGAATCAGTCAATAGCAGTCAAATTCCTTGTGTTAGTTTGGCTATAATTTTTTTGGTTGTTAGACAGACTTACAATTTAAAAAAAAAAAAAAAAAAGCCTCCACAGAGGCTGAACTTTTAAGAAAAATGTCTTGTACACAGAAAATAGGATGTGAATGATCTGTAAATCATAGTGAGTCTAATATTTCACAATATATAACCTAGCTATTTTCCCATTTGTTTCCTGTCAAAAAGTGCATGTTAAACTGTCTAGAGCCAAGCACAGTAGATTTCAACACCTTGCTACTCATTAAAATCAACTAGAAAGCCCTTTAAAAGTTCTCAAGAATCTAAAGTGAAATCTGGGCACTGCCATTTTTTTAAGATATATTTTTATTGATTTCAGAGATAGAAAGGGAGAGGGAAAGAGAGATAGAAACATCAATGATGAGAGTCATCGATCGGCTGCCTCCTGCATACCCGCTACTGGGAACAAGCCCTCAACCTGGGCATGCGCCCTGACTGGGAATGGAACTGTGACCTCCTGGTTCATGGGTTGACACTCAACCTCCAAACCACACGGGCCAGGCAGCATAGCCATTTTTTAAAAGCCTCCCCCATAAATCTAAGGTGCGGCCCAGGGTTGAGTGTCACTGTCCAAGGTCCAGTGTCCCATTGCCAAGGTTAAGTTTTCACCATTTACTGTTTAACTTCTTTCAAAAGAAAGGCAAAATTCCACATCAGTGAATGTTAGAATGAGAAATGAGAAAGCAGAAAATAGTCAACTTCTTTTCTTACCAAGAACCAGATTCCAAATTGACTGAGGAGCCGCTGGTCATGCTTATCGTCATCCTTGTTGTCAAAGTCGGTGTTCTCCAGGGAATGATGGGAAGAGGAAAGTCCCAGCTGCCGCCTGCGATTCAGCTCGTGTTCCCGCTGCTCAGCGTGGAATTCGGCTTCTTTTAATAAGCTGCCAAAGAGGAGAGATTTTGTTTTTAATTTATTTTAGAGAGAGAGGTAGGGAGAGGGAGAAAGAGAGAAACATCAATGTGAGAGAGCAATGTCAATTAGTTGCCTCCCATACGCAATCTGGCTATGTGATCCGTCTGGGAATTGAACCTGTGACCTTTTGGTGTACCAGAACACTCTCCAACCAGCTGAGCCACATCAGCCAGGGCCAAGAGGAGAGACTTAAGTTAGACTATTAAAAAACACATTCTGGATCATGACCTATTCAGAGCAATTACTTCATAAACACTTAGGCATCTTTTAAATTGGTAGGAGTTAATCCAAGAAGCCCAATTTCACTTCCTTACTGTTTTGTACACCATCCCCATTTAATAAATGAGCAAACTGAAGCACAAAAAGGCTACTTCCTCCAATCATTTTAGAATCAAGCAGAACTGATGCCTTCCGGCTTCCAGTTCACCACCTACCCCACCAGGAGTCAATGTTCCCCCTGTATCTAACGTGAAGCTGTGTAGACATCAAATGTGTGATGCAAGGAGAGACTGAGGAACTTGTACCCAAAGGAAAAATATCCAGTATCTAGTATTCAAAACCTGAAAATGAGCAACGAAGACTCCCTTTTCAATTTGCTAAATAAGTGACAGTTTTTAAAAATAATACCCAATATTGGAAAGGATATACCCAAAACTAGCAATATCATACAGTACTGTTGGTATTATAAATTCATATACACCTTTTAAAAGTCAGTTTGGTAATGTAATAAAGCAATTAAAATATTCATTTTCTTTACCCTGGTCAACCACATCTGGTCATCTACCCTAAGAAAATAAAAATATATAGAAACAGCACTATACACAAGAATGTTTATCACGTATTATAATAGTAAAAAATTCAGAACATTCTAAGTATTTCATGGTGGAAAAAACAATCTAAACAAATAGTACGTATCCACTGGAAATTATAAATATGGGAGGTACATAACAACATTGAAAAGAGCTCATGGTATAATGTGATATCAAAAAGAATTGTGGGTGCACTGTGATTCCAGTTAGAGAAATAAAGCATGCATTTGAATGAAAAACATGTGCAGTATGGTTACTTTTTTTCTGCTTCCAGAAATCTGCGATGTGTTATTGACAAACATTTATCTCATTTCTACTGTGCCAGCCACTGGGATTAAACAGAAAAGACTGAGTGCCTACCCTTAGATCTTGTATTCTCCTATTATTGTTTTACTTCTTAAGAATCTTGCCTTAATTGCTGAAACCGGTTTGGCTCAGTGGATAGAGCGTTGGCCTGGGGACTGAAAGGTCCCAGGTTCGATTCCGGTCAAGGGCATGTACCTTAGTTGCAGGCACATCCCCGGTGGGGGGTGTGCAAGAGGCAGCTGATTGATGATTCTCTCTCATCAATGTTTCTAACTCTCTATCCCTCTCTCGTCCTCTCTGTGAAAAACTAATAAAATATATATTTTTAAAAAAAGAATCTTGCCTTAATGGATATTATACAAAAAGAGAACAAGTTTAGCTGAAGCCGGTTTGGCTGAGTGTAGAGCGTCAGTCTGCAGGCTGAAGGGTCCCGGGTTCGATTCGGGTCAGGGGCATGTACATTGGTTGTGGGCACATCCCTGGTAGGGGGTGTGCAAGAGGCAGCTGGTCGATGTTTCTCTCTCATCGACGTTTCTAGCTCTCTATCTCTCTCCCTTCCTCTCTGTAAAAAATCAATAAAATATATATTTTTTAAAAAGAGAACAAGTTTAGATGCTACCATTTGTAAAACTCCTTTCTTTGTCCTGCGAGAGAAGAAGAAAAAGCCCCAGGATAGGCCCCTGTCATACTCCACAGCCTCTGGTTGACCCCATTACTGAATTACCCAGAGTTCTCCCCACTTCACAGCTGTCAGTCAAGCCCGCCCCTTACACGGGCTGGTGCCCTCACTTTATGCCCCCTAAGACTCAGTGCTATCCTAGCACTGTGCTCACCATTCTGGATCAGAGCTCCATGCATCTGTTTTCTTAGTTACGTGGGTAACCTGAGGGCACAGACAACACTGTATTCCCTGCCTCTCAAGTGCCTCACACATGCCTGGCATAGAACTGGTATTTGACAAAAATATTTGTTGAATGAATGAATTAAAACATCATCACGGCAGCATTGTGCTGGGCTGAGGGCACTTGAGTTTGAATTGGATTTACACCTCTCAGTGTGAGAAGGGTGGCTCCAAGCCAAGGCGGTGCTTTCCGGATAAGTGACTGATCAGCTGCCTGTTACCTAATCACGGCCTCCACGGCGCAGACCAGCTCCTCGGCACCGCACTCCCGCGTGTTGATGGGAGGGGGGGAGGTCTGGTAGAGGTGGGTCTCGGAGGCAGCCCCCACTTCGTTGCTGTGGTGATTCGAGTGGCATCGTTTGCAGTAGCGAACGGGCCTGTTTCCGTGACGATCGCAGCACCCTGCTGAAAAGCAGGTGACCACAGCTCTTCTGACATGGGAACTGCAGTTCTAGACGCAAAAAAAAAAAAAAGTGAAATCAATTAAAATGAACCGCTGGGGCAAATGTGGCTCAGAACTGGAAGGGATGACTCTAAAGGGGCCACTGAAGGTGGAAGTGCCGCTGATTCTTCACATGCAGGTCATCTCTGACCCATTAAAATGACAAACTCAGTCTGGGTTGAAAATGAAGGTGAGAAGTATTTTCTCTACGTGTGGGGGGTGGAAACCTTCTGCATATGAGTGGGACCGAGTTGAAAAGCCCTCTGCCAAGTCACCTCAATCATGGGGGCTGGAGAGCTCTCTCGATGATCTTGTGTTCATTTTTCAAGAATTTTTCAGGAGAAATATGAAGGGAAAAAATTAAAACCATTCCAGAGAGAGCACAGCACAGGAAAGGAATGATTGTAACCCCCAGCACACACATTCCAAATGATCTTACCCACCGCTAAAAGAGCCAGTCCCCACGGCAGCCTGTCTGCCTTGCAGGGCTGGGAGGGAGCTGCACTAGCTCAGCTGACGGCCTGGCCCCAAGCAGGCCTTTCCACTCCCACTGGGACTTCCTGTCAAAACCTTAAACATACGTGGTTGACACCACGGTAACAGCAAAACGCAGCAAAAAAAAAACCATTCCTAGAACCAGCCATTGTCCATCGTCTACACTCAGAAAGGAGTCAAGAGATGAAGTGACGGAACTGAGAGAAGCAGAGCAGCCTGGGATTCCGAAGTTCAGGGGTTGTGGTCAGGTCTACGCTGACCAGAGGCAGGAGCGAGGCAGCCTCCGCACGAAGAGATGTGAAACATCCCTGGAAACATCCCTGACCTCCACCAGAACATGTGCCCCCAGCCGGTTAGACATGCGACCACTGCTCAACCACTCGTGTCCAGCTTTTCAGTCTTTCAGTAGAGCTTAAAGAGATGTGAACACCTCTGGGGATATCATAGTCTAAGCCATTGTGAACTCAGAGACTGAAAAACACTCCACGACAGCTACTTTGGGGAGGCAGAAGAAGGAAGGAGGCAAGCACGGAACCTACAGCAAGACATTGCTGATGTACTGAGCTGTGGTCTGAGCAACCATTTCACATTAAGTTCCACTGCTATTCTAGCAAGTGGCTCTGGGTACTAGTGTGAAATTTCATTTGCTGAAAAGGATTCAGGCCAACAAATCACAAAAGCAAGGTAAAAATTTTATAATATTTTTCATAGTTTTGACGCCGAAACCAGTTTGGCTCAGTGGTAGAGCGTCGGCCTGCGGACTGAAAGGTCCCGGGTTCGATTCTGGTCAAGGGCATGTACATTGGCTGCGGGTACATCCCCGGTGGGGGATGTGCAGGAGGCGGCTGGTCGATGTTTCTCTCTCATCGACGTTTCTGGCTCTCTATCTCTCTCCCTTCCTCTCTGTAAAAAATCAATAAAATATATTTTTTTAAAAAAATCATCTGTTAAACTACAGAGTGTTTCTTCTCCATCTGAAGCCCAAGTCTTCTCTGGCATTCAAGTAGGCCCTGACTCCTCGGAAGGAACTACTTTTCCTGCTTTGTGTCCTTTCTTTTTCTTTTGGACATTAAAGTTCATTCTGCAATTTTTATTGGTTTGGGACTCCTGCTCACTCACCAAACCAATACCACCCACCAGCAGTGTGGTCTAGATCAGCGTACATCGTAGTGTTTACTTCTGCCTTTTGGTGCCAATCAGTCTTTGTTCCTCTGGGAGTCTTACTGTTATATAAACAATCGGATGTGGATATGGGTTTAGTGGTAGTTATTTGCTATAATAAAGGCCTGAAGTTTAAGGTCTGCAATTTCCCATCCTGTTTTCTGGTCACAAGTTGTTTACATTCTTCCCACATGCAAATTCCTGGCTGGAGGTCCAAGGTCTTCTCATCTAAATGAAGCCCAGCTGTGGAGGAGGCTCTTTGGGTTTGGTTCCTCAGATACGCCTCTTTGAATCCAGACTTTGAATCTAAATGGGCTTGTGGCTGCTTCAACTAAGAGAGAAAGGCTCGAGTCATATCACTCCCAAGGCCAGGCTATAAAAAGACATGCAAGCTTCTACCTGACTGTCTAGAACTCTCTCTCTTCAGAAACACCCTCCTTGGGACCCATAGAGAGGCAATGTAACTCTCCAGCCAGCAATTCTGACTAAGCCCAGCCTTAAGCCATCCCAGAACCCAAACATATCATCTAGAAACCTTTAGATAATTCCAGCCCTAAGCTATGCAAGTCTCCCCAGATGAGGTTTCAAACATCATCAAGTAGAGACAGGCTGTTGACTATGCCCTGACCAAAACTCTGACCCACAGTATCTGTGAGCATAATTAAATGGTTGTTGTCTTGTGTTGCTGCATTATGAATGAATCTTGCACAGTATCTGGGTATCCTACATATATTAGTATCCGGAATACCAACTGAAAGTCAACCTGCCTTATCACCATGTGCCATCAATTCCAAGTAAAAGCAGCAATAAAATACTCTGCCCCCAAATAATGTTTGGTTTGTCAAAGTTCTAAACAATTGCTGTGGTTCCTACTAGGTTTAAAAATATATTACAAGCCACAGATGATGCTCAATCCACGTGGAGTCAGCTATATGCATTCATTTCAACAATACACTAGAGAGATTTCCCTTTGATTTGGATTCCATTGGGCATGGTGTTCGAATGCTCACCACAGCCATTCTGTTTCATTCACTGCTTTAAGTTTTAAACATAAATAAATAACTCTAGGTGGTCTCACAGAACAGCAGAATTTAAATAATTCGAGGTCTATCTTTTATCTTGACAATCTTGATGCTTATTTCAAACTACTATTCAAGTGTAGGAACATGTAATACCAAAAGTACAAACTGTGCCCAAAGCAAGCTCAAACAATTCTAAACTATTTTGAACTTAATGGAAGGTCTCAAAAATAATGTTGATATAAAATAAAATGTTTATCCTATATAATAAAAGCCAGCGACCAAACAGCAGAAAGACCAGAACGACTGGTCAACCAGTCGCTATGACACACACTGACCACCAAAGGATAGACGCTCAACGCAAGAGCTGCCCCCTGATGGTCAGTGCGCTCCCACAGTGGGAGCGCCAATCAGCCAACCAGGATGAGCGGCTGCTCCTGCTGCAGCTGCTCAGCTGACTGGCATAAGTGAAGCTCCCACAGCAGTCGATCCCCACAGGCCACGCCCCCACCAGTGCACAAATCCCATGCACTGAGCCTCTAGTTAAAGAATAAGTAATAAAAATGTGCTAATTTGAAGCTTATTACTAAAAATGTTATAAAAATAATTTTATCATGTAAAGGAGGAGAGTGTTAAAAAAAAAATTGTCTGCTGTGGGTGTCAAATATATTAGATATATACTGCCAGAGTTGGAACATGCTGATTTACAAAATAAAGCTACTTTTCAACCTAGTCTCTCCAGCTTCTAAAAGATTCTCAAAGTAAGAATAAGGATAAAAATCGAATGAAAAGTTTGCTAAATGGTGCTGATTGCTTTTGCTCAGTGGTTAGAGCATCAGCCCATGGACCGCAGGGTCACGGATTTGAATCCCATAAAGGGCAGGTACCTCAGTTCCAGGCTCTATCCCCTTACCTTGGACCTGCGCACATACAGGAGGCAACCCATCAATGTGCCTATCTCACATTGATGTTTCTCTCTCCCCTCTCCCACTTTCACTCTCTCTTAAAAAAAAAAAAAAATCAATGGAAAAATATATCCTTGGATGAGAATTTAAAAAGCTTGTTGAATGACTGTATGATCCTTTGTTAAAGTCTCAGAAAGAGCCAAAACCGATTTGGCTCAGTGGATAGAGCGTCAGCCTGCGGACTGAAGGGTCCCAGGTTCGATTCTGATCAAGGGCATGTACCTTGGTTGCAGGCACATCCCCAGTAGGGGGCATGCAAGAGGCAGCTGATTGATGATTCTCTCTCATAGATGTTTCTAACTCTCTATCTCCCTTTCTGTAAAAAAATCAATAAAATATATTTTTAAAATATATTTTTTTAAATCTCAGAAAGACATAAGGTAATGTTCAGTTGAACTGCTCAGCTACAACAGGGCTTTAATAATTTTAAGGACAAACTGAAATGCCCAAAGTAAAGAAAGAACTGTCTCAAAAATAATTACATAGATGGCTTTGGAGGCACAGAACCCCAATAAGACTTACTGAAAATCCACAAAGTCACACTAGCAAAAAAGCACCATCAACTTAGACTCCATGGGACAGACCCAGCTCCACATGAAAATAGGTCTGTGAGACACCCCTCTTCCCCTACTGCTACACACAGGAAGCAGTTGTATTCCTAGCACCTTGCTGCACTCTCTGAGACCTCTCTCCTTTTCCATACAAAAAGGCCCTGGTGGCAGCTGAGAAGTGACTCAGTGACTCAGATAACTGAAACAGTCCTCCAACGGTACTCAGAAGTGACTCAGCTGCCACCAGGGCCTTTTTGTATGGAAAAGGAGAGAGGTCTCAGAGAGTGCAGCAAGGTGCTAGGAATACAACAATGGATCTGAGAACTATTCCCAGAAAGCAAAACCAGATTCCACGCATGGCACATTCATTATCCCCAGAGACAGAACTGAAGTGGGCCTGGCTGGAGCTTCTGCAGACCAGGGCCTGCTCCCTGCTTCCTCTTCCTCGTCTTGAACAGAAGTCTGTCACTGCTATCGTTTCCCTGTCTCACTACTGTGTGTTGGGCATGTACAGACCAGACGTAACTTGCCTTTTTAGTTCACAGGTCACTGGATCAAGAGAATTTGCAGCCAAAATTGGTTTGGCTCAATGGATAGAACGTTGGCCTAGAGACTGAAAGGTCCTGGGTTCTATTCCAGTCAAGGGCATGTACCTTGGTTGTGGGCACATCCCCAGTAGGGGGTGTGCAAGAGGCAGCTGATCAATGATTCTCTCTCACTGATGTTTCTAACTCTATCCCTCTCTCTTCCTCTCTGTAAAAAATCAATAAAATATATATATTTTTTTTAAAAAGAGAGAATTTGCACCCCAAGAGTTTCATCAGTGATCAGACCAGATGCAGATCACAAGATAATGCACTTTCCCGCTGAAGTCATAAATGGATAAAATTCTTGCACGTCTTGTAAGGTGCTGAGAATATTTTTCATTTGGAGAGAATGTAAGAATGTAATGTCCAGAGGGTTAAATATGACCACAGAAATCTTGCTGCTTTATAAAAGGGAGTTTATTCCCCTACTCTGTGAAATGGTGCTGGCCTTGGGACTTCCTTTGATGGCCAAATGAAGCAGAAGTGATGCTGCGTGACTTCTGAGCTTTGGTCTCAAAAGGCCTTTCAACCTCCTCTCTCATTCTCTCAGCACCCTGCTGCCACATGCACAGATCCAGCCTAGCCTCCTGGGAGATGAGACACATGATGGGAAGAGGGAAGACTAGACACCCAGTCATCCCTATCATTCCAACCATCCCAGCGGAAGCCCTAGATGGGAGACTGAGGTCATCTGGGACCAGCTAACCCCCAGCCTACTTACCAATGGATACAAATGCATGAGTGAGTCTCTCGGAGTTTATCAAAAGAAGCTAAGCTAAACATAGCCAAATTGCCAATCCAAAGAACTATGATCAAATAAATGTTTATTGTCATAAGCCATATGGCAAGAGATAACTGAAACAGTCCTCCAATGGTACTCATTCATGACTTACACCTAATAAGTTTAAATGACCTGTACATGGGAGGTGGAAAGAGCTGGCCAGAACCCAAGTATCTCAACAACTAATACCAAGTTCTATATGGGACACCATACTACCTTCTCTTGTACTTTCCACAAGTAAAAAGATGGGTATGGTTTAGGGAAACTGTCATGAAAGGTGGCTAGTGAAATTTGAAGGTGGAATCTTTAACTAGAGAGAACATTTAATTTACATATAAGTGAATATTTTCCATATATAGTGAGTCTGAGTATGTTTAACACATATATTAGCCTGTTTCCACCCCACTTCAAAGCAATAAAGACGCTTAGCATATAAGCTACATCATTAACCAAAGGTGGTTGCACAGATTATACTGTCATTCAAACCTTTTGTCATTAGAATTCTATTCCAAAGAAATGCATAGCTTTTATTTCAGGTAATTTATCAGAAATATTTGTGCAGAAGATGGGTGAGCAAAAGCAGAAATGGAAATAGAGACCATTCGGATGTAACAATCTTGCATGCCAAATTATTTCTTTTCCCCCTTCACAAATACAGTGACATGTACATACTGGGAAACCATGGTGCAGAAATGAGGCAGATGTCAATGAATGAATTTGCATACAAACACAGAAACTCATGCCCCACCACACAGATGGTTTGCTCTTACCTTCTTCTGACATATGGCAGATATTTCAGCTGTAAGGGGAAAGTACACAAAACATCAACAAAGAAAGAGCCCATTTTCAACAAGGACAGCCATGAAGAGGAGTAAAAACAAGTTTTGTAATACAACCTCTAGACTTAGACAAAATAGCTTCTTCCTTGTCTCATGAATTATCACCTATTTATTCTATCTAATAAAAGCGTAATATGCAAATTGATCATCACTCCAACACACAAGATAGCTGCCTTCATGTGGTCAAAGATGGCTGCCCCCATATGGACAAAAGATGGCCAGCAGGGAGAGCAGTTGGGAGGGACCAGGTATGCAAGGGAGGGAAGTTGTGGGTGATCAGGCCAGCAGAGAAGGGCAGTTGGGAGGCACCAGGCGTGCAAGGGAGGGCAGTTGGGGACGATTAAGCCTGCAGGGGAGGGCAGTTAGGGGGGGACACAGGCCTGCAGAGGAGGGCAGTTAGGGGTAATCAGGCTGGCAGGGGAGCAGTTAGGCATCAATCAGGCTGTCAGGGGAGTGGTTAGGGAGTGATCAGGCTGGCAGGCAGAAATGGTTAGGGGCAAGCAGGCAAGCAGTTGAGAACCAGCAGTCCTGGATTGTGAGAGGGATGTCCGACTGCCCATTTAGGCCCAATCCAGAAAGGATCGGGCCTAAATGGGCAGTCGGACATCCCTTGAGGAGTCCCAGATTGGAGAGGGTGCAGGCTGAGCTGAAGGACACTCAGCCACATGCATGAATTTCCTGCACTGGGCCACTAGTTTTTAATATCATTAAAAAACACCTGAATGCTGCAAATACTTCACCTATTCTTATAAGTAATTCAACCTTCTCAGACATGACCTGGAATTCAGATAATTTTCTCCTCACCTCCTGATCTGACAGAAAACAAAATTGAGGGCCACTATGGTTGCATGACTTCTTCAGTATCACCCAGGCTATCAATGGGGGAGGTAGATCAACCAATATGTCTATGGATCCCTCTTTACTGCTATTCCATTATACTATGACACTGAGTTGATGTGATACTTTGAGAGCTTTACCTTGGGAAGGAGTTTCTATACAGAAAAATCTTACTATTTCAATTACTTAGAGTTGAACTAGCCATTTATACCAGATCTGTCCTAGTGTAAAATCAGCTGCATGCTTATTTAAGAGAAAGCAATTTTCAAACCCACGGATTGACCAGATGGAGTAAGGCTTCCAAACTACTGTCTACTTTAGGATTGACTTTAATGAATAACTGAGAACTCTTATGAGCGGGCATACAAATTATTTCCGTGAAAATTGATGCTTGAGAGTACTTGGAAATAGCTCTTCCGAGAGTGTTAGCATTTCTCTTGAAAGAGTAAGTGTTCAAACAATGGACTGAATTATTATTTACAGTATAGTCTATGTTCCAATTATTAAAAAGATCAAAGATAGCCCTAACAGGTTTGGCTCAGTGGATAAAGCATCAGCCTGCGGACTGAAAGGTCCCAGGTTCGATTTCGGCAAGGCCATGTACCTTGGTTGCGGGTACATCCCCAGTAAGGAGTGTGCAGGAGGCAGCTGATCAATGTTTCTCTCTCACCGATGTTTCTAACTCTCTGTCCCTCTCCCTTCCTCTCTGTAAAAAAATCAATAATAGATAGATAGATAGATAGATAGATAGATAGATAGATAGATAGATAGATATAGATAGATAGATATAGATATATTTTTTAAAGATCAAAGATAAATGTCTCTTAAACTTTGTCTGGAAATTATAAATTAGTGGATGCCAATTGATTGAAATTTACAACTCAGTTTTTAATACCAGTTAATGGCTATTTAACAGTTTGCTACCTAGAGTTTATCTTAATCGGTCTAGTTAAATAATAAAAAGTTATCGTTGCCCCACCAGCGTGGCTCAGTGACTGAGTCGACCCCTGCACCAAGAGGTCGCTGGTTTGATCCCAGGCCAGGACACATGCCCAGGTTGTGAGCTCAATCCCCAGAAGGAATTATTTTTTAAATGTGGTCTTCCCTATTCGTTCATCATCTTCCTCGAAAGCCATTTATCGAGTTACCCCTGTGCGCCTCTCTGTACTCAGTATGCTCCTAGCTTTTTCCAACTTTCATCTTTCCTTTGCTTTCGAGTACTTTACCTGGTCACTGTCTCCAATTAGGTAGCTGGAACACCTGCCTCCCATGGGTAGAAAAATACTGCCTTATCTATCTGATCTGTCAACTTACTGGGCTTAGCTTTCAGAACCTTAACAAACTACAAGCATTACAATCTCGTCTCTTTGTTGAGATGGGTCAGATATACTTTATCTCCATTATGCTGATGAAGAGACTAAGTATCTGAATGATTAAGTGATTTTCCCTAAAAACACAGTTAATAGTAGTGGCAGGAGGAAGTTCAATTATTTCATGTTCTTCCCTTATTCCCATTCTGACCTGGTAAACATATCATTGGTAACACCATTATATATAAATAAAACCTCTTAAAACATAATCCAGCAGGGCTTGAATCATACAGAATTCTAATTCCAAAATCTCCCCTTAATTTAGGTAGAAATGATACCTCTCCCCTCATTATTAAATGTGTAGGCATATTACAAGCAAGAAATGGATATAATGCTTCATTTCAATGAATATTAATAGAATAGAATACTTCGGTTACTGTCTGTTAAATAAAATGGTACAAAAGGAGACAAATCAACCATGCCATTAGTCATGATTCCTCATGATTCATTCTTTCCGAAGTAAACCATACCTTGAGGCAGAAGAACATCAATCAACCATTCACTGTGGTCCCTATGAAGAAAAACAAAATTCATTTTTTAGCTTCTTAGCAATGTTTCCCTTCCACACGAACATTTATAAACCACGCACTATTGCTAAGAGGCTTTTAATAGAAAGGAAGTGTAATTAAGAGCATTATCATAATAAACTTTTTCAATGTCTAATGCATTCCAGCTAAATTATAAATTATAGGCATTTCATCATATTCAGTTCTTTAAATGATACTTTCCAGATGCTAATTAAGCCAACCAAAACACATCATGATTTGCACAAAGCGGAGTGTGATTCTGTGAAGCTAACCAGCAAAGAGAACCCACGTGGATTATCCGTCATGTTTGAAAACCACTTTTCTTTTTCTCTGTGGCCTTTTCAACCAGGCCGCTGCTTCGGTAAATGGAACCACTTCCTTCTGTCACACACAGAACCAGTGAAACTGCAAAGCTGAAAATCTTTCAAATGGAAGTGTGCTCCATATTAAATATCTGACAAAGTAACCTTCAAAAACCAGAGAGGATAGTGGGAAATGTAGATAATGTAACCAATGTAAGTCCGAGTGATTATTTTTTCATATTGTTGTCCTCCTTCCTTTATACCTACCCCGCTATCCTCTGGCTGCATTCTTCACAGAGATACAACGGGGGTGGTTTGTCACCCAAAGCTACTGACAGGGAAGGGTCTATGCACATCTGAAACACACAAAAAGACAGAATGAACTCTCCTGTCCTGTTTATCACTTTCCTGATATCATGAGCACAAATGTTCCCATACTGACAGGTTTTCAAAAGCAAAGTGGAATAAATATGTTTAGCAGAACCCATTCAAACCTGTAACCATTTTTCCTGCACTGGCCCATGAGTCCACATGGTTGATTTAAATGTGGCTACCCTGGTTTTTCATTTCGCTTGTTATTTGCAATTCTGGTAATAAATAGTTCAAGAAATCTAACCTCCTTCCACAAAGATAAAAAAGGATCTTGTTCAACGGCTGCTGAAATTGCCTCTATATTACTCATACAGTATTCCCTTCTCAAAAGTGGTAAACAAAGTGTCTCTCTTCAAGAGAAGAAAAATATATTGAGATTGAAAATCATAACTGTTACCAAAAAAGCTAGCAGAAGCCTCATTCATAAAATTTAGCTTTGAATCTAACAATGAATGATTCACTTTTCACACTCTGGAATCTAAGTTCTACATTAATCATCCAGTGGTTCATTGCCAGGTGTGTGGTTTTTTTCTTCACATAGAACCTGTCATTTGTTTAACCCTGCTGTGCCCTGTTCAGTTTTGGATTATTTGTGGCTGAGTTCACTAGCCTAAGCACAGAGATGAAAGCGTTCATTTTACAATTGGTCATTAGGATATTTTTAAATATCTGGATATTTTAAATCAAGTGAACAAAACATTTAGATTACTAGTTGAATTTTGTACTTTACATCAGTTTAAGTTTCTATGACTTACCAAAGTCATTTTGAATTCTGTTCCTGCCCTTCAAGAAATAATCGATCCAGGCTATAGCCGATTATGTAGTAATATGCCACAAATTCTTTGGAACCTCCTTCTGCCTTTTCTTTGGTTGTTTTTTACTGATTTAAAGGGGGGAAGGGAGTGCACCAAATTTATAAGCCAAATAGCCTGTCATTTAAAGTTAAAACCCTGAGGTGTTTCAATGATTGTGGAAACAGCGCTATTATTCCTAAATTCAAATAATTATACCATCTAAATCTGTAAATTATGTATTTCCTGATGCTAAAGACGCAGTATGAAATTTTTTCTTAGGTAAGTTTCATTCTTCCTTTGATAATTACTTTTTGATATGTTCAAAATCAGGGATTGGCCAACGTTCTGTAAATGGTCAGAGAATAAATATTTCTGTCTTTGTGTGCCATGTGTTCTCTGTCATAACTAACTACTCAAACCCAGCCGGCATGGCTCAGTGGCTGAGCATCAACCTACGAACCAGAAGGTCATAGTTCGATTCCCAGTCAGGGCATATGCCCAGGTTGCGAGCACAATCCCCAGTGTGGGGCTTTCAGGAGGCAGCTGATCAATGATTCTCTTTCATCACTGATGTTTCTAGCTTTCTCTCCTTCTCCTTTCCTCTTTGAAATCAATAAAAAATATACTTTAAAAAATTAACTACTCAACCCTACTATTGTAGCATGAAAGCAGATGACATATAAGCAAATAAATAGAACTTTATTTACAAAGATCTGGCTGGTTTGCTGACTCCTATGTCAGAGGATTATCTAACTATTTCATAAAGTGGTTTTCAAATAGTAAAACTAGAAGCAGAATGTGATCGAATGAACTATAAACTCCAACATATTTTCATTGGAATTCCTATCCCAACAGTTGGCTTTTGCCCCAAACATATTTTAGTTTCTGTGCAATCTATTTCAATAAAAATAAATGTTACTTTTCTATTTGGCAAATCATTGCTGCCTTGTGGTATGGCTGACTATTATGGAAATATTGGGCTTTTTGTGAGGACAAATGAAGTTTCCCTGAGTCTTCCCCATGCACCCAGGTAGACTTCTTCTTCACCTTTACTTTCATTTCTAATGAGTCACAGATACCTTTGTCAGGTACTGGTTTTGGTTCACTCCACTCAAAAGAAAAACTCCTAGGCAGTTAGAACTCAATGGAGATTAGCTAAAAGACCTCTAATGTGTTTGATTATTCATTAACACGATCCATCTGATCTGGGACTAATAATGTCAATTCTGATCTACTCTGAACAAATCTGTTTACACACATATTAATATGTTCATATCTGATCTTGCATCAAAAATATTATTCTCTGCTCATAAATATATTATCAATGTAGAGATTTGGGGAAGTGGAGAAAAGGAAAGAAGAAAACTTAACTACTTCAATAACCCTCCATCTCAATGCAATCATAGTAACTGATGTTCTGATGAGCATGACTGGTGGTTTTTCTATGAATATAAATATACAGATATACAATTTTAAAACTAAATTGGCATCACACTATACAACTTTATCATTTCTTTTTCATTTAACATTATTCCATTTGCATCTGGAAATTGGATACCCTTGATCTACGTGTCCTAAGGTCATATACCTGTGCATGGGGAAGTGCTCACATTGTAAAGAAAGCACAATACCACGCAGACCTGTTGTCGTGAAAGTACATGTCAACTAACAAGAATGTTATCTTTCTGGGAAGCATAAAGTGAAAATATAAAAGATTTTTTTATATTTCCAGAAAGTAACATTTGGAGGATGATAAAAAAAAATGTTTTGGAAAAAGAAGAGGTGGTGATTACACAACATTATGCAAGCGCTAAATGCTACTGAATTTTTACTTTAAAACCATCAATTTTATGTTGCATGAATGCCATCTCAATTTTTTAAAATGACTGAAAGTAGGATGTCTTGGCCTCTCCTGGAGGACTGGCTACAGGGAACCGCCTGTGAGAAAAGCAGGGCCAAGCCAGAGGAGTAGACTGGGCTATCTGCGTTAAGAGAGGGAGAAAACCTGATTTGTGATGAATTCTGTAAGTGGAAGGCCAGAATCATCAGGAAGTGAGAGGACTCCTGTGAATGCAGGATGACATAAAACCAGAAGGAAAATAACTGGGGGGGGGGGGGGGGGGATCAGACAGAAAGTACCTCCTTCTGTTGGCATCTGAGCAAGCCCAAAGAGGGCATTGTGTCAGGCAGAAAGAAGGACAGATATAAAAACTAATTTCAATTATGGGACCCAAGTAGCTCTCACACTGTGAAGAATTAAGCTGAATTCAATGAATAATATATAAATTAGCATTTCATTCAACAACTTGCTGACGACTTGACCACTGGCAATACAATGTGAGACCAGATCTCATGAAACAGTACCTTCACTGCTGGTTTATTAATTGCATTGTGGCATTCAATGTGCTGACAGTGGATGGGATTCCAAGCTGTAAAGCAAAGCATAACTGATGAATACTTCTCATTGAAATGATTTGTGCCCTAGTAAAAAAACAACACAGCAGATACTTCATTAGTTTTCTTTTACCTAAATAGATTCATCCTCAGAAGCCTTCCTAAAATGAATTTTAAATATATGAAAACTTTTTAAATTGAGGAAAGATATCACAACTTCATCATCCATTTTCCTATGGGAGGAGACAATCTAATGTAAGGTGGCAAACACAATATCAAATATTACCTCACAATGATATACCATTGCTAAGTTCTCTATGATTTCACTGGATCCTCCCAACAACTCTGCAGGATAGATACAGCAGATCATTAACCTCATTAAATATATGAGTAAGTTAAAGTTAAAATGGTTAAGTAACTTGCTATGATCACAGAATTAGTAAACAACTAAATGAGAACTAGCCTAGTCTAGCTAGGACTAGAATTTGGTTCTTGACACTCTGCTCTCTTCACTATAGTATATACTATGCTAAACACCCTAGATTTTTGGCACGAGGCAGTGTTTCAAATTGATAGCAAGTGAAATGAATGATAAAGCAGCTTCTACCATTCCATTTGCCTCCCCACCCCATCAAATTGGGAGACTGGAAAGATCACTTTCTTGCCCAAATGAAATGCAGCTCTCTCACACATGTGACCCACAAATTAAGTCTCTGCTAGTTTGCTAATACCCAACTCCTTAACACAGTATAACAGAGAATAAGGATAAGAACCAAGTAATTATCATCATCCAGATGATTCTGTAGCCCAAAGCACTTAGCTAACATTACAAAGGTAATAGAATTATAAGTTGAAATTAGGACATTTTTCTAAATTGCCATATTATAATCTTATAGGATCATGTTTGACCTAATATAGAAGAATTTGTAACTAAGTAACATTGTTACTTAGTTACATATCAAATTATAATTCAAAAATATTTACTATGCTCTAAATATTTTATAAAATTTTCTATCTAGAAGTATTTTAACTTCAAATATTCTATTTTCAATATTCAAATATTGTTAGACTAAGCATAACATTTTGTGTCTAATTTGCAATTTAAGAAAATACAATCAACAGGCTATTGACCTTAAAAAATATACAAAGAAGACAAAAAAGTAAGTAAAGATCAAAACTACTACTCTTACAACAGTATTATACTGCTTGTATTTTTAGAGAATGAGAAAGAGGAAATGAGTAATAGTAAGAAATAGATGAAGAACTTATTTGAATATAGGCATTCTATAACTATAAGATTTGATTCCTACATGTGGGAAAGTCAAGATGAATACAGAGTATAGCAATAAGTTTTCTTGTGTAATTAAATAAACCTTAAAAAAAAAGAATGCCTTTAATCAGTATAGAAGTTCCAAATACATAGGACATGTAGCCTCATTTATCCAAACCCAAATTCATAACAGATATCACTAACACATAAGAACATTCTGTCCTGCTGAGTCCAGAAATGGCCTCAGAATACTTCTCAAAACTGAGCTTTTAGGAAGTCACCATTAATCAAAGATAAAACCATCTCTGAACCATCAGACTTTGCAACAGCTATAGAACTTGATAAAGGTTATAAAGATTCCTGTTCTGCCAGAGAATAATGCTTTATATGTGGATGGTGAGGATATGCAGGAGATCCTATTCCTATATTTTTTTATTCCATTTTTACAGAATCAAACTGAATTAAGAGGAGATAGTAGAATTTTTAATTTAAGTTCACCAAAGTCACACTATATTTAAGTTTACTAGAATAGTGATTCTTAGCTTTGGTTGTGTTTCAAAAATCATCTGTCAAGCCTTCAAAAATATGATGCCTAGACCCCATGTTAGATCTACTGAATCAATAAATCTCTGAAGATAGAGCACCAGCAGTTGTAATTGGGAAAACATTACAACTGATTGTAACATATACTTTACCATAAGGCAAATATAATAAAGATAGATCTCCCTTCATTTGAAAATAGAATAAAAAATATAGCATAAAAACATGGCAGACAAGGGTTCTGCTTCCTATTATGACAGAGTAACTGGTATTAGACGTGCTCTCCTACCATAAACAACTAAAAAAATGGAAAATATATATGAAACAACTATGTTCAGAAATCAGACTACATGTAATACAGGACAATGATCCTTGAGAGAAGAGAAACAATGAAATGACTCCTACAGCCACCCTGGCTTTCTTCCTAAAAGCAATTTTCAGACCTTGCCCTAGAAGAGGAACTATAAGCACAGTAGGTTGGTTTTATTGAGTTGAGGGAACAAAAACTGGCATTTAGAAAGGCATGACTTAAATTTGCTAGGTAGAGTACCAAAGAAGAAGGAGCTGAGCAAAGTACAAGCTCCAGAAATCTGGGTAGGAGTCCTTTAGGGGGGTTTGGCTTTATACTAAGCTGAACATGTATAATACAAACTTAATTAGGCTTCATAGAGGACAATTATGAGGGATTTTTAACCTAATAATTAGTATATTTAATATAGGGTTGGGAAATATTCAAGTTCCAACCAGCCAGAGTGGAGGGAACTCAGTAAAAACCTGGAATATTCAATGGAGACTTTAAAAGTCATGTCATAGTAGAAGAGCTGAACTAACATTAGTGAAAAAAATCTACCCCAGACTTACCCTAACAAAGCATTAAGAACAAGCCTTGGAAGGGTTAAGCTAATCCACCAATAACTTGACTATCAAAAGAAACTTTAACACACTGTAATAGAAGACAAAAAAATCCAGACACTTCATAATGTGGTATTCTTGAAGTCCAGCATCCAATCAAAAATTAATATTTGAAAAGGAAGGAAAATGTAACCCATAATTGGGAGAAAAACTGGGCATTAGAAACAAACCCAGAAATTACAGAAATGAGGTAGTTTTAGCAAACAAGGACTTTAAGATAGCTATTGTAAGCATATTTAAAGAAAAATATGAACACAATGAGGCCAGATATTAAAGATAACAAAAGAACCAAATTAAATTTCTAAAAATTAAAAATATAATGCCAAAAATGAAAAATTAACTAAATGGGAATAATGGCAGCTTAGACGATGTAGAAGAAAAGATCTGTGAATTAGGAGACATAAGAACAAAAACTACCCAAACTGAAATAGTAGGAAAAAAATAAAGAGAGCTTCAGTGAGCTGTGGGAAAATATCAGGCAGAGTTTAAAAGCCAAAATGGTGCAACAGGGGCAGGGAGTGGTGATTTTTTTTAAAGAAAAAATGGCCAAAATTTTGCAAGTTTGATAAAAACTATAAACCCACAGATCCAAGAAGCTCAATGAATCTTAGGTAAAATAAAAGCAAAGAAAATCACACCAAAACTCATTAAAATCGAACTGATAAAACCAATGATAGAGAGAAAATCTTAAAAGCAGCCAGGAAAAAAAGACACATTACTTACAGGGGAACAAAGATAAGAATGATCGTTGATTTCTCGTCAGAAACAATGCAAGCCAGAAGACAATGGAACGACATCTTTAATAGGCTGAAAGAAAAAAACTGTCAACCTAGAATTTTATACCCAGTGAAAATATCCTTCAAAATTGAGTATGAAATAAAGACTATTTGAAGACAAACACTAGAGAATTTATTGCCATCTAAGCTCCACTATAAGGAATATTAAAGAAAGTTCTTGAGGTTGAAAGAAAGCTAGGACTTTCATAAAGGCAAAAAGAGTTCTGGAACTTAATAAATATAATGAATAAAAGACTTTCTAATCAGATTAACATGTTTTCAAAAGATGATTGATTGTTTAAAACAAAAATAATAGCCATGTATTGTAAGACCAATAATATATAGAGAAAGAATTAAAATATTTAATAACAAGAACAAAAAGGATGAAAAGGGGGAAATGAAAGTGTACAGGGTTCTAACATTACATGTAACCTAGTATAATATTCTTTTAATGGAGACTGTTAAATTAAAGGTATATATTATAACATTAAAGCAATTTTTAAATGGATGTATACCTAGTAATTCAATACAGAGATAAAATGAAATACTAAAAATAATCCAAAAGAAGGCAAGATATTAAAAAGAAAAGAAACAGAATAGATGGGACAAGTAGAAAACAAGTACAAGATGCCAAGCTTAAGTCCAACTGTCTCTGTAGTTACATGAAATGTAAATGGCCTAAACAATAATTATATTACATGTAAATGGTCTAAAGGCAGAGGTCATCAAATAGATTTTAAGTTTTTTCAAAAAGCATGACTCAAATATTTGCTGCCTGTGAGCAATAGTTGAAATATAATGATAGATATATTAAAAGTAAACAGATAGAAAAAATTAGTGCCATTATATATGATTAGCATACATTAGCAAATGCTAATCATAAGAAAACTGGAGTGTCTCTATAAATATCAAACAAGTAGACTCCAGGACAAAGAATATTACCAGTAATAAAGAAGAACATTTCACAATGATGATATGGTCAATTCATCAAGATGACATAATAATCATAAACACCATGTACAGTTAATAGTAGAGTTTTAAATTATATGAAGCAAAACTGACACAAATAAGTCCATAATTCATGTTATAAATTTCACCAATCTTCTCTTAGTAATTCATAAAACAAGCAGACTGGAAATCAGTAAAAATAGAAAGCTTAAACAACATTAACAATTTAATCTAATTAATAATGATAGAATTCTCCACTCAGCCACTGCAGAATATACACTATTTGCAAAGTTTACTAACAAAAACAATATTTGACCCATAAAATAAGCCTTAAAAATGTCTATGTAGCAATACATAGAGTATCATTCCTGACCACAATGAAATTAAACTAGAAATAACAAAAACATACCTGGAAAGTCACTAAATATTTATATTTCTGAAAAATACACATCTCAATAATCCATAAATCAAAGAAGAAATCACAAAAAATATTAGAAAATATTCTGTAATAAAATGACAGCATATCAAATTTGTGGAATGCAAGTAAAGCAACGTTTAAGGGGAAATTTATAGCTTTAAATTATTTTAT